AAGATGTCCCTCATTCCTGTTCCATCCTAACCCTTTTCCCACAACTCAACATAAGCACCTCCCTTATTCCTTTTTGTCCTTTTTCTTCCCATCCTTTCCCCTTTTTCCATGACAAGGTGAGAGTCTCCTTCATCCCTCCCCTATCCCGACCCTTTCTCCATAACTCACTGGGAGGATCTCTCTCCTTCCCTTCCCACCCCAACCTCCCCCGCATCATTTCCCATCCATCTCACCCCCAGCTCACCCCTCTCCTCCCCGTTCCCCCCGTCCTTCACCCTCCTCCCAACCAACCCTTCCAGCTCCCCCCCGAGCCCGTTTTTCCCGGGATTTCCCGGCGTTCCCAGACCTCCTCCTTCTCCTGCTTGGCCTCCTTGCGCTCGGCCGCGATGTTCTTCTTGCGGTGGTAGTTGAACTGCGTGTCCTCCTCGGCCTTCACCATCTCCTTCTTGCGCTTGTCGTACTCGGGGGCCAGTTCCCCGGAGCGGGAGATCTCCTCGAACAGGGCTGTCCTCTCCTTGGGGTTCTTCATGGCGATGGATTCCACGGCCCCCTGGAAAAACGGGGACCCAGAACCTCAGAGGTGGAAGGGGGATCCCAAAATGGGGGGACTGAACCCCCTGAACAGAGCTGTCCTCTCCCTGGGGTTCTTCACGGCCATGGACTCCACGGCCCCCTCGGAACAGCAGGGTCAGGGGAGGCCTCAAATCCTCAGGGGGATCCTGGGGGATCCCTGTGGGGAGGGGCGATGGGGGAGACTCCCCCAAATCCTGATGGAGGTCTGGGTTATCCCACTGGGAAGGGGCAGTTCCCTGGAGCAATTGATACTCTCAATCAGCACCTTGGGGGTCCTTCGTGGAATCCTGTGGAAAGGAGGGCCGGGGGGGTTCCCCAAATTCTGATGGGGAGTCCCCAAATGCTGACGGGAGTCTGGGGTCTCCCTCTGGGATGAGGCAATGGAGGAACCACCCCCCAAATCCCCATGGGGCACCCCATTGGCTTTTAGGAGCCCCAAAACCTCTAAAACCTCCAAGCCCCCATAATGGCCCCCCAAGCCCCTCTTAACCCCCGCTGGACCATTTTCCCAATCCCTCAACCTGGAAGACGAGGAAGTTCCGGGCCTTGATGAGGATTCCCAGCTTTTCCAGCTCCTCGCTGTACTCGCTCAGCTGCACCACCCGGTTGTTGATCTTGTACTCGGAGGAGCTGCCTGGGACCGGCATTTTGGGGGGTCACAGGGGACCCCCAAACCCTAAACCCCCTCCAAGCCCTGTGACCCTCTTTGACCCAGAGTGATGGGAGTGAAAGAGCAGCCCCCTCCTTGGAGCTGCCTGTTCCAGGGGATTCAAGGGGATTTGGGGAGCTCAGAGGGGCCCCCTCCAAACCCTAAACCCTCCATAATGTCCCTCCCAAACCCTGTGCCCCCTAAAACGTGTGCACCCCCTGGCCCCTTCCTTGGACCTGCCTGTGCTGGATCTGGGGGGGATTTTGAGGAGTCAGAGGGGTCCCTCACACCCTAAAACCCCCCAAAATGTGTCCCCACAAACCTCCCATAACGCAAAGATCCCTTCCCATACCCACCCGCATCAAACCCAAACCTGAAACTCTACGACATCACCCCAAAACTCACATGTGTCCCCAGAACTCCTGTGTCTCTCCCTAAAACTCCCCCCTATCACCCTGAAATCCTCCTGGCTTCCCCCAAACCCCCCATGGGTGCCCTCCCAGCCCCCTGTGCCCCCACACCGACGATGATGTGGGCGAAGGTCCCGTCCTCAGAGTGCACCCACAGTCCCCTCCCCAAACCCCCATATCACCCCAAACCTCCCAAAACTCCTTCATATCTCCCTGAAACCACTCCAACCCCCCCCTCCAAATTCCCTGTAGCTACCCCCCCAGCCTCCTGTGCCCCCTACCCCAACAATGATGCAGCCAAAGGTCCTGTCCTTGGGCCCCTCCCTGGAGTGCACCCACAGATCCCTCCCCAACACCCCAGTATCACCCCAAAGCACCCCTATCACCCCAAACCCGCCCCGTGCCCCCCATACCAGTGATGACGTGGGCAAAGGTCCTGTCCTCAGCCCTCTCCTCGGAGTGCACCCACAGATCCCTCCCCAAACCCCCCCATCACCCCAAATCCCCTGTGCCCCCTCGTGCCCCCCATACCAACGATGACATGGGCAAAGGTCCTGTCCTCAACCCCCTCCTCAGAGTACACCCCAATATCACCCCAAAGCACCTCTATCACCCCCAACCCTCCCTGTGCCCCCCCAATCACCCCAAAACCTCCCGTACTCCCCCTACCGACGATGACTCGGGCAAGGTCCTGTCCTCGGCCCCCTTTTCAGAGTACACCCACAGATCCCTTCCCAAACCCCCCCTGTGCCCCCCAAATCATTCCAAAGCACCTCTATCATCCCAAAGCCTCCCTGTGCCCCCCTGTGCCCCCCCATACCGACGATGACTCGGGCGAAGGTCCTGTCCTCGGCCCCCTCCTCAGAGTGCACCCCAATATCACCCCAAAGCACCTCTATCACCCCAAACCCTCCCTGTGCCCCTCAAATCACTCCAAAGCCCCCCTATCACCCCTGTGCCCCCCGTGCCCCCCACACCGACGATGACGCGGGTGAAGGTCCTGTCCTCGGCGCCCTCCTCAGAGTACACCCCAATATCACCCCAAACCCCCCCAATATCACCCCAAACCCCCCACACCGACGATGACACGGGTGAAGGTCCTGTCCTCGGCCCCCTCCTTGGAGTACACCCCAATATCACCCCAAACCCCCCAGTATCAACCCAAACCCCCCAATATCACCCCAAACCCCCAATATCACCCCAAACCCCCCCAATATCACCCCAAACCCCCCATACCGACGATGACGCGGGCGAAGGTCCTGTCCTCAGACCCCTCCTCAGAGTACACCATGCTGACGAAGGCCCTGCTGGCGGCGGGTTTGCCCACGGGCGCCCCGTGGATCAGGTCCCGCAGCGTCTTCACCCGCAGGTTGCTCGTCTTCTCCCCCAGGACGAAGCTGATGGCGTCCATCAGGTTGGACTTGCCTGGGGAGGGACGTGCGGGAGCTCAGGGGGGGCACCAGGGGACGGGGGGGGCTTGGTGGACACCAGGGAATGGGGGGAGAGTCAAGGGAATGGAAGGACGCAAGGGATGGGAGGGGTGAGGGTTTGGGGGGATATCAGGGAATTGTAGGGAGCCCTGGGAATTGGGGTGAGGGGCTTGGGGGAGCCCAGAGAATGGAGTTCCCAGGAATTGGGGGACCCCAGGGAATGGGGAAACGCCCTGGGAATGGGAGGCTTGACTGGGGTAACACAGGTAGGGGTGAGATGGAATGGGGAGGAAGGGGGAACGAGGGCGAAGCGAGGGGCTGGGGGGAAGCCCCGGGCTTGGAGGGGTGAGGGGCCCTCAGGGAACAGGAACGGGGTGGGTGGGACCCCCAAGGAATGGGGGATTGTCAGCGGGGACCCCAGAGAATGGGGGAGGGGTGCTGGAGGACAGAGAATAGGGCACCCCCCCGAGGAGGGCGGGGGTGAGGGGGGGAATTCAGGGTCCTTCCCCATCGCGCCCGGGGCCCCCCCGGACCCACCCGAGCCGTTGGGGCCGATGATGGCGGTGAAGCGGCGGAAGGGCCCGATGATCTGGCGGCCCTTGTACGACTTGAAGTTCTCGATCTCGATGAGCTTCAGGAAGCCCATGGTGGGGCCGGGGGTGTCCCGGGGTGTCCCGGGGGTTTCTGGGGTCCCGGGGGGGTTTGGGGGGGTCTCGGTCCCGCGGCCGCGGCGGGAAAGCGGCAGCTCCGGCGGCCGTTGACGACAGGGGAGTTGAGCCTCGCGATTGGCTCAGACTGCTGTCAATCTTCTCTTTAACCCCGCCCTCTCTCTTCTCATAGGTCAGCGGGGGCATTGGCGGGCCCACCCTGCTCTGCCTCACGATTGGCTTTTACTGCTGTCATTCTAGGACTTAATCCCGCCCCCTCCGCGCTGATAGGCCGCTGATTTGCATGCGGGGCTCCGCCCACCGCACTGTTTGATTGGTGGAGCAGGAGGCTCATTTGCATGGAACATACCAAGGCGGGAGGGGGCGAGGGTTATAAGGTGAGGCCGTTGCCATGGCAACGCAGGACGCGTTGCGGCAAAGAACGACGACATTGTGGGTTTTGGGGTAAAAATCGGGTTTATTGGTGATTGGATTTACACAAAGCGGGAAGGGGGGCTTGGCACCCCCTCCTTGTCCACCCCATGCCTCGCACGAGGGTTTACACGTGGCCCAGGTGTGACCCCTCGTGCAAACCCCGCCCCCCGTGGAGCCTCGTGTTATCCTCCCCGCCCCCCCCTCCCCCCGCTCCAGGAGCGCTTTATCCTTGTGTGAACCCCCCTTTCGTGAGGCCTTGTGTGACACAAGACCCTTCTGTGTCCTCGTGTGAACCCCCCACCCCCTCCCCGTGCCACAGGAGACCCCCGTGGATCCTCAAGTAAGCCCCTGTGGAAGCCAGAGCTCCTTCCCCCCCTGCCTCCACGAGCAACTTGAGCCCCTCGTGGATCATCCCCACAGCCTGGTGCCACACGAGCCCTCTGTGAGTCCTTGTGCAAGTCCCCTGTGTGTCCTCATGTGATGCCCCCCGTGTGACACAAGAGCCCCCCTGCCCCGGTGAGTCCAAGTCCCTCGTGTGAGTTCTTGTGTGACGTGATACGCCCCACCAAGCCCTCCCACACGGCCTGAGCCCCCTGGCCTCGTGCAAAGGCTTTGTGTCACCTCAAGTGTCACCTCAGGGGTGATGGTGGGGACACAGCACACGAGCCATGGTCCCCTGTGATCCCGTGTCACTACGTCACCGTGTGTGCCCCGGCGGTGGCGGTGGGGACACAACACGCAGGCCATGGCTCCAGGTGACCCCGTGTGACCCCATGTCATCGTGTGTGGCCCCAGCGGTGGCGGTGGGGACACGGCAAGCGGGCCATGGCTCCAGGTGACCCCGTGTGACCCCATGTCACCGTGTGCGGCGGTGCCGGTGGGGACACAGCACTCGGGCCATGGCCCGGGCCAGGCTGGTGCTGAAGGCGGCCGAGATCCAGGGGTTGGTGCAGCTGGTCAGGCTGGCCAAGAGCATCAGGATGGTGAAGGCGGGGCCTGGGGGACACGGGGACACTTGGTCACACCTGGGACACCCTGTGGCACCCCCAGGAACACCCCACGGACCCCCAGGGGCCCACCCACTGATACCCCTAGCCCCAGACAGAGCCCACCCTGGGATGGGGGAACATCAGTGTCACCCTCCCCTGTCCCCATATCCCCATGGCCCCAAGGTGACCCCCATGGCCCCTCCCCCCGTCCAGGTTACCCCCCCATTGCCAGTCCCACATTCCCCATAACTCCAAGCCCATCCCTGTGTCCCCATCACCACCCCATTGTACCCATATCCCCCCTCCATCTCCATGTTCCCATCCCCATGTTCCCCATGTCCCCCACTCCCCTTCCCCACGTTCCCATGACCCCAACACCACCCCCCATCTCCATTCCAACCCCTCCCCATGTCCCCTCATGTCCCTGCTCACCTTCCCGCGGTGCCCGAGGGTCCCACACGGCCCAGAGCTGGGCGCAGAAGAAGGGGGTCCAGCAGAGCACGAACACCCCCAGGACCACCACGGCCATCCTGTGGCTCTTGGCCCGGGCTCTCCCGAGCCCCCCGGGACCCCCCCGGCCCTCCCGGAGCTCTCGGGTCACCGCCAGCTGCAGCCCCCCCAGCAGCACCGCGGGGGCCACCAGCACGGCCAGGGCCACCCAGGTGATGTAGGCGCGGGCCCCCCAGGGCTCGATGAAGGTGGCCCAGCAGTCGCTCTCGCCCGGGGCCACCTCGCGCTGCCCGAAGATGCCCACCTGGGGCAGCCCGAAGAGCAGGGACAGCGCCCACGCCGTGGCCAGCGCGTCCCACCCGCGCCGGGCACGGCCCAGGGCAGAGCGGGCCCAGCCCAGGGCAGAGCCAGCCCACCCTGTGACTACCTGAGACCACCCTGTGGTGGCCCCAGACCCTCGTGTTGTGGCTTGAGGGGCCTCCATGGTGGTCCCAGACCCCTCTGTGGTGACCCAAGATACGCCCCTGGTGGTCCCAGACTCCCCTGCTGTGGCTTGAGATGCTCCCATGGTGGTCCCAGATTCCCCCATGTTGGTCTCAGCTTCACCTATGGTGGCATGAGCCACTCTTGTGGTGGCCACAGACACCCCTATTGTGGTCCCAAACCCACCCATGATGTCTTGAGACCCCTCTGTGGTGGCCCAAGACCCCTCTGTGGTAGCCCCAGAGACCCCTATGGTGGTCCCGGACACCCCCACCGTCGCCTGTGACAACGACCTTGAGGGCATCTGCGGGGACGATGGGGGTGATGGGGACATCAGGGGGACATGGAGGGTCACTGGGGTGCCATTGGGGCTTGGGGACATCAGGGGGACACGGAGGGACATTGGGGTGCCATTGGGGGTTGGTGGCATTGGGGTGACATGAGGGACTGGGGGTGTTGAGGTGTCACAGGGGCTTGGGGACTTCAAGGTGCCATTGGGACTTGGTGGCACTGAGGTGACATGGACGGTTGGGGACACTGGTGTGACATGGGGGTGTGAGGGGCACAAGGGGTATGTTGCAGTGACACTGCCCCTGCTGTCCCTGCTGTCCCCATGTCCCCACCCCCCAGCAGGTTCCCACGTTCCATCCCAGGTGTCCCGGCGTCCCTGTGCCCCGTCCCTGTCCCTCCCACTGTCCCCATGTCCCCACCCCCAGCACCCAGTGGGTCCCCATTCCCCATCCCTGGTGCCCCCGGTGCCCCCGCGCCCCCACCCCCAGCAGCCCCCACCCCTCCTCCAGCACCCAGTGGATCCCAGTGCCCCAACCTGCGTGTCCCCAGTGTCCCCCATGTCCCCACATCCCTGGACCCCCTCCCCAGTGTCCCCATCATCCCCGTGTCCCCACTCGCAGCACCTCCCGTCGGCTCCGCTGCCCTCCCAGCGCCCCAGGTCCCCGCTCCCCACCTCTGGCACCCTCGTAATCCCCACACCCCTTCCCCAGCACCCCCCACACCCCTTTGCCCCCCGCCCTCCCCCGCCCTCCCCTCAGCGACCCCCAGACGGTGCCTTCGCCCTCCCCGCCCCGCGCGACCCCGAACGGCCACCCAAGGGCGCTGCGGCCGCGACCCCGTCCCCGCAGTGTCCCCAAAGGCCACCACGCCGCGCGTTCCCCCTGCAGCCCTCCGAGCGGCCACCCACGGGCGCCGCGGCCGCGATGCCCCCCCGAGGCCGCCCCCAGGGGCCGGGTGATGGCGCGGTGGCGGTCCCAGGCCATGGCCACGGCCACGTAGGCCGAGGCGAACATGGCCACCCCCTGCAGGTACTTGGTGACCCTACAGAGCACGTCGGGCCCCGAGCGGTCGGTGAGGTCCCAGAGCAGCTGCGGCAGGACCTGCCCCGCGGCCGCCGACAGGTCCGCCAGGCTCAGGTGCCGCAGGTAGCGGCGCAGGGGGCGGGCGGGGCGGAGAGGGGGGTCCCCGGGACCGCTGGGGAACCCCCTGGGGGCTGAGCGCCACCAGCACCAGGATGTTGCCCCCAGGGCCAGGACCAGGATGACGGACAGGACCCCGATCTCGGCCATGGCCAGCGCGGCGTCGCGGGGAGGGAGGGGTCCCTCTCGGGGGCTGTGGGGGCTGTGGGAGAAGGAGGTGGTTAAATGGGGATCTGGGGGCGTCATGGGTTGGGTGTATGGGGGGTTTAGGGGTGCCCACGGGGAGCTGTGGAGAAGGGGGCTGTTAAATGGGGCCTGGGAAGGTTATGGCGGTGTATGAGGGGTTCGGGGGTGCACAGGGGAACTGAGGGAGCCGGAGGGGCTTGTGGGAGGGTCAGGGGTTAAAGGTGGTCTAGGGGGTCATAGGAAGGTGTGAGGGGGTTTAGGAGGTGCCAGGTGGGACTGGGGATGGGGGTTGGGAGGGTAAGAGGGGGCCTGGGGGCTGTTTAAGGGGATCTGTAGCAGGGGGTTTGGGGGAAAGGGCAGCCTGTGGGAAGGGGGTTGGAGGGGTTGGGGAAAGGGGGGTGGTCCAGGGAGGTGGGAGGTGCAGGGGGGGTGTTGTGTAAAGAGTGGGGCCCCCCAGCTCCCCCCCTGCCGTGTCCCCTCATACCTCCATGGGAGTTTTGGAGGTCCCTCGGTGGGGGGGGGTGAGGGGGGTGGTCAATCCCCAGCCACCTCTGTCCCCTTGGCACCAGTTCACCTGTTACTGGTGGCACTGGGAAAGGCTGTGGTGGACTGGGCAGACTGGGAGGGGGGAGGGGACCCCCCCAGCAGTGATGTCATGGCACCTCTGGGTGCTGGGGTGGGGGGGAGGCAAAAAAATTCCTTCCTCATTCCCCAAAATCCTGATAAGGGCAGGAAAGGACCCGGGTGAGCCCCTCCCCCACCCCCCCAGGGGACCCAGTGGTGGGGGGGGCACCCCCCAGGGACCCCCCCTCCCCAGGAGAGGCCTCAGGCTCAGTCCCATAATGGTTTATGGCCTGGAACTGGGAGCACTGGGAGGCACTCAGGGGGCTGGTGGGGGAAGGGGGAGGAAAATGGGAAGGGAGAACTGGAGGGAGAAACTGGGGGCACCCCCATATCCCCCCCAAAAGGACACGGACACACCATCACTGCCAGAACAGTTTAATGCCTGAAACTGGGAGCACTGGGAGCACTGGGAGGGGACCCAGGCAGCTGGGGGAGGACTCAGGCAGCCAGGGAGGATTTTGGGGCCTCCCCCAAGGCTGAGGGGGCTCAGCCCATGACTGGGACCCCCCCCAGCTCGAAGTGCTGCCGCTCCCAGTCGCTCATGAGGGAGAAGTGCAGGGGTCGCTGGCAGGAGGCGCAGGAGGGGCCGGGGGGGGCGTCCCGGGGCAGCCCCAGGGACCCCCAACACTCCGACAGCTGGTCTGGAGTGGGAGGGAACACAGGGTCAGGGGGGGCACAGACCCCCCAACCGACCAGTGACCCCCCATGGGGTGGCAGCCCTGGCCCAGCATCACCCAGGGTGATCCCCCCCACTTCCCCATATCCCCATAACCCCCAAACCCTGTGACCCCCCACATCCCTCCCATGTTGCCCCCACACCTCCAAATCCCCAAACCCCCACCCTCCATCCTCCCCATCTCCCCAAACCCCCCATTCCCATCATCCCTGTGTTCCCCCTCCCCCTCACCTGCCAGGTGCTCCATCATGGCGGGGGTGTGGTGGGAGTGGGCGCGATCCGCAGCAGCTCCCCCCGCGGCACCGTGGGGGTTGATGGCCTGGACGTACAACCCCCGCTCCAGGAGGGCTCGGCTGAGCCGGGTGTTGATCAGGGCGTCCCCCACCTGCCCCCAAAAACCGCCACACCCAGAAATACCACCCAGGAACACCCCAGACCTCCTGAGCTCCCCTAGGACCCCCAAGCCCCCTGCTCCAGGAGGGCACGGCTGAGCCAGGTGTTGGTCAGGGTGTCCCCACCTGCACCCCAAAACCGTCACACCCCAAAATACCACCCTAAGAACCCCCAAGCCCTCCCCCAGACCACCTGAAAAGCCCCCAGTCCCTACTCACTGGCACAGGGATGCCTCTAAGACCCCCAAATCCTCCCTAAACCTCCCTAAACCCCTCCAACCCCCTCCCCAAAGACCCCCCACCCACAAACACAGGGACAACGTGGCTGGGAAAGGGCAGATTGGGGACCCTCCAGGCTCCCCCCAAACCCTCTCTAAACACCCCCAGTCCCCCACTCACGGGCACGGGCACGATGTGGCTGGGGAGGGCAGCATGGGGACCCCCAAACCTTCCCTAAACCCCCCAAACCCCTCCAACCCCCTTAAACCCTCCCAAATCCCCCCCTAAACGCCTTCCAAATCTCCCGTCCCCCACTCCACGGGCACGGGCACGATGTGGCTGGGGGAGGCAGCACTGAGGACCCCCAAACCTTCCCTAAACCCCCAAACCCCTCTTCCAACCCCCCCAACCCTCCCCAAAATCTCCCCCACTCACGGGCACGGGCACGATGTGGCTGGGGGAGGGCAGCACGGGGACCCCCCTGTCTCGCAGCAGCACCCGCAGGTGCTTGGCGTGGCGCTGGTGGGTGCGGCGCAGGGCCCCCCCCTCGGGCCCCCCCAGCACCCGCAGGGCCGCCAGGGCCCCCCCGACCACGGCGGGGGGCAGGGCCGTGGTGAAGATGAAGCCGGGCCCGAAGGAGCGCACGGCATCCACCAGCGCGGCCCCCCCGGCGATGTAACCCCCCACGGAGCCCACCGCCTTGCCTGGGGGGCGAAAAGGGGGGGTCAGGACACCCCAAAATCATCAGGGTCGCCCCTGACCTCCCTGAACCTTCACAGAGTCCAAGAGATCCCCCACATCCCCTTAGAGCCCCCCCACCGGTGTCCCTCAGTGCAGTTCCCTCAGCAATGACCCCTGACCCCCATTTTTGGGGTCCCTCCCCATTTTTGGGGTCTTATTGAGGGTCTCCAGCACCACAGGCTGGGGGAGGGGGTGCTTTAGGGTTTTTTGGGGTGTCCCCATTTTTGAGATCCTCCCCATCTTTGGGGTCTCACCCAGGAACCCCAATGCCACCAGAGATTCTGACCCTCCCGTTTTGGGGTCCCCCCTCTTGCCAAGGGTCCCCGACACCACAAGGGTGCCTGACCCCCCCCCCCTCATTTTTGGGTTCCCTCCCTCTTTTGGGGCCCCTCCCTTACCGAGGGTCCCCGACACCACGTCCACCTTGGCGGTGACGCCGTCGCGCTCGGCGATGCCGCCGCCCCGGGGGCCGTAGAGCCCCACGGCGTGAACCTCGTCCACGAAGGTCAGCGCCCCGTGGGCGTGGGCCACGTCACACAGCTCGGCCAGGGGGGCGATGGAGCCTGGGGAGGGGGAGGGCACAGGGGGTTTGGGGGGAATTTAGGGAGGATTTCAGGGGTTTGGGGTGAGGTGCAATGTCACAGAGCACCGCCAGGGAAGCCGAGGGGGCACAGGTGGGACTGGGGGGACGTGGGGGGATTTGGGACCCTGTGGGAGGATTTGGGGGGATTTTGTGGATTTAAGGTGGACTTGTGGGGGGAGCTTTGAAGGGGACTTGGGGAAACATCATGGGTGTGGGTGATGTCACAGAGCTCGGCCAGGGGGGCTGTTGAGCCAGGGAGGGGGAACAGATGGGAGTGGGGGGGACATGAGGAGGTTTTTGGATTGTGGGTGGGTTGAGGGGATCTGGAGGGGTTTGGGGAGGATTTGGGGTGAGGGTGCAATGTCACAGAGCACCACCAGGGGCGCTGGGGAGCCCCGGGGGTACAGGTGGGACTGGGGGGTCATGTGGGGAATGTTTGAGGGGAATTGAGGGGATTAAAGGGGGGGTTGTGTGATCTGGGTGGGGGACAGGTGTGATGGGGGGCTGGTGAGGGATCTCAGGGGGTTTTGGAGTGTCCTGGGGGGTCCCGGGGGGTTTTGGGCAGTCCCACAGGTCCAGGTAGGCTTTGGGGTGTCCTGAGGGTCCTGCTGGGTTTTGGGGTTCCCCACACTCACCGTCCATGGAGTGAACGGACTCGAAGGCGACGATTTTGGGGACCCCTGGGGGGCTGCGCCCCAAGAGCTCGTCCAGGTGTTGGGGGTCGTTGTGGCGGAAAACGTGTTTGGGGGCCCCGCTGCGCAGGATCCCCTGCACCATGGAGGCGTGGTTCCCCGAGTCCGAGAACATGTGGCAGCCTGGGGGGCACCCCAAAATCAGCACTCCCCTGTCAGCACCCCAAAAACCTCAGCCAGTCCATGGGAATCCCAAAAACCCACCCCAAAATCACAGCCCATTAAATAGATGCCCCTAAAACCCAGCCCAAACCCATTCAGTGGTTCCCCGACTCTGAGAATAGGGGACAGCCTGGGGGGCACCCCAAAATCAACCCCCCCCAAACACCCCCCCAAACCCCGTCTCATGAGATTTTCGGGGTTCCCAAGAGGCTTTTGTGGGTTCTTGAGAGGTTTCGAAGAATGGTGAAGCAGCAGAAGAGGGGGAGGGGTTTGGGGGTTGTTTGGATTCCCATGTATTTTTGGGGTGCCCTGGTGGGTTTTGGGGTGCCCTGAGGGACTTTGGGGTGTCCCCTTTAGCTGGCAGGAGCTGCACCAGCGTGGTTGGGGCGGTGTCCTTGGCGGTGAAGCAGGAGGAGAAGAGGGTGGGAGTTTGGGGGTTCCCATGAGGTTTTTTTGGTTCCCATCAAGTTTTTTGGGATTCCCAAGAATGTTTTTTGGAGTTCCCATGACATTTCTTGGGATTCCCACTGGGTTTTTTTTGGGTTCCCGGGAGGGTTATTTTGGGTTCCCAGGAGGGTTTTTTGGGTTCCCATGAGGTTTTTTGGGGTTCCCAGGAGGGTTTTTTGGGTTCCCAGGAGGGTTTTTTGGGTTCCCATGAGGTTTTTTGGGGTTCCCAGGAGGGTTTTTTGGGTTCCCATGAGGGTTATTTTGGGTTCCCAGGAGGGTTTTTGGGGTTCCCACACAGATTTTTAGGGTTCCCACGAGGGTTTTTGGAGCTCCTCAAGCAGTTTTTTGGGGTCCTAAGAACTGTGGTGTCCTCCCATCAGGTTTCTTTGGGTTCCCATGGGGGTTTTTGGGGTTCCCTCGTATACTTTTTTGCTTCCCTGGTATTTTTGGGGGGGTTCCGTGGTATTTTTGGGGTGTGGTACCTGGCAGGAGCCGTGCCAGCGTGGCCAGGGCGGTGTCGTTGGCGGCGAAGCAGGAGGAGAAGAGCAGTGCCCGGGGCTGCCGGTGCAGCCGCGCCAGCGCCCGCTCCAGGGCCCCGTGCAGGGGGGACGTCCCCCCGATGTTCCGGGTGCCCCCCGCGCCCAGCCCGTGGGCACCCAGAGCCGCCCTGGGGGGACAGCGGGGTCAAGGGGGGATCTGGGGGGCATTTGAGGGGATCTGGGGAGGATTTGAGGGGATTTGGGGAGGTTTGGTGGATTTCAAGGGGATTTGGGGAGAATTCTAAGAGGGTTTGGAAGGATCCTAAGGTGATTTGGAGAGGATTTAAGGGGATTTGGAAGCATTCTAAGGGGATTTGGAGAGGATTTCAAGGGGATTTGGAAGGATTCTAAGGGGATTTGGAGAGGATTTAAGGGGATTTGGAAGCATTCTAAGGGGATTTGGAGAGGATTTCAAGGGGATTTGGAAGGATTCTAAGGGGATTTGGAGAGGATTCGGGAAGGATTTCAAGAGGATTCAAGAAGATTTGGGCGAATTTGAGGGCATTTCAAAGGGGTTATGAGGGATTTTGGGGGCATGGGGGAGATTTAGTGGGATTTGGGTTGGGGGGGGCTGGATGGGGTTTGAGAGGGATTTAGGGGAGATTTTGGGGGGTTATGGGTGTGGGGTATTCAAGGGGATTTGGGGGTTTTTAAGGGGTTTTGGGGTGCCCACCTGGCCGCCCGCAGCACCTCGGGGTGGCGGCTCATGCCCAGGTAGTCGTTGGAGCACCAGAGCTGGATGAGGCGGGGGGGGGTCCCCAGGAGGGCGGTCGGGGGGTCCCGGGCGCGGCGTCTGACGGCCGTGAACTCCCGGTAGGTGTGGGAGCGGCGCAGCCCCGCCAGGCGACCCCCGAACACGGCCTCGTAGGGGAAGGCGTCCTCTGGGGAGGAGGTTGGGAGTACAGGGTCAGGGGAGTGCCTGGAACTGCCAAGGGACCCCCAAACCCCATCCCCTCAAACCTCCGAACCGCCCCAGCCCCCCAAACCCCCATCAGACCCCCAAAATCCCCCATTGTACCCCAAAAATCACCTTGGAGGGGAAGGTGTCCTCTGGGGCTGGGAGGGGGGGCAGAGTGGGAGGTGGGGAGCACCCCTGAACTGCCACAAGACCCCAAACCATCCCCAGCACCCCAGAACACAACCTCAGACTCCCCCCATTGTACCCTGGATCCCTCCAGCCCCCAACCCCATCTATCCTCCCAGAGCCCCCCCAAATCCTCATCAATGCCCCCAAAGCCCTTAATATTCCTCCTAAAACCTCCTCGGCCCCTCCTAAATCTTTCCAGACTCCACAAAGTCCCCTATAACCTCTCAACACCCCCAAACCCTCCTATGGCCCCCCTAAAAGCCCCCCCCTCACCAGGCAGGTTCTCCTCCAGCCGTCGCTCAGGGAGGTCCTCGGAGGGTTCCCCCCATTCCAGCAGCCAATCCAGGGGGTCTGGAGGGGATTCAAAGGTCAGGGGGGTCCCCCAGAGCTGGGGGTGGGGTCGGGGGGTCCCCCCAAATCTGTTACCTGCCTCCAGGGGGGTCACATCCTCCTGCATTTCGGGAGCTGCTCGTTGGACAAAGGGGGGCCCCTCTCCCCGCAGGTCCATGAAAGGGCAGTGGGACCCCTCGGGGGGGTCACCTGGGGGGAGACAAAGGAGGTTAAGAGGGGGCTCAGCACCCCCAAATTATCCCAACCCCCCCAAAACTCCCCAATCCCCTGGAAAACTCCCAACCTCTCCACAACTCCCTCCAGACCCCCCGAAACTCCTTCCAACTCCCCCCAAAACTCCCTTCAACCTCCCCCAAAATTCCCAACTCCCCCAAAACTCCCCCCCAAGCTCCTCCTAAACCCCCCAAAACTCCCCACAACCCCCCCAAAAGTCCTCTAACCTGCCAGAAACTCCCCTGCCCCCCCAAACTCCTTGAAACTCTCCCAAAAACTCCTCCAAACCCCCAATGCCCCCACCCCTCCCAAAACTCTCCCACCCCCAAAAATCCTCCCAAAACTCCCCCCAATCACCCCTTAAAACTCCCCCAACCCTTCTCAAAACCCTCCCAAAACAGCCCCCAACTCCCCCCAAACTGCTAGGGGGGTAGTCGGAGGGGGTTGTCCCCCTCCCCAATTTGGGGGTCCTGGGGTACCTGGGTGGGGGCGGGGCGGGGCCGTGGCAAAGGCTCGGACCAGCCACGGGTGACGAGCCAGGACGGGGCAGCGCAGGAGGGCGGCCATGGTGCTGGGGGTGAAAAGGGGGGAATGAGCACCCCAAAAACCCCCTGTACGCCCCTAAAATCCCTCCCAAATCCCCCTCGTTCCTCTCGCCCCCGAAACCCACCCAGAACCTCCCCAAACCCCTCCCAAACTGCTGGGGAGGGTCTAAAAGGAAGTGGAGAGGAGTCAGATGGGCACCACTAACCCCCCCCAAAAATGGTCTGGGGGGTGAAGAGGGGGGGTCAACACCCCCAGAATCCCCCAAAACGTCCCCAAATTTGCCAAAACCGCCCCCTCTCCCCTCCCATCAGCCCCACCTGCCCCCTGAGCCCCGGTTTGGGGGGTTTTGGGGACCCCCAAGTGGGTCAGGGGCGGTGTGACACCTGGGGCCCCCCGAATTCCCCAGACCCCCCAGAAACCCTCCCAGGAACCTCCAAAGTTTCCCCACCTTCCTCCCCGCCAATCATCCCCACCTGGACCCCTGAGCTCTGTTTCGGGGACCCCCACATGGATGGGGGGGGGGTTGTCTATGAGGGTCCCACACCCAGGAGTTCGGGGGGATCCGCGAGACCTGACCCCACCCCCCAAATCAGCCCCACCCAGCAGCCTCCACCCCTGTTTTGGGGGGATTTTGGGAGGTGGGTGTGGCCCCCCCTTATCGGCCTTATCAGCCCCCACCACCTGGAGCCGCGGGTCACGTGACCCTCCCACCCAGGAAGAGGGCGGGGAGAATTTGGGGGCCCAAATGTTCTACCCCCACCCTGACCCTCCTGGGGGTCCCCAAACCCTCAAAATCCCCCTAAAACAGGACCCAGGGGAGTGGGGGCTGATTTGGGGGAGGGAAATTTGGGGGTTCTTGAGGGCTCAGGGGGGCTTTGGGGCCTGGGGAATTTAGGGGTCCCAGGTGTCCCACCGTCCCCGACCCACTTGGGTGTCCCCCAAACCCCTAAACCGGGGCTCAGGGGGCGGTGGGACTGATGGGGAGGGGCGTTTGGGGGCTTCTGGGGCTCTGGGGAGTTTGGGGTGCCAGGACCCCCCCCAAAATTCCTTTTCTCCCCTCCCCAAGCATCTTTGGGGAGGTGAAGGAGACTTCTGGTGGGGGGGTGCTGGCGACCCCCAAACTCCTGGGATCTCTCAAGGGGAGCGTCTCGGACCCCCAGAGATACCCCCCGATCCATTTAGGGGTCCCCAGCGCCCCAGAATTCCTCCCTCCCAAGGGATCCCAGTGTCTGACACCCCCACAAACCCCACCCCTCGGCTCCTATGGGGTCCCCAGCCCCCACCCCGGGGATCCAACGCTCCCCCAAATCCCCCTTCTGAGGTTCCCAGCCCCCCAAAACCCGCCTTTGGGGGTCCCCTAAAACTTAATGCTCCCCTGCCCCCCAGACCTCCCCCATCATGAGGGTCCCCCACCTCCCAACCCCCACCTCGTGGGTCCGAAGCCCCCCAGAACCCTCCACCCTGCTCCCCCAACACACCTGTTGTCCCGCACTGAGGACGAACAACGAGCACTGTGCCCCCCCCAAAACGGGGCCCCCCCAAACCGATAAGCCCAGAGGGGCGGGGAAATGGGCGGGGCTTCATCGACCGGGGCTCCGCCCACAGCCCCTCCCACCTCCCCTCTGAGAGCCCTCAAATCCCCCAAACCCTGAGACACCCCAAATCTCAGCTCCCCACCCAAATCTCCCCAGACCCTCCCCAACACCTCTGAGCCCCCAAACCACCCCAATGCCCCTGGGCCCCTAAAAGCCCTTGAGACCCCAAACTTTCCAACACAAGCCCACTGAGATCTCAAACTGCCCAACCCCCCTAAAGTTCCTGACACCCCCCAAAGCCCTTGAACCCCCCTCAAGCCCCCTGAGACCCTCAAACTCCCTTAAATTCTCCCAAAACCCTGAGCCCCCCAAAACTAGCCCAAGCTCCCTGAGCTCCCCAATCCAGAATGGGACCCCCAAGGGGACAATCTCCCGTCCCCCAGGGGGGTAGGACTGGGACCCCCAAAGGGACAAGATGGGGACCCCCGGGAGGACAAGACCTGGTCCCCCGTTGGGGTGGGAATGGGACACTCAAGGGGAAAGGATTGAGACCCCCAAATGGGGAGAATCAAGACTCGAAAGGAACACGACTGGGACCCCCCAAGGGAACGGGACCAGGACCCCCGGGGGGACAGGACTGAGCCCCCCAAGGTGACAAGGCCAAGTCCCCCCGGGGGGGCCCCACTGCCCCCCCCAGCCCCTCCCAGCCGGCCCCGAGCCAGGGTGTAACGTTACCTCCGACCTTCCCGGGGGGCACCGCCGGCACCGCCTGCCCCCCCACCCCAAAATGGAGGAGAAATCCCCCAAAATCCCAGGTACGGGGGTGGGGTGGCCTGGGGGGGGGGACACAGCAGGGGTCGGTGACCGCGGGGACACTGAGGTGGCAGGGGCAGAGGGCACGGCCATGGCGGCGGCACCGCAGGGGCTGACACGGCCCCCCCGGCCAGAAATGGGGGGGTGCCTGAGCCCCCCCCGGCTGAGACGGGGGTGTAAGTGGGGAGGCGGGGATTTTGGGGTGGGGGGAACACACCTGTGCCCCTGAGGGGGGTGAATTCTGCCCCCAATGCACCCTACGGGTGTGTAGGGGGTTCCTCCTGTCCCCCCAGGGGTGCCATCCTGTCCCTTTGGGGGTCCCTCTGTGGGTCCCACCCTGTCCCTTTGGGGGTCCCAATCCCCCCTTAGGGATCAGGAGTCCCGTGGGGGTGGGAAACTTCAGGGTGAGGAGGAAAAGAGGATCAGGACCCCCCCAAAAAGGGGCACAAGGGACCCCCCCCCCCAAGCCCTGCTGGGCTGGGGGACCCTCAAGCCCACAGTCACCCCCCTCCCCCTGGGCTGGGGGGGGCTCCCTGACCCCCCCGGGGTTGGGGAACCCCTTTGTCCCCATCCCCCTTGCATTTGGGGGGTGATTTGCCCCCCTCGGGGCTGGTTGTTCTCCCCCACACTGGGGTGCAGGAGAGATTTGAGGAGTGCAGAACCAATTGGGGGAGGGGGTAACACTGCCGTGACCCCACCCCCCAAATGCCCCCAGCCTCTGTGCCCCAGTTCACCAACTGCCCCACCATGGTGATCCTCGTGGGGTTGCCCGCCCGGGGCAAGACCTACATCTCCCGAAAACTCACCCGCTACCTCAACTGGATCGGGACCCCCACACGGGGTGAGTGCTTTTGGAGGGTTAGGGGGGGATGTGGGGAAGGGTTTGGGGACCCCCTGAAGCCCCCCTGACCCCTCCCCCTGCAGTGTTCAACGTGGGGGAGTACCGGAGGGAGGCCGTGCCCAGCTACAAGAACTACGAGTTCTTCCGCCATGACAACCCCGAGGGGATGGAAATCCGCAGGTCAGAGGGGGATGTTGGGGCGAGGGGAGGGTATTTTGGGGTGTGTTTGGAGGGGAGGGCACAGCTGAGAGCCCCCTCCCCCCAAAATTCCCAGGCACTGCGCCCTGGCCGCCCTCAAGGACGTCCGGACCTACCTGAGCTCTGAGGAGGGGCAGGTGGCGGTAAGACCCCCCCCTCCAAGGGATAAAACACCCCTACGAGGCACAAAGAAGCCCCCTCAAATTTTTAGGGAATCCAAATTGCCCAGCAAACCCCTCCCCAGGTGTTTGATGCCACCAACACGACGCGGGAGCGGCGGGACGTGATCCTGCAGTTCGCCAAGGAAAACGGGTACAAGGTACAACTGAGGGGGTCACAAGGGATTTTGGGGGGTTACAGAGTGAGGGGGGGGTCTAGAGCACATTTTGGGGGTGGTCCTGATTCGAGGGTGTCCACAGGATGTGGGGGGTGACACTGTTGTGGGGGTGTCACAGTTTGGGGAGGCAGTGGCACCATTTTGGGGGTGTCACATTATAGGGAGAGTCCACAGAACTGGGGGGGCAGTGGCACTGGTTTGGGGTGTCGACAATATGGGGGCAATTACAGGTTTTTGGGTCTCACAGCAGGGGGGGTGTTGGCACTAATTTGGGGGTGTCACTGTTTTGGGGGTGTCACAGTCTGGGGGGAGGCTGGCCGTGTTTTGCGGGTGTCACCCCACGGGGAGGGGGCCACCGTTGCCCCCCTTTTCTCCCCCCCAGGTCCTGTTTGTCGAGTCCATCTGTGACGACCCCGCCATCATCGAGGAGAACATCAAGGTGAGACCCTGGGGAAGGGGTGGGACAACAAGGGACACCCTGGGGGTCTCACCCAGGACCCTGGGGAGTGCAGGGCTGTGTGTGCCCCCCAAAAAAGCCGTTTTATCCCCCCAGCAAGTGAAGCTGAGCAGCCCCGACTACAAGGGCCGAGCGCAGGAGGAGGCGGTGGCCGATTTCCTGCAGCGCATCGAGTGCTACAAGGCCACCTACGAGCCTCTGGACGACGAGCTGGACAGGTGAGACCACCCCCTGTGCCCCCACCATGGGACCCAGGACCCCCCCCCGTGCCCTGACAGGGGTCTGCCCACCCCCCCAGCGCGCTGTCCTACATCAAGATCTTCGACGTGGGCGTGCGGTACCTGGCGAACCGGGTGCAGGGCCACGTGCAGAGCAGGATCGTCTATTACCTGATGAACATCCACGTCACCCCCAGGGCCATCTACCTGAGCCGCCACGGCGAGAGCCAGCTCAACCTGAGGGGCAGGATCGGGGGGGACTCGGGGCTGTCCCCCGTGGCAAACAGGTGGGGACAGAGGGGCTGGGGTCACAGAGCAGCTCCACCTGAGGGGCAGGATCAGGGGGGACTCACAGGGGGGGACAGAGGGGCTGGGAGGCTCAACCTGAGGGGCAGGATCATGGGGGACTCAGGGCTGTTCCCCTGCAGCAGACAGGTGGGGACAGAGGGGCAGAGCCAGTTTAACTCATGGGGACACTCAGGGCTGTCCAGTCTGAGAGGACACCTGGAGACAGGTGGAGTCAGAGTCATGAAAGGGCAGAGCCTCCAAAAGACCACACTCTGATGTGTAAATTAACATCACCAAGCCACACCCACAGGAGGGCAGAGCTCTCAGAACATCACACCCTCCACAGGTGTGGTAAAGGACACGCCCACAGAGGGGCCACACCCCAAAACACCCCCCATCCCAGTGAGAGCCACCAATCCCCCCCCCCAGCATGGGGACTGTCCCTCGTCCCCCCAAAACGGGGACTGTGTCCCCGCCGGTGTCCCCTCAGCCCCGCCCCCTCCCAGTACGCGCAGGCGCTGGCCCAGTTCATCCGCAGCCAGAGCATCCGGGAGCTCAAGGTGTGGACCAGCCACATGAGACGCACCATCGAGACGGCCGAGGCGCTGGGGGTGCCCTACGAGCAGTGGAAGGCCCTCAACGAGATCGATGCCGTGAGCCACGCCCTGTTATTTTGGGGAGGGGTGAGGGGGGGGGCACAGGGCATAGTTTACACCCCCCTGAGCCCCTCCATCCCACAGGGGGTGTGTGAAGAGATGACCTACGAGGAGATCCAGGAGCGCTATCCCAAGGAGCTGGCGCTGCGGGACCAGGACAAGTATCGCTACCGTTACCCCAAGGGCGAGGTACCCCCCTGCCCCCCACCCCTGGGACCCCTGGGGGGGCTGCAGGGCCTCGGGGAGACCCCCTGACACCCCCTCCCCAGTCGTATGAGGACCTGGTGCAGCGGCTGGAGCCCGTGATCATGGAGCTGGAGCGGCAGGAGAACGTCCTGGTCATCTGTCACCAGGCCGTGATGAGGTGCCTGCTGGCCTATTTCCTGGACAAGAGCGCGGGTGAGGCCCTGGGGACACTTTGGGGACACTCTGGGGACACCCCAGGCCTGCTGCCCCCCCCATCCAATTTTCCCTCCCCCCAGATGAGCTGCCCTACCTCAAGTGCCCCCTGCACACGGTGCTCAAGTTGACCCCCGTGGCTTACGGTGAGTGGGGGGGTGTCCCCCCAAAATGAGGAGTGTCACCCCCAAATGGGGACAATCCCCCCACAAAATAGTGACTGTGACTGTCCCCCAAGTGTCCCAACCCAAAATGGGGTCAATCCCCCTCAGAATCGGACTGTCCCTCCAGTGTCCCCCACCCAAAATGGGGACTATCACCCCAAAAGGTGGACTGTTCCCCTGGTACCCCCATCCAAAACGGGGACAATCCTCTCCCCAAAATTGAGACTGTTCCCCTGCAAAGGTGACTCTTTCCCCTGTGACCCTCCCCAAAATGGGGACTATCCCCTGCACTGTCCCCCCCCAAAATGAGGGCTGTCCCTGCCCTGTGACCCTCCCCAAAATGGGGACAATCCCTCCCCCCGTATCCAGGCTGTGAGGTCGAGTCCATCTTCCTCAACATCGAGGCCGTCAACACCCACCGGGCACGACCCCAGGTGAGATCCCCCCACCCCCAAAAGAGGGTGCACACCCCACTAACCCCCCCAAGATGAGGGGCTGATAAATTTTGGGGACATCCCCCCAAAACCCCATTTGTTCACCCACAGAACGTCGACATCAACCGCACTGCAGCCGACGCCCTCAACACTGTCCCTGAGCACTTCTGAGGGGTCCCTGGGAAAGGGGGGTCCCCCAGGGAAAAGGGGGTCCCCCAAAATATTAAACCTTGTACAACTGAGCCTGGACAGCGGGGGGGGGCTGCACACCAAAGGGGCACCTTTATTTTGGGGGGGGTTGGGGGGCCGTGGCCTCATTGTGCTGACTCGTCCAGAACTTGGGGTTCTTCCCCTGCACCTGGGTGGGAGTAAAACGGGGAGGGGGGATCAAATGGAGCCCCCCAAAACCCAGAGATGCCCCCCCACCCCAGCAGGGCCTTACCTTGGCCACAAAGTTCAGGATGTCCTCCTTGGAGGTCTCCTGGGCCGCCCGTGGCCCCCACTGGTAGCTGAACTGGGGGGGGTCCGTCAGGGGGATGGAGGTGATCTTCAGGTACCTGGAAGGGGGGGGGAGGTGGTTTTGGGGGTCCCCAAGGGGGTGTCCAGCGCTCCCCAGCCCCGTGACGGACCCCTTGAGCCACAGGGGTTGTCAGGGGGGCTGCAGGGTTTGCTCTGCGGTGTGGTATAAACAGCCCGGCCGGGCTGGCGCCGGGGCTGCTCTGGGCACACCGGGAGGGGGCCCCCACCCCAAACCCCCCAGAGCCCACCCAAAACCTCCCCCAGAGCCCACCCAAAACCTCCCCAGAGCCCACCCAAAACCTCCCCAGAGCCCACCCAAAACCTCCCCAGAGCCCACCCAAAACCTCCCCAGAGCCCACCCAAAACCTCCCCAGAGCCCACCCCAAACCCCCAGAGCCCACCCAAAACCTCCCCAGAGCCCACCCAAAACCTCCCGCAGAGCCCACCCAAAACCTCCCGCAGAGTCCTCCCAAAACCTCCCCCAGAGTCCTCCCAAAACCTCCCCAGAGCCCACCCAAACCTCCTCCAGAGCCCACCCAAAACCTCCCCAGAGTCCTCCCAAAACCTTCCCCAGAGACCACCCCCAACACCCCCTCAGAGCCCACCCCAAAATACCTCCCCAGAACCCACCCCAAAATACCTCCCCAGAGCCCACCCCAAAATACCTCCCCAGAGCCCACCCAAAATACCCTCCCTAGAGCCCACCCCCAAAACCCTCCCCAGACCCCACCCCAAAACCTCCCCCAAAGCCCCCCCAGACCCCACCCCAAAATACCTCCCAGAACCATTCTGGGAGGGGGGACCCCACCCCAACACCCCCTAAACCACCTCAAAATCCCCCCTAGACCACACCAAGAGGGGGGACCCCTCCCCAGAATCCCCCAACTTCCCCTCAGGACTCACTTCTGCCGCACAAACTCGTCCGTCACCAGTTTCTGGACGTCCCCAAAGATCTCGTGTTGCTCCCTGAGCAGGGGGGTGGGTGTTTACCAGGGTGGGGTGACAAACCCTGTGCCCCCATTCCGTGTGTGACCCCCTCCCTCATATCCTACCCTGGGTGCACACGGAGCCAGCGCAGGAATTCCCACAGAGCACCTGGAAAAGGGGGTGTCAGTGGTTGGGGGGGTGACCCCAAGGGAAGGGGGCACAGGGGGGTTTGGGGAGGGACTCACTGTCTTTGACGGCGTTGCCCTTCATGAAGATGAAGCTGAGGATGACGATCAGGAGCCCCATCTTCTCCTTCTCTTTGGCCCTGCGAGAGCCACGTGTCACCCCCGTGGGGTGAGGGGGGGATGTGACACCCCCAAAATCCCCCAGCCCCTCACCTGCAGGGGTGATTGGCCTCAGCACAGGGCAGGCTGCTGACGAGGATGTAGCTGTGAAGTTTGGGGTCGATCTCCACCAGCTGCAGCCCGAACGTCTGCGGGAGGAGAACGGTTAAACCCTGGGGGGCCTCCACCCCAAAAGCCCCCGACCCCTCCCCACCTCCTGCAGAATCCTGCCCGCCTGGCTGACGATCTCCATGTAGGCATCCCGGTATTCCCGGATCACGTTCTTCAGCATATCTACAGCAAGCACACAGGGAACGACTGAGGGAGCCCGGAGCTCCGAGCTCCCCCCCGAGGGCAGCCAGGCTCTGGGGGTCCCAGAGCTGTGCGAGGGGGCTCTGCCCTAAACTCACCTGCCCTCTTGATGGGGATCTTCTTCTGGTCCTTCACGAGCAGGAACTGAACCAGCTCGTTCGCCTGCGGGGGAAGGAGCAGAGAAAAGTGAGACAAGAGTGGTAACAGAGGAGTGAAGGCACAGGACAAGGAGGAGAGGGGTCACCTCAACCCACCTTCTGGTTCACCTGGTCCGGGGAGTACCGCGTCTGCTGCGTGGGGAGGAAATCCTCATCCCCATCGGTCATCTGAAGGGAAAGAATAGGGAGTGTTGGTGCTGGCGAAGGGAAGGGGGAAGTGGAGGAGGAGAAAATGGGCGAAGGAGAGAAAGTGAAAGGAAGAGGGAATGACAGGGAAAAAGAGAAAGAAATAGAGGAGAATGAAGGAAGAAGGGGGAACAGCCCCTCACCTGAGAGCAGCCAACCCCCTTGCTGCGCTTCCGCTGGGACATTTCTCACAGCAGCTCTGAGGGAAAAACAAAAACCAGGCGGGCCGAAAACGCGACTAGACCGCCCCAAAGGCCACCCCTCGCGTCTTCCCTCAGCGGAGCCACAGAAACCCACCCTCCTACCGCCTCAAGGCCCATTAAACGCTCCGGCCGCGAGCACGACCCGTCACTGACCGCTCTCAGCCCGAGACTGCGCCCGCCGGCCCCGCCCACCCCGCCTCTCATTGGCCACAGCACCTCCCTCGTCCCTCCCTCCGCGACACGATTGGTCGAGAGCCAGCGCTGGCCCCGCCTCCTCCCCGTGGCCGCGAGGAGTCACGTGCTCCCTACGCCCCGCCCCTTCTCCCTCGCGTCCCCCCAGGGCGCGGAAAAGGCGGGAAAGGCGCCTCGCGCACCCCCCCCCCTCAGGGCGAACAAATAGAGCCCAGCGCTAAGAATGATGCTAAACGCTCCCAAACGACTCAAAATGGCCCATTTTACCACCATCCCCACCTTTAACAGTGAGTATTTGGATAACCACAGCAGTGCTTGAAGCACCCGTGTTGTTCCTGCCCCTCCCAAAATGTACTATCGGGGTCCTTCCCACAGGTGAAGAAGCGACAAAATGGCGGCAGAGCCTGAGGGGGGTTTGCTGTCCGTGACCACCCCCAGCGTAGCCCTGGTTATGGGGGGACCTTCACCCCCCACCTGGGCAGCTGAGGATGCTGGGAGGGGTAAGTGGGACAGTTTGGGGGGAGAACAAAGGGTGTACGAGGGGTTTTGGGGAGCTGTGGGACCTCAGGGGGTGTGTGGGAGGTCCAGGCTGGCTTTTGGGGTGCTCTGCAGGGTTGGGGGGGCTCATTCAGTGTCAAAGGAGGGGACAAAGAGTGATATAGGTAGGGGATGGAGAAGGCTGTGGACATGCACAGGACCATAAATAATGGGGGTGCACCCCCCAATGTTGAGCCCCCCTTGGTCCCAATTTTGGGGTTCACTGAAACCCCCCCTCGGAGCTGAGCACTAAATTTGCTGAGTCAGCTGGAAAAGCGGGGTCCCCTCAAATTCAGGGGGGAGGTAAACATCCCCACCCCCCCACCTGTGAGATGAGGTGAGTCCCCCAAAACCCCCCATGGGGGTCCCTCTCCTCCTCCCACCCCCAAACCCTCCACAGTCCAACCTCCTGCTTGAACAACCCCCAAAATCGCACCTTTCAGACACACCCCTGTCCCACCAGTCCTTTTACTTCAAAAAGGGCTTTTTTTAACCATTTCTCACTTAAATAAAAATAAAAGGCTTTTTAAGTCTCTGGTTTGGATGCTTCAGAACTGCATGGCAGCTTCCAGTGTCTCTGAGAGCTTCGTGGCGATTTTCTCTGCAGGATTGAGGGGGGATCAGCAATTTTGGGGGGCATCAAGGGGGAGGTTTAAGGGGTGAGGAAAACGGGGTGTCTTCACCCACCTGCTCTTTTTTGCAGCTTTTTCCTCCTTTTCCCGGCTGCCTTCAGCCCCTGGCCCTGGAGCAGGGGGGGTAGAGCAGCCACCTCCTCCAAACTGGGGGCATGGGGCACCGACTCCCCCCCGGAGCCCCCCGACTTCACCCGGGGCTTCAGCTCCACCGTCACCGCGCCGAGCTGGGGGGGGACAGCACCAAAATTAACCCAACACCCTCTCAAAAAAACTCCTACCTCTGTGAACTCCTTCCCACCTCCAGGTCCTTCCCGCTGTCGTCCTCCATGGCTGCTCCTTCATCCTCCTCCTCCTCCTCCTTGGGGGCACACGGGGACAGCCCCAGCCCTGTCACCGTCACTGGCACAGCTGGGGGGGCGGGCAGGTGAGTTTTACGGGGGTCTCTGAGGGGTTCACAGAGGTGGGGGGGTCGTTGCTCACCTGCCAGGGCCTCGGCGTCCCCCCGTTCCAGAGCCTCCAGGTCCAGCTCTGGCCCCAGCGCCGGCAGGATTTGGGCCTCCAGCTGCACCCCCTGGGACTCGGGGGGGTGGGTGTAGTAGGAGATCTTCCCACTGTGGGAGGGGGGGGGGATTCAGGGTGTAGGAACCCCAAAAAAAGAGATCACAGGATGTGAGAGACACCCACCCCCCCAAACCAGGGGTCAGGGTGTGGGGCAGACCCCCCAGTGCCCCTCAGCCCTCACCCACCTGGTCCAGTCGCGCAGCAGGGCCACGGCGGCGGCGTGGGGGTCTGGGAGCCCCCCGGGGCGGAGCCGGCCCTGCCGTCGGGCCAGGTGGGACAGGAACTGCAGGGGGTCTGCGCAGGGGGGGACCCTGTAGAGCTCACTCAGCTGGGGGGGGGACACAGGGAGTTGGGAGGGGCACACACAGGGTTTTATTGCCCTCCCCAACCCCTTCTTCAGGGCCAAAATGGAGTGAAAATGCCCCCCCTGAAACAACCCACGAGGATAAAAAGGAGTCCACACGTACCCTTGCCCCCAGACCCACGGCAGAGGCCCCCAGACCCACGGCAGAGGCCCCACCCAGGGTGTGCCCATCCCGGGGGTCCCACGCACCTGCTGGGGGGGGCAGCGGCGCAGGATGGCGATGGCCGGGCTCAGGGGGTCCCGCAGGCGCTGGGGGGCCAGGGCCCCCCTCAGGGGGGCAGCGGCTGGGGGGTCCCCCGAGTCCAGGACCACGCCGGGACAGTCCAGGAGCTGGATGTGCCGGTCCAGCTGCACGGTCTGGAGGCACCTGGTGGGGAGAAAGGGGGGCTTCTGGTGCCACAGCCCCTCACCTGTCTGGGGCTCACCTGGTGACCCCCAGGTCACCCCCTTCCCCCCCCATGTCTGGGGCTCACCTGGTGACCCCCGGGGTCGCCCCCACCCCGCAGACGCGGCTGCGCTTGAGGCTGTTGATGAGGCTGCTCTTGCCCACGTTGGGATACCCTGGGGGGCAGAAAAGGGGTTGGGGGGTCCCCAAAAATCCATCCCCCCTCCAGCCCCAATCACTGCCCACGTTGGGGTACCCTGGGGAAGGTGGGGGGGAGGGCTTAGAGGAGGTCCCTAAAATTAACACCACCCACCACCCCCAGTCCTTCACAGCCCCACCCATGTTGGGGTACCCTTGTTGAGGGGGAGAGCAGCAGTCAAGACATAGGGTAGGGGACACAGCCCCCCAAAATCCAACCCCCTCTCTCCCTTCACAGCCCCTACATCCCCCAGCCCCATTTATCCCCCATCCCCATTTATCCCCATCCCCTTTTACACCCTCTTGTTCATCCCCCAAAACCCTCACACCCCTCCCAGCTCCCACTTTTACAGCCCCTCAGCTCTATTTATTCCCCACTTCCCCCACTCACCCTCCAGCCTCTCTCCCACCCCCCAGGCCCCCCCTCACCCACGACCCCCACGGTGAGGGTGGTCTTGGCCCCCCGCAGCGGCTGTAGTTGCCCAGGACGTGCAGGAGACACTCGGCGCCCACACAGGCCCCCCCAGCCAGCACCTCCTCGGGGGCCGTGGCCACGGGCAGCCTGCTCTGCTTCTGGGGGGGCACAGGAGGGTCAGGAGGGGTCCCCTTGCCGCGAGACCCCCCCAAAACCCCTCCAGACCCACCAAGTTCCGGCTCTGCTGCTGAGTGCAGGCCTTGAAGGCCACGGTGGGGAACTCGGCCCGGAGATGCTTCAGCCACGCGGCCACCACGTCCCTGGGCACCAGATCTGGGGGGGAGGGGGGGCACAAACACACTGAGGGGTTCCCTGAGGCCTGTGGGGACCCCCAGGACCCCCCCAGCTCGCTCCATGTCCCCCCCATACCGATCTTGTTGAGCACGAGCACCAGGCGCTGCCGGGGCCGCAGGGCCGCCTCGAGCCGGGGGCTGCGGCAGCCCTGGGGGTCCCGGGCGTCCAGCACCTCCAGCACCACATCAGCCGCCGTCAGCACCTGTGGGGAGGGGAGTCAGGGCTGGGAGACCCCCCAGAGCCACCACAAACCCCCCAAATATAGCACCGACCTTGCGCAGTTCCCGCCCGAAGTGTCGCAGCGACGCCTCATCCTGGGGGGGCTGCAGGGCCTGGGGGGCTCCTCCTGCTCCTCCTGTAGGAACCTGGGTTAGGGGGACCCCCCCCCTCTCAGGGGAGACCCCCCTACTCTCTGGGGAGCCCCCGTTCTCCAGGGAATCTCCCCACTCTTAAAAGAGACCCCCATCTCTGAGGGACCCTTCCCCTCTCAAGGGAGCCCCCCCACCCTATGGGGAACCCCCCTCTTAGGGGAGCCCCCCATCAAAGGAACATCCCCCCCCCCTCTTTGGGAATCCCCCACGTTCTCAGGGGAGCCCCCCACCCCGGGGACCCCCCGCCATGTGCCCCCACCCCACCTGTCTCTGGAATCGCTGCTGCCGCCTCAGAGCGTCCCCCTGGAGCTCGGCCAGGCCCCGGCGCTGTCCCAGGAGCCCCCCCCGGGCCTCCTCCCGGCGCCGCTGGGCCTGCAGAGCCTGTGGGAACCCCAAAATCCCCCCGGGATCAGACCTGGGGAGGGAACCCCAAAGTTGCCCCCTCCAGGAGTCAGAATGGGGGGTAACCCAAATCGCCCCCCGGCGTCAGCCCCTGGGGGACCGACAGCCCCAAAGCCCCCGCCTCTGCAGGGCCAGCCCCGGGGGTCACCGAAGCCCCCCCGTTCTCACCCTGCCCTGCCGGGTCCCGCTCTGGCTCTGTCCGGGCGCGGCGAAGCGGCCGAGCTGCGGCACCCCCGGGTCCTTCTTCAGCCCCTTCATTCCTGCGGCCCGTCGGCCCTGGGGGTCACACAGGGGTGGGGAGGGGGGGTCACACGGGGGGCTGCACCCCCAAACGCGGCCTTGGGGGGTCCCGGGACCCCGCGGGCCCGGCTTGGGGCTCACCTGGACGCGCTTCTTCCGCGCCGCCTCCACCTGTCGCCCTGCGGGAGGAAGGGGGTGAGTTAGGGGGGTCACCTAAAACCCCCTCGACCCCCAGGACCCCCCCGGGACCCCCCGGACTCACGGGAGCGGGTCATGGCTGCGGCCCCCTCACGCTGCCGGGGATTCCTGGCGCTCGGGGATGACGTCAATTACGGGGGCGGAGGGATGCACGTGATGCTCCGCCACACTCAACATGGCGGACGCGGCACCAAAAGCCACACCCAAAATGGCCGCCACCATAACCACCCACCCAACATGGCGGACGGGGCCTGACACCCTTTATTGCCACACCCAACGTGGCGGACAGGCCATGACACCCCCTGTATTGCCACGCCCAACGTGGGGGCCTCGCCCCACCCCACCCTTTATTGCCACGCCCAACATGGCGGACAGGCCATGACACACCCTGTATTGCCACGCCCAACGTGGGGGCCTCGCCCCACCCCCTTTATGGCCACACCCAACATGGCGGCCCCGCCCTCAGCACACCCAACATGGCGCTTCCCCCGCCCCCTCCCCCCCCAAGAACGAGCAGAGCGGCCCTTACCAAGAGTGCACTTTTTTATTCCTTTTTTTTTTTTAACTTTTTCTCTCAGTTTTGGGGTGGGGGAGGGGCCGAACCTCTTATTTATAATTCGGGGGGTTTCCCCCTTTTCACCATCCCTGCCCCTCCCCCCAACCCCCAGCACGGGGGGCTTGGGGGGTGAAGTGGAGGGGGGGAGGAGGAGAGGGGGGACCCCCAACCCCCCCCAAACAGCAAAAACCGGGACCGGGGAAGGGGGGAAAAAATAACCCCGAAAAAAACCAAAACAAACCAAAAAAAGCCAACGGAACCAAAAAATATATATATATTTATAGAGCCCCCGGGGGGGTCGGGGGCCCCCCATGGCCAGGCTGCAGACCCCGGGGGGGTCACATCCCCCTTAGGCCAGGCTGGAGAACCCAGGGAGGGTCAAGGGTCCCCCCACGCCAGGCTGGAACCCTCCCAGGCCAGGCTTGAACGTTCCTAGGCCAGGCTGGAGCCCTCCTAGGTCAGGCCAAAGCCCCCCCCGAGAGTTCAGACTCCCCCCAGTCCAGCCCGAAGGCCCCGGGGGTGGGTTGGGACCCCCCCTAGGCCAGCCCGAAGCCCTCGGAGCACTCCTGGATGGCCAAGAGCAGCATGTGCCGCAGCTTCTCGTAGCTCTCGTAGGCCGGCAGGTCCAGCTGGTTGAAGCTGGGAGGGACACGGTGGTCACACGGGGGCAGGGGACATGCACAGGGGTCCTGACATTGTCACATCCCCCCCCCCTTCATCCAAGGGTCTCCTTGAGGGTCACTGCGCCCCCAGGGCAGTCTCTGTGTCACCGCGGTGTCACCTCCCTGTGTGTCCCTGTGTCCCCATCCCACCCAGTGACCCAGCCCAGTGTCACCTCCCCTGTGTGTCCTGGTGTCCCTGTGTCCCCATGCCCAGTGACCCGGCCCTGTGTCCCCTCACCTGTGTCCACCACCTCCTGCTGTCCCCTACCACCTCCCTGTGTCCCCCCTGTCCCCTCACCTTGTGTGGGCTGAGGGCAGTCTGTTATGTCCCTCCATGTCCCTGTGTCCCCCCTGTCCCCTCACCACGTGTGGGCTGAGGGCAGTCTGTCCGTGGACCGGTCGTCCCGGTGGATCTGGAACTTCTGGATGCCGTTCATGCCCTCGAGGGCAGCGAATCCCTGCAGGGGCACCTTGGACGTGCCCGTCACGAACTGCAGGAACTTGGCGCGGTCGGCCTGGTCGAAGGAGCGCAGGGCCCGCCAGAACCACTGGATCTGGGGGGAAGGGGGCACGGTCAGACCCCCAGAATCACCCCCAGAAGAGAAAACCCACCTGGATGGGGCTGACCTGGTACCATGAGACCCCTGGGATCAACTCCAGGACCACCCCAGGGGGGGCAAACCCGCCTGGATGGGGCTGCCCTGGTACCTCTGGTACCATGAGACCCCTGAAATTACCCCAAAATAACCCCGGGAAGGGGGTCTGGGGAGCCAATCCCACCTGGATGGAGTTGCCCTGGTACTTGTGGTACTCGGTGTTGGCCTTGAGGTCGTCGATGTCGATGGTGGGCAGCCCCGAGATGAGCAGCTCCAGCTCCTGCTCCGTGAAGATGGAGATGAGGCGCTTGGGGATGATCTCGTAGAATCCCTCCAGGAACGCCGCCAGCTGCTTCCGGATGGCCCCTGGGGGAGGAAATTGGGAGTCACGGGGGGCAGGGAATGGGGAATGACCCCCCCAGACCACGGGAGGGAATGGTGATGTCACTTTGGTCAGGAGGTACCTGGGGATCCCCCCACGATTCAAAGGTATCAAAGCTTTTAACGTAATGATTAATAATTAATTGTATTAATCTATATTATATATAGATTATAAATATAAACACTATATAAAAGTATTATAAATATAAACATTAGATTATATTATAAATATATATTATATATACCATATTTTATAAAGCTATATTGCCACATATTATAAATATATTAACAATGACATTAAAGTCATGTATATAAAGTAATATATAACATTATCATGTTATAGGTACAGTATACATATTACATATATAATAATAAATTACATACTAATAGTAATATTAATAAATATATAATATAAATATATTAGTGTATATTAACTATATATACTAACTGATATATAGTACATACAGTATTTTGCAGTGTATTTTATTATTGGAATTATTAAGATTTATTATATCATAATTGACATTAATATTAATTGACAAATTGACATTTTTCACATTTTTTTAGCAAAGAAAGCGATGTGGTGCTCACTGGCTACAAGTTATGCCTTTCTCTTCATTCCTCTGTAATTACGTCAGCAATTTAAAAATAACGACTAATGCTATTTTGATAACTTTTAACATTAAAAATAATTATATTAATATAACATTATTTAAGAGTGACAACTACTTATACATTTTAGTAAACAAGAGACCCCCCCACTTACTGGTCATGGGCATCGTATTCCTTCTGGTTCTCCTCCATCACCAGCACCCCCAGGACCCCCCTGTGCTCCCCAGAGACCCCCTGTGCCCCCAGGGACCCCCTGTGCCCCCCAGAGACCCCCCTGTGCCCCCCAGGGACCCCCCTCACCGGTCATGCGCATCTGGCACACGAGGTGCACGTATTCCTTCTTGTTCTCCTCCGTCACCAGCACGTTGGCCCCGTTGGGCTTCAGGTCCCGGACCTCGCACACCCCAAATTCCTGCACCTGGGGAGCACGGGGGAGTCACAGGGGTGGGGGACATCCCTGAACCTCAAACACCCCCCATTCCTGCACCTGGGAGGGCACAGGGGGTTACAGGGTTTGGGGGGACATCCCTGAACCTCAAACACCCCCATTCCTGCACCTGGGGGGGCACGGGGGTTACAGGGCTCGGGGGGACATCCCTGAACCTCAAACACCCCCAATTCCTGCACTGGGGGAGCACGGGGGAGTCACAGGGGTGGGGGACAGGTCACCAGGATGTGAGGGGGGGGTGTCACCCCTGGGGTGTGCAGAGTGAGGGAACACCCCAAGACCAGGAAAAAGGGGACAGCTCTGGAGCAGGAGGGGACCCTCCTGGGATGGAGGGGCACCCCCAAACCTAGGGGAACACCCCTGGGGTAGAGATGACACCTGGGGACGCCTGAAATCCAGGGGGACACCCCAGAGACAGAGGGGACCACCCCAGGAAGGGAGGACACAGTTCCCCCAGGAACAGTCCAGGGGACCTGGGGGTCCCCAGTACTGGTTTTGGGGGGTCCCCGATGCTGGTTTTTTAACCCTGTGCCCTGTGGGGGGTCCCTGCGGGGTCCCCACCTCGGTGCTGAAGGTGAGGTCGTAGCCCAGGGTGGACACATCGTTCTCCAGCAGGTAAACCAGGCCCTGGTAGAAGTGATAATCCTCGCTCTCCATGTCCGTGTACCTGAGGGGAAAGGGGGGCAGTGCCCCAAAAATGGGGGTCAGCACCACAGAATGGGGTCAGAACCCCAAAAAAGAGGGTCAGCACCCCAAAAACAGGTGTTTGACAGCTTCTGGAGGGGCTTCAGCAGCCGAGAAAGGGGGTTTCAACCCCCTGCCAGGGAGTTCAGCCCCACCATGGGAGAGGGGGTCTGCACCCTGGGGGTGCAACAGAGGGAGGAGCAACACCCCATAAAGGGGTTCAGCACCCCATAAAGGGGTTCAACACCCCATAAAGGTGGTTTCCCACCCCATGAAGGGGGTCCAGCACTGCACAAAGGGTGTTCATCCCCCCATGAAGGGGGTCCAACATGCTATAGAGGTGGTTCCACACTCCATGGAGTTGGTTCCCCACTCCACGAAGGGGGTCCAGCGTCCCATCAAGGTGGCTCAGCACCCCATGAAGGATGTTCCCCACCCCACACAGGGACTCCATCGCCCCAGGAAGTTGGTTTCACATCCCAAGCAGGGTTTTCCCCAGCCCACCCAGGTTGGCTATCACCCTATAGCATGGTTGCACACCCTATAACACAACTGTACACTCTATAACACTGCTGCACACCCCATAACATGGCTGCACACCCCATAACACCGCTGCATACCCCATAACACGGCTCCCCACTTCACAGGGGACCAGCCCTTACCGCACGGACTTGCCCAGGATGTGCTTGTAGAAGGAGCGGGTGAAGTAGCACTCGAGCAGCCGGTTGTCGTAGACAGCCTTGGCCACGATCCTGCCCACGAACTTGAAGTAGCTCAGGTGGTTGGGGTTGCAGTGGGACGAGGGGTTGATGGTGTAGGTGACGCGGTCGCCGGGGGACGTGCGGAACAGGGCGTACATGGGGTTGAACATCTCCCGCGAGATGATCATGTACCACTCCCGCAGCAGCCCCCCCGCGTCCTGCCCCTCCTCGCCCTCGAACACGATGTACCTGGGGGGCAGGGGGGAGTTACAGGGGGGCAGGGGGAATTTGGAGGAGATTAGGGGACAGTCCCCCCACGTCCTGCCCCTCCTCGCCCTCAAACACAACGTACTTGTGGGATAGGGGGGAACAGGGAGGGATCTGGGGGCACTGGGGGGTGTTTAGGGGGTCAGAGGGCTAGTTCAGACTGGAGGAGGTTGAGGGAGATCAGGGGGTTTGGGGGTGGTTGAGGGGGTGTTTGTGGGGCTGGAGGGGTGTTTTGGGGTGCTGGGGGCATTTGAGGGGATGGAGAAGTGTTTGGGGGGATGAGGGGGGAGTTTGGGGGACTAGAAGGGTGTTTTGGGAGGGGGTGTCTGGGGGTGTTCAGGAGGCCAGGGGACTGTTTTCAGGGGGCTGCGGGTGCTTTCGTGGGGCTGTGGGGAGTTCTGGGGGGCTGTGGGTGGTTTTGAGGGCCCGTGAGGGGTCTTGGGGGCCCATTAGGATGGTTTGGGGGGGTCTCACAGGCGGTTCTTCATCTCCTCGGGGGTCTTGCGGTGCAGCTCCCGGTACGAGTCCTCGAAGACGTGGTCGCGCCGCACGTGCACGGCCATGTCCTCCTTGCGCAGCCCCTCGTCCAGGCGCTCCAGCTCCTGACGGAAGTACCTGCGCAGGGAAAAAGGGTCAGGGGGGCCTGGGAACCCCCTCAGAGCCCCTGGGAACACCCCAGACCCCCCCACACACCTCAGGGTCCCCCTAAGCTCCTTCTCAATACCCTAACCCCCATCCCAACACCCCAAACCCCCTCAAGTGCACTTGAGGCTCCTCCCAGACCTCCTCCTGATGTCCCTCCCTCCCAGGCTCCTCCCAACCCCTTTCTCAACACCTCAAATCCCCTTCCATTTAAAAGACCCCTGAAATACCTTTCCAAAGCCCTAGGCTTCCACTAAACATCCCTAGCCCCCTCCCCAACCCCTCAAATCGTCCCCCAATCCCTTCCCCACACCGCAGCGCTCCCCCAACTCCCTCCCCAGCCCCCACTGACTTGCGCTTGACGTCGAAGTCGAGCACCCTGATGTAGTCGACGAGGACGGCGAAGGGGCCGTCGGCCAGGTGGGTCGTGGACTGGCGCAGGATCTGGTTCAGCACCGTCCGGTGGGTCTCTGGGGGACACAGGGCGGGTTGGGAGGCGTCCCGGAATGGGGGGACACCCCCCTCGTGGGTAGGACCCCCTGGAAGGGGCCATTTGACCCCTGAACTCACCTCGAGTCCCCCCACCCACCTAGGCACACACAGACCCCCCCCAGATCCTGGTGGGGTGCCTTGAGGAGTCCCCTGAGCCCCCCAAAACCCCTCCCCAAGCCTGCAACATCCTGCACATCCCACAAAATTCCCTTCCAGGATCCAGGATCTCCCCAGATCCTCTTCTGAAGACGCAGGCTCCAACCTAAGCCCCCCAAATCCCTTCCCAAATCCCCAGAGACCCCCAGATCCAACCTCAAACACCCAGGCTCCCCCAAAGACTCCCAAAACCCCTCCGTAAAGTCCCCAGACTTCCCCCAAATCCTCCTCTGAAACCCCTTCCCAACACTTTGAATCTCCCCCAAACCTCCTCCCAACACCTCGACCGCCTTCTCCAGCCTCCCAGACCCCCCCAACCTCCTATTCCCAGCCCCCTTCACCGGCAAAGTGCAAGAATTTCTGGGTGTTGGGGGACAGCCTGGGCCCCAAAACCCCCTCCTGACACTCCAACCCCTCAAATCTCCTCACAACACCCCAAACCCTCCCAACACCCCCCTCCCACCCCCACTGTCACCCCATTCCCAGCCCCTCACCAGCGAAGCGCAGGAATTTCTGGGTGTCGGGGGGCAGGCTGGCCGAGATGTGCATGGCCGAGGGCTCCCGGGAGAAGAAGGGGTCGAGGGCCGAGGGCGTGGCGGGGGTCAGGGGGGCGGGGGACAGCGGGGGGGGCTCGTCCTTGATGTGGGACAGTTGGTTCTCCCGCGTGTCCCGCACCGGGGGGCGGCTCTCCCGCTCCGTGGCGTGTACCAGGAAAAAGGCCTCGACCGCCGGCTGGAGAACTGAGGGAAAACGGGGGTCAGGGGGGATGGAGACCCCCCCAGAGCACCCCAGAGCACCAGGAACCACCCTAAACCCCCCCTCAGAGCAGCAGGAAACAGGCTTCGACTGGCTGGAGAACTGAGAGCGAACGGGGGGGTCAGGGGGGCTGAAATTGCAGGGTGGGAACCCGAAAGAGGGGGAGGGAGACCTGAAATTGGAGGTGGGAACCCAAAACTGGGGAAAAAACCTGAAGCTGGGGGGAGGAGGAGCCTGAAAATCAGGGTGAGAACCCAAAATAGGGGAGAGAACTTGAAACAGGGGGAGTGAAATGCAATTTCACTAGGGAAACCTGAAATTTGGGGGGATAACACCTGAAACTGGGAGAACCTAAAACTAAGGGGGGAGGGAGCCCAAAGACTGGGGGGGGCTTCCCCCTATGGGGTTTAGGGACCTTCCAGGGTTTCAGAGCCCCCTGTAGGTTTTGGGGCTCTCCATGGGTTTCAGGATTACCCCCTGGGTTTGGGGGCCCCCTGTGGGTTTCAGGGCCCCCTTGGAGGATTTAGGGACCCCCCATGGGTTTCAGGACCCCCCCTAGGTTCAGGGACCCCCCCAGGGGTGCCGGTACCCACCGAGCACGGCGTGCTGGTCGTGGGACTCCTCCAGCTCCTTCAGACACTCGCCCAGCATGTCCCAGAGCTCGTCCAGGCACAGTTGCTCGCTCAGCAGGGGCAGCTCGGGGGGCCTCTCGTCCCGCTCCCCACCCTGCGACCCCTCCGAGCCTGGGGGATGGTGGGACACAGAGTCAGGACCCCCCTGTGCCCACTGACTCCACCCCACACACCAGTACAGCCCAGTTTGGGTGAGACTGGGATTGCCCCACACCAGGAGGGAGCAAGGTCACCACCCACCCTGGCACTGGGAGCAACTGGTGGGTTACTGGGATGGGGAGGGCAGACTGGGCTGGACTGGGCTGGCCTGTTCTGAAGTGGGTTGGACTGAGTTGGACTAGATTAGACTGTGTTGGACTGGGCTGGACTGGGTTGGACTTGTTGGGACTGGGCTGGACTGTTTTAAGCAGGGTTGGACTGAGCTGGACTAGATTAGACGGGGTTGGACGAGTCTGGACTGGATTGGACTGAATTGCACTGGGTTGGACTGAGTTTAGGCTGGGTTGGACTGAGTTTAGGCTGGGTTGGACTGAGTTTAGGTTGGGTTGGACTGAGTTGCACTGGTCTGGACTTGTTTGGACTGGGGTAGACTGAGTTTAGATTGGGTTGGACTGAGTTTAAACTGGGTTTGACTAGTCTGGACTGGTTTAGGCTGGAGTGGACTGGTCTGGACTGGTTTAGACTGGGGTGGACTGATCTCGACTGGTTTGGACTGAGTTTAGACTGGTTTGGACTGAGTTCAGACTGGGTTGTGCTGGGGGTCTCACCCATGTCCTGGGGGGCTGGCGAGGGCTGGTCCACATCCATGGGCGACTCGTCACGCCGGGGGACGGCGTCTGACTGTCCGGCCTCCGACTGGGGGGGACAGGGGAGGCTTTAGGGGGCCTGGACCCCCCGGGGGAACCCCCAGCCAGGGTGGGGGCTGAGGGGGCCCCCAGTACTCAGGGAGGGGAGTCGCGGGGAAAGCAGCAGGGGAGGGGTGGGGAGGAAAATGAGGAGAAGGGTGGGCTGGAAGAGGGGGAGGAAGGTTTGGTGGAGAAGGGGAAGATGAGGAGAGGTGGGAGAGAGGAAGGAGAAGGGGAGGAAGGAGGAGAGGAAGGGTGAGGGGGGAGGAGGAGGAGTGGGTGGGAGGAGGAAGATGAGGGGAAAGATGAGGAGAAGGAGGAGGATGAGGAGAAGGGAGCAGGTTGAGGAAGAGGACGCAGGGGGTGGAAAGATGAGGAGGAAACAGGGCAAGGATGAACAGGACATAGGAGAAAGGAGCGGGAGGATAAGGAGAGGGAGAATCAGGATGAGAATGGGATGGGAGAGAATGGAAAGATGAGAATAAAGAGGGAGCAGGATGAGGAGGGCATGGGAGGAAGGGGTGGGAAGCTGAGGCAGGGGCAGGACAAGGAAAGGGTGAGAGGCTGAGGCGGGGGCTGAGGAGGGGGTGGAGGAAGGCAAGGCGGCCGTGCTAACCGTGTCTCCCCGCTGCCGCCTCCGGGCCCTCTGGCCCTCACGTACCATTTGTATGATGGCGTCGGCCTCGGCCTCCAGCTGCCGGACGGCGGCCTGGATGCTGCCGGCCGCCCCCAGGCCCCCGGCGCCTGCGGGGCACAGCGGGGTCAGGGCGGGCGGCGCGCAGGGGCGCGGGGCGGGGAGCTGGGGGTCCCTTACCCAGCCGGCCGGGGGGCTTGGCCTTACGGTGCGCCCGGCGCGTGTCGTCCCGCAGCTGGATGATGACCTGCAGCACCCGCAGGAAGAAGCGCTGCGTGGACGTCTTGGAGGTGAGCACGGACATGGAGGGCAGCTGCAGCTCCCGCCCGCCCAGGGCGCGCTTCTGCGACGCCACGATCACCACGCTCTCTGCCGTGTCGAACCTGGGAGCCGAGGGAGGGTCAGGGGGAACAGTAAGGACAGGAGTTATCAGCAGGGACCGGAGCAATCAGTGGGTACAGGAGTTGCCAGTAAGGGCCAGTGAACGGGAGTTACAGAGTTATCAGAAGCACCCAGAGCGAGTGGTGGGTGCAGGACCACCAGAAGGGCCCAGAGGACACCAGGCACTCACCGGCTCTGCATCTTGCCCTTGAGTTTGGCGCTGGGCGGCTGCTCCTCGGGGAGCCCCTCGGGGGAGGGGGCCTCGAGCTGCGCCCGGCGCTGCTGCTCCAAGTTGTACTCACGGAGCTCAGCCAGCAGAGTCCCTGGGGGGGGCAGGGGGGAGTGTCATGGGCTGGGACCTGCCCTGGGACCCCTCCTCACCAACCGGTGGATTCCGCCAGGACACCCCCACTCACCTGGGGAGAGGAACCACTGCCCCTCGGGACACCCCTTACCGACCTGGGGGTACAGGATCTCCCCCCAGACCCCCCCTCATTGATCTGGCAGCCCATGGCTCTCCCAGGCCCCCCCCTTCACCAATCTGGCGGCCCATGGCTCCCCCAGGCCCCCCCTCACCGATCTGGCGGCACAGGGCCCCCCCCAGCTGCCGGGCCCCGCTGAGCAGCAGCCGCAGGACGGTGTCCCGGGTCCCCGCGTCCCCCCGCGACAGCTGCAGCAGCACATTGGCCGCATCCTCCAGCCCCTCCTCCGAGCACGAGTGGGACGTCAGCACCTGGGGACAGGGCACAGGCATGTTGGGGACACCTGGGGACACCAAAGACCACCCCCCTCCCCGATCCTGGCCCCCCATTACCTCCACAGAGAGCTGGAGCTGGGCCTCAGTCAGGCCCGTGGCCGCCAGCCGGGGCTCGGAACTCCCCTCAGGGACCTTGGCCGGGGACTTTGAGCTCTTGGCTGGGGCTGGGGACAGAGGGGACACAGGATTGGGGAGGGTGGCAGGGGAGGGGAGATGCCACCGAGGCCTTTGGCAAATGGTGTCACCCCCTCAGGGTGGGCCCAGCCCCTCCCTCTGCTCTCAACCACCTGATGCCGCCTCTGCTCCCGTGTCCCCACTCCTGTCCCCATGCATGACCCCATCCCTCTTTCCCCACCTCCGTGTCCCTATCCCTGTGGCCTTATCCCTACAACTCCATCCCCACTCCATCCCTATTTTCCCACCTCCATGTCCCCATTCCTGTCTCTGTGTCCCCATCCATGTCCCCAACCACATCCCTATCCCCATATCCATCTCCCTTGTCCCTAGATCCATGTCCCCCTGTCCCCATACCCATCCTCTTGCCCCTGTGTCTCCATTCCCGTATCCATGTCCCCCTTGCCACATCTCCATCCTCACCCCCATCCCCATCGCTGTCCCCATGTCCCCATCCCTGTCCCCCCCCACACTCACCTCCAGTGCCTCCAGCCCCGCTGTGGCCGTGCCGCTGCCATTGCCCCCCTGTGCCGGGGGGCTCCCAGGCGCCGTTGCTCCCCCTGAAGCTGCCCCAGCCCCCCCTGCAGGCGTGGCGGGGGCAGAGGGTGCAGAGGCTCCGTTCTGGGGCGTGGTCCCCCCCTCGGTGGCCTTGCCCCCCTCAGGGAGGGCAATGGAGATGAGGGACAGGAGGCGCAGCAGCTTCTCGGTGAGGAGGGGGCTGCGCCGGATCACGCCGTGGGACAACATGTTCATCAGCTGCCCCAGGGGCGACGCCTCCAGGCCCCCCCCGGTGGCCTCGGGCTCGGGGCCCCCCCCGCCGCCCCCTGCCCGCGCAGACCCCTTCCCCTTCCGGCTCACGTTCATGTTGTCCAGCTTCACCAGCAGGTCCCAAAAATCGGTGGAGAGGCTGCCGGAGGGTGGGGGGAGGGCGGGGGAGGGTGCACCGGAAGGGGGAGGGGCGGGGGCGCCGGTGGGGTCTGGGGAGGTGGGGGGGCAAGGGCTGCCCCCTGATTTGGGGGGGCCGCGGTCGCGTTCTGGGTCAGTTGTTGCCGGGTCTCGGCCTCGCTGTTGGGTGAAGTGGCTGGGGAAGACCTGAGGGAGGGGGAGGTGTTAGTGGGGTGTTGGTGACCCCCCAGATGTTGTGGGACCCCCAGACATCACCAACACCCCCCCAGTCACACCCCGCCTCCCCAGGAGGCCTCAGCCATCCACAGGCCCCACACGGGTTTTGGGGACACCCCCACCTCTGGTGATGTTCCCTGTGCCACTGTGACCCTCAATTTGGGGGGTCCCCAGTTGTGCCCCCCGCAGCACTCCCAGATATGGGGGCTTCCAGTTCCCCTATGAGGTGTCCCAGAGCCCCCCCAGCTTCCTCCAGCACCCTCCAAAGCCCTCCCAGTCCCACTGAGGAGACCCCAACCACCCCTAAAATGCCCTGGCACCACCCAAATGTCCCAGTGCTCCCCAGAACCACCGCTGAATCCCCAGAAACCCAATGATGTGATCCAGTGTCCTGAATTTCCCCCCTTAAGTTCCAAAGGAGGAGCCCCACACCACCTCCTTAAGTGTCTCGGTAACTCCCACAACCTGCCCCAATGCAACCCAGAATACCCCACGGCTCTCCCAGTTCCACTGAGGAGCCCCAAATCATCCCCCAACACGCTCCCAGTGCCCCCCAGGGCCTCCCCAGCCCCTCTCACCTTGGCCAGCTGGATGAGGGTGTCGAGGACGTGCCGGCACACGACTGGGGCAGCCTGGGGGTGGATGTGGACGGCAGAGCCGGCGGCCGCCGCGTGTTTTTCCGTGTGCTTGCGGCCAGGCACCCTCTGGATCTGGAAGATGTTGGTGCGGCAGCCCAGGGCTGCGTCCATGGACACGGAGAGCCAGGAGAGCTGCCCGGAGCTGCGCGACTCCACGCGGTGCAGCAGGTCCAGCCCGCGCGGCTCCGTGGCTGAGCCGGGGGTCCCGCGGGCGCCGCGGCTGCGCGGCCGCTCCTCGGCACCGGGGCCTGGGCCGGGGGGCGCGCGGGGGGTCTCGAGGCACAGCTCGCTCTCGCTGCTGCGCTGCAGGATGGACAGCAGGCTGCGGACCACCCAGCCCCGCGTGGGCGCGTGGTAGCACAGGTTGCGCAGCACCCGGTGCAGGCGGCTCGTGTTCAGCTTGGGCTCGTCCACGAAGAGCAGCACCAGGAGGCACGACAGGGCCTCGTGGTCCAGGAGCAGCCGCCCGCGCAGCCGGAGCAGGCTGTCCACGCTGCTGCCCGCCGGCCTGGAGGTCATGAGGTTAACACCATGGAACAACCACCAAACCCACCCCCAAATTGACCCCAAACTGCCCCGTCCCCACCGCTGCCTGCTGGCCTGGGGGGTATGAGGTTAACACCCTGGAATGACCCCCAAACCCACCTCCAACTGCCCTGTCCACAACGCTGCCTGCCAGCCTAGGGGGTATGAGGTTCACACCCTGAAACAGCACCCAAATCCAGCCCCAAACTGACCCCAAACTGCCCTGTTCACACTGCTGCCCACTGGTCTGTGAGGTGGTTACGCCCCAAAACTGACTCCAAACTGCCCTGTCCACGCTGCTGCCCACCAGCCGGGGGTTACAATCCAGAAAGACCCCCAACCCGACTCCAAACAGACCCACAAACCATCCCACAAACATTCCCCAAAGCGACCCCCAAGCAGCCCCAAGCCCCCTGCACTCACCTGCTGTGGGTGCCAGTGCCCCCCATGTGGAAAGTGCCCCCACGCTGCACTGCGAGCCGCGTGTACTGAACCCCCCGGTTCCCGCTGAGCCGGCTCGTGAACGCTGCGGGGACAAGGGGCACGTGTCACATGCTGGGGACAGGGGATGTGGGACAGGGCATGTGTCACATGCTGGGACACGGGACAGCAAATGTGTCACATACTGGGGATGTGTTACACACCGGGGACAAGGGACATGGAACATCTCATACATGGAGAAGACTCCACACAAACTGGGGGGAAAAGGGATGGGGAGAGAAAAAAAGGTAGAAAATATGGGAAGGAAAAAGGTGGGAAACGTGAGGGGAAAAAAGGCGGGAAACGTGAGAGGAAAAAAGGCGGGAAACGTGAGGGGAAAAAAGGCGGGAAACACGAGGGGAAAAAAGGCGGGAAACACGAGGGGAAAAAAGGTGGGAAATGTGAAGGGAATACAGGCGGGAAAAGGGAGAGCAAAAATGGCAGGAAAAGGGAGTAGAGAAAAGGATAGGAAATGTGAGGACAAAAGGGCAGGAAAAGGAAGGATGTGAGGATAGGGAAGGCAGTGGGACAGATATGGAGGGGACTCATGAGGCTACAGTGGGGTAGGAGCAGATGGGGGGATTGATGGGAAGGGGATGGGGGAAACTGGGGCAGAGGGATTTGGCAGGGGGCAAAGAGGACTGGGGTGGGTGCAGAAGGAATGGGAGGCAGAAGGAATTGGGGGCAGAGGGACCAGGGAGGGCAAGAGAATATGAGGGGCAGGGAATGGAGGGGGCAGAGGGAGCTGGCGAAGTCAGCAGGAACTGCGGGGGAGAGGGAATTGGGGGATGAGGGAAAGGGAAGACAGAGGGAATTGGGAGGAGGGGGTAGAGGGAATGGGGAGACAGAAGGAATTGAAGGGATGCAGAAGGAATTGAGGGGATGCAGAGGAAATGGGGGCCAGAGAGAATTGGGGTGGGACAGAGCGAGTCATGGGGGATGCAGAGGGAACTGGGATGGGCACACAGGAGGTCATGGGGTCCCCTCACCGGGGCTGCGCAGGATGGCCGAGAGCGCCGAGGTGCTGGAGTGGCCGAAGAGCCGCTCGTGCATGAGCTGCCGCTGCCGCGCCTCCTGCTCGCGCCGCAAGGCCTGCGCCTCGGCCGCGATGTCCGGCGGCATCACCGCCAGCACCGAGTCCTCCATGTCCTCCAGCACTGAGCGCCGCAGCTCTGACGGCAGCGTCTGGATGAACGTCACCGGGTCCATCGGCGCGTCCGAGCCTGTGGCCTGCGCCAGCTCCCGCCGCTGCTGCTCCGCCCGCTGCTGCGCCAGCACCTGAGGGGAGACGAGAGGGTGGGACGTGCCCGGGGGATACAGCCATGGGGGGATACACCCCTGTGGGGGACACAGCCATGGGGGGGACACACCCCCTTTTGGACAAGCCCTACCCCCCACAAACACATCCCCCACCCCACATGGGAAGCCCCCCACCCTGGAATCCCATCCATAGAGGTCCCATCCCCCCACATTTAGCTCCACCCCCACATAAGCCCCACCCCAACACCTGTCACATCCCTGTGGCCCCACTCTCCGGTCAAGTTCCACCTTACCACACCCACCCAAACTCCACCCACCGACCACACCCCTCCTTTAGCCCCACCCCTCAGACCACACCCAACCAAACTCCACCCACTGACCACACCCCTCCTTTAGCCCCACCTGCTGACCACACCCTCCTTTAGCCCCACCCACTGACCACACCCTCATTTAGCCCCACCTACCTCCTCCTGGATGGCCGGGGGCAGCGCCGCCAGGAACTCGGGGCTGACCTCAGTCAGGCCAGGATTGGCCACCACGGGCGGGGCGGGGCTGGCGCTGGGCGGGGCCCGGGCAGGGGGGCGGATCCCCAGCTGGTTCTGCAGCACCTCCCGCCGGATGTCATCGGGAAGGGCCGCCAGGAATGAGGGGTCCACGCCCTCTGGCAGGTTGATCCCTGTGGGGACACACACACATGTTGGCGACACCCCTGGGACCGCCCCAGGGACACCCCAAACCACCAGGAATGAGGAGTCCACGCCGCCGGGGAGACTGATCGCTGTGTGAGGGGGACATACTGGGGACACCCCTGGGGTCCCCAAGGGACACTGATCAGGAGGGTGACAAGGAGGGGACAGGGGATACCAGGTGGGATGAGGAGAGAACAGGGAAGGTTGGTGGGGCGGTCAGGGGGTGCCACTGACCAGCCAGGAGGGGGTACAGGGAGGAACAGGACCACGATGGAGGGTGGGACAAGATGGGGACAGGTGGGCACAGGGGGGGTCAGGGGGTACCACTGACCGGCCAGCGGATCCTCCTCCTCGCTGCTGGTGGACGGCAGCGGCTCCTCCAGGATCCCCCGCGAGTCGGCCCCCGAAATGGCCCCGGCAGAGTCCCGGGTGGACGAGCTCTCCGAGGATGAGGCAGGAGGGGAACTGGGGGGGGTCACAGAGAGGGGATGATGTCAGTGGTGGGGAGGGGGGCACCCCCAAAGCCCTGACCCCCTCCATTTCCCACTGACAGGGAGAGTTCTTACCTATCGTCAGGTGGCTGAGCAGCATCGGGAGTGGCGGGTGGGGCTCCCTGGGGGGTCCCAGGTGGGTTTTGGGGGGCTGTGGGAGGAGGGGGAGCCCCACCCGACTCTTCTAAGGTACAGGAGGCCAAGCTTGAGGTGTCCATGGGGGACCCCTCCAGTTGGCTGCTCACGGCCGTCAGCGCGTCCGAGTCCTCGGCCCGCTCTGGGGACAGCGACGCTGGGAGGGGGAAACACACAGACATGGAGCCCCCCGGGTTCAGTGAGACACCACCAGACGCGGGGAGGCCTCCCTGGGCTAAGAAACCCCTAAAAATGACAGGATCCCCCAAAAATCCCAAGCACTTACTGATGGTGGGGGCGGGCGACAGCTCCATCTGAGTGGCCTCGGCGTCTTGGGGGGGTCGTCCTGGCCCCCCCTCTTCGTGCTCGGGGGGTTGTGGGGGGCGAGTGGGAATTTGGGGGGCTCCTGGGGGAGGGTCTGGGGGGGTCGGTGTCGGTTCCAGCATCACCAGGGTCCGGTGGGGACCAGGAGGGGGGGTCTCTCCCGTCGTCCCGCTGTGTTCTGGGATGGGGGATGGGGAGGATACACGCAGAGATCAACTTTGGGGGGGGCCCCCGAATGAGAGAGCCCCCCCAAACCCACACCCTTTGCCCATTTTTGGGGAATCCCAGGCATTTGGCTGCACCCTAAGACAAAGGGGGGGCACCAGGGAGTTTGGGGGGTCCCTGCCACACCCCCATAATTACATCCCCCCTGAGCCACACCACATCCCTCCAAATGCCCTAAGCCCACCCCCAGAACCTCTTAAACTCCCCAAGAACCCCCTTAAACCCTCCCTAAAAAACTCCATTCCCCAAAACCCCCACAACCACCCCAAAACCCCCCTAAAAGCCCAATTGCCCTAAAACCCCTCAACCACTCCAAAACCCCCTAACGCTCCCAATCCCCTAAACCCCCCTTACAAATCCCCTTAACCCTCCCCAAAAACCCCCTTGCCCATTTTACCCCACCACACGCGTTCCACCCAACCCTAAGCCCACCCCTCTCGATCCATCTCTAACCAGCCCCCGACGTTCTGAGGGTGGAGGGCTGCTGCAGCCCCTCCCCCGGTGCTAGCCCCTCCCCTGGTGCTGCAGCCCCTGGGACCCTCTCCCGGGACCCCCGGGACCCCCGGCTGCGCGGCGCCGCCCCGCGAGGAAGACAGTAGAATGTATAGTTATCTCCGAGACGGGGGTGTGACCCTCCAACTATACAATCTACTACCTCAGCCCGCGGGGCGCCAGCTCCAGGGGCACATGGGGGGGCTTTGGGGGTGTCCGGGCATGACGGGGTCTGGGGGAGACCCCCGGGGGAGGGGGAGGAAGGGAGGGGGGTTTACCTGGGGGGGTGACATCGGCCGAGGCGGTGCCGGCCTTGGACGCCGCGTCCTGCGGGAGAGGGGACGGTGATGGTGGTGGGGGGTGAAAAGGAACCCCTCCCCCACCCCTCCGGGATTTTGGGGGGTTTGGGGGTCCCTTACCTGGGCGTCGGGCCCCTCCTTGTCCTCAGGGCCCCTCTCGGCCCCCTTGGCCTCTTCCTCGGCCGCCTGGCGCCGGCGCTTCTCCCGCCGCTCGTCCAGCTCCTCGTCCCGCAGGGCCTCGAGCCGCGCCAGGATCGGCACCTTCACCACTGCGGGGGGCACAGGGTGGGGACAGAGAGCTTAGGGTCACCCAGGGTGGCTCAGGGGAGCCCCAGGATGGGAACCTTCACCACTGAGGGTGGATTTAGGGGGTCCAGGAGGGTTGAGGGACCCCCAGGATTGGCACCTTCATCACTGGGGGGGACAGAAGGGATCAGGAGGCTTGGGGGCCTGGGTTTGGGGGTCTCACACAACATGCAGTCGTGCTGGGAGGGATGATCGTGGTTTGGGGGTGGCTTGGGGATGTGTTTGGGGATCCCTGGGGGTCTCACCAGACACGCAGTCGTGCATGCTCTCGGCGTCCAGGACCTTGCACTCTTCGGTCCAGCGGGTCAGGGCCGTGGGGATGCTGGACAGGGTTCCTGGTGGGGGAGGAACAGGGTGAGCCCCCTGGCTCAGCAGGACATGCAGCCCCCAGTAAAGCCACCGCCCAGCTGGTCTCACTCACCTCAGCCAGGGCTTCTTCCTCCCTCCAGGCCCCTCTCCTCCTCCTCCTCCTCCCTACAACACATCCCATCCTCTCCACCCCACAGCCCATTGGCCACTGTCTATGTGTGCCTGTTTGGGTGGGGGGTGTCCCTGCAGTGTCTCCACCATGTCCCTCCATGTCCCTGTGTCCCCCCGCTGTTCCTGTCCCCCACTCACCTGCCTGGCTGCTGGCACTGCCCTGCCCATGTCCCTGTCCCAGGGTGTCCCTGCCATGTCCCTGTCCCCCCTTGCTCCCCCCGTGCCCCTGTCCCCCACTCGCCTGCCTGGCTGCCGGCGCTGCCCTGCTCGTGGAAGAAGTCGTCGAGCAGCTCGTCGTCGGAGCGGGCGATGATGTGAACATCCTCGTTGCCCACGAGCAGCCGGGCCCGGCCCCGGCTCTGCAGGGGGAGGCTGCTGCTCAGCTGCAGGATGTCTGTGGTCGTTGAGGGGCCCAACAGCCCGGGGGACACACAGAGGGGGTTATTGGGGTGTTGGGGGTGTGTCAGATCCCCGGGAGGGGCTGTGGGACCCTCGGCTGCTGCTCAGCTGCAGGATGTCTGCAGCCACTGAGGGGCCCAACAGCCTGAGGGAGACCCAAGGGGGGTTATCAGGGTTATGGGAGGCTCAGGGGGTGTCAGACCCCGGGGGGAGTTCAAGTTTGTTCCTGGGGGTCTGCACTCACCCCTGCAGGATGGGGGGTGGGTGGTTTGGGAGGGGGATGGAGGTTGGGGGCTTCTGGAGTGAGGGAGTGGGGGGGTTCAGTCTGTCCTGGGGGGTATTTGGAGGTCCACACTCACCACTGCAGGATGAGGGGGGGCTGGGATGGGGGTTGGGAGTTCAAGTTATTCTGGAGGGTGTTTGGGGGATCCCAAGGGTGTTCAGGTTGTTTCTGGGGTTCCCACTCACCACTGCAGAAGAGGGGGGATTGGGGGTTCAGGCTGTTTCTGGGGGGTGTCTGGGGATCCCAGGGGAGTTCAGGCTGTTTCCAAGGGGTGTTTGGGGATCCAAGGGGGGGTTCAGGCTGTTCTGGGGGGTGTCTGGGGATCCCAGGGGAGTTCGGGCTGTTTCCAGGGGGTGTCTGGGGATCCCAGGGGAGTTCAGGTTGTTCTGGGGGGTGTCTGGGGATCTTGGGGAGGTTCAGGCTGTTTCTGGGGGTCCCACTCACCGCTGCAGGATGAGGGGGGGGTTGGGCTGCCGAGCCCCCGGGTAGTGTACGTGGATGGTGTGGCCGGCGTTGGCCGTGAGCTGCCGCAGTGTCCGCTGGCTCCGGCCCAGCCCCTGGGCCAGGCGGGTGCCCCCCGCGCCGCCCCCCAGCCCCAGCCCCCCGTGCTCCGCGTGCCGCACCAGCAGCGGGTGGCTGGCCGGGATATTCCCAGGGGATGGGGGGATGTCGGCTGGAAAAGGGGGAAAACGGGGAGTTGGGGGGGAGGCAAATCTATCCTGAGCCCCTCAACAAGGATGTGGCCCCCCAGGACCCCCATGTCCCTCCCAGACCTACCTGCAGGCCCCCCCAACTGCCTCTGTGATCCCTCCAGCCTCCCCAAACCGTTGCTGTGGCCCCCTCAAACCCACATGGACTCTCATGTTCCTCCCCATACCCCCATGGCCCCTCCCAAACTGCCACTGTGGCCCCCACAAACCTCTGCTGTGGACTCCCCAAACCACCCCCATGATCCCCTCCAATCCCTGTCCGCCCCCAAACCACCACCATGATCCCCCCAACCCAGCCCTGTGGCCCCCTAAACCGTTGCTGTGTCCCCCCCCCCCAGACCCTCAATTTCCAAACTGCTGCTGTGGCCCCCCCAGCCCCCCAGGGCCGTACTGGGGCTGGAGAACATGTTGTCGAACTCGATGATCAGGTCGTCGTCGCGGTCGAAGCGCTCGAAGCGCACGAGGGGCGACGCGTTCATGTCGGGATAGTCCTCGTCCAGCTCCATCTCCGAGCCATCGTCATCATCCTCCTCTTCCTCCCCCTCCTCGCCCTCCTCATCGTCCTGGGGGGGAGGGAGGAGGGTCAGCAGGGACCTTCAAACCAGGAATGGGGCACCCTGACCCAAAACAGGGGCACCCCAACCCAGAAGGGGGAAACTTTGCCCCAAAATAACAACCCCAGATCCAAAATGGGGGCACCCCAACCCTAAATGTCCCCTCCAACTCTGAAACATCAACTGACCCCAAGTAACTGACACACCCTGACCCAAAAGACAAGTACAATAGGAACCCAGGTGTGAGGGGGTGTCCCAGGTGTCCCTGTCCCACCTGATCATCCTCATCCTCTTCCTCCTCCTCCTCTTCCTCATCCTGGCTGTCATCCTCATCCTCATTGCTGCCACTGCTGTCCTCCTCCTGTGTGTGCTCCTCCTCATCCTCGGGGTCCAGGATGTTCATGGAGTCTTTGGGAGGGGGCAGAGGGGGGTGGGTCACACCCTGGCACCTCATAAACCCCCCCAGAACCCCCAAATTCAGGGAGGGGGGCCCACCTTCCCGGTTGGCCTGGAGGGTGGAAGCCTGGCTGAGGTTGGAGGGAGCCTCGTCCATCAGAACGTCCTCCTGTGACTCATCCTCTCCTGAGCGACTCACTAGGGGGGGTCACACCATCAGGGTGGTCCCCTGACATTTGAGGGGCTCCCTGGTGCCCAGAACACCCCAGTCTGGGGGGCAGGGGGTCCCTCACCGATGATGGTGCTGTTCCCGTCGGCGCCATCCCGCTCCAGCAGCTCGTCAATGAGATCCTCCAGCTCATTCTCCACCTTTGGGGGGCACACGGGAGGTGTGGGAGGTGCTGGGGGTGTTGGGGGTACAGGGGGGTTTGGGGAGGTCCTGACCTGCATCTCCTGGGTGCTGAGCCCCTCAGGCTGCCCAGTCAGGACCACTGTGTCCCCCTCAGCCTCTCCGTCCATGTCCCCATCGGTCGCCTCTGCCTGCGCCGCCTCCACGTCCTCCTCGGGGGGCTCGGGGTCCCCGGGGTCCCCTGGGGGGGCACAGGGCAGGGGGGTCAGAGGTGGGATCAGGGGGATGGATGGTCATGAGAAGGGTGAGGGTTGATAAAGGAAGGGTAAGAAATGGGGGGGAAATGGGGAATTGGGGGGTACAGGGGAGAGATTAAGGGGGGTACCAGAGATGGGGGGCTGGGGGAGAGATGGGGGCATGAGAGACTTGTGGGGGGCACAAGAGAAAAGGGTGTCACAAAGGAGATGTGGGGGGATATGGGAGAGATGAGGTGATGGGGGGTCACTGGGGAGGGACCTCCAAATTTGGGGGGGGGCCACAAATGATTGGGGGGAGCACAGGGAAGATGGGGAGGACAGGTAGAAAATGGGAAGGGGGACACAAGGGAGATGTGGGGTGACCTGGAGTGCTGGGGGTGACCCGGGGGCCATGGGGTGACACATGGGGGGGCTGTGTGGGGGTACCTCCATCAGGGGGTGCAGCCCCCGCCTCACGAGCCCCCCCGGCGCCCTCGGCCTTGCTCTTGCTGGAGGAGCCCTTGGCCCCGAAGAGGCCGCTGGGCTGGTTCACGATCCGTGACAGCGTCTCCAGGGGCTTCAGCGCCGCGTTCACCGTGTTTGCCATGTTGGGGCTGGGGAGGGGGAACCGGCTGGGACCCTGGCCAAGGGGTGACCCCCCCAGCCCCCAGAGACTACCACAGCTCCCCCAAACCCACCACGGCACCCCTAAAACCCCTGTGGTCCCCAGAGACCACCACAGCTCCCTGGACACCCCTGAGGCTCCCCAAAATCTACCACAGATCCCAAACACCCGAATATCTGCCCAAGGGTCCCCACAGACCCTCAAGAGTCACCCTGACCCCTAAAACCCCTTTAAGACCCATCAAATCCCCTTTAAGGTGCCCCAAAACTCCTCAAGACCCACCGTGATCTCTCAATACCTTTCCCAAGACATCCTGCGATCCCTCAGGACCCTCCAAAATCCTTTAAAGACCCACAACAACCCCATCAAGACCTACCACAACCTCTCAAGAACCCCAAAACCCCTTTAAGACACCCCGAAAACCCCTCAAGACCCACCACGATCTCTCAAGACCTTTCCCAAGACACTGTAGCCCTCAAGACCCCCTCCAAGACCCCGTCAAAGCCCCCCAGCGTGCTGGGGGTCCCACCTGGACAGGTCGAGGCTGTGGGGCACCCGGGCCAGGTCGTTGACCAGCCCCTTCTTGAGGAAGAGCCGGATGATGTTGTTCATGCCGTTGTGGGGTGGCTTGGCTGCGCTGCTGTAGAAGCTCGAGGTGGACGGGCACGACTCCATGATGGTGCTGATGATGCACATGACGGCCTGGAGCCTGCGGGGACACGGGGACAGGGGTCACGTCACGGGGAGGACACAGGGTCACACCGTGGGGACATGGAGTCACATTGTGGGGGGTCTTCAAAGGTGCCACTGTCCTCATGGTCTTCCTGAGGTGTCCCCATATTGTGCCCACGATGTCCCTGTGCTGTCCCTGCAGTGTCCCCGTGGTGTTCCTGGGGTTTCCCCAGGGTGTCCCTGCACTGTCATCCCTGTGCTGTCCCCTTGCTGTCCCCAGAGTGTCCCTGAAGTGTCTCATGTTGTCCCCAAGTTGTCCCCTTGCTGTTCCCATACTGTCCCCTCAGTGTCCCCCTGCTGTCCCTGTGCTCTCCCGTGACTGTTCATATGCTGTCCCCAGGGTGTCCCTCCACTGTCCCTACGCTGTCCCCATGTTGTCCCCTCCCCGTCCCCCCCATACCTGGCGTGTTTCTCGGTGCTCTCGGCCATGGCCAGGGCCCGGCCCAGGGCGGCCTTCACCTCATTGACCAGTGCCACCTGGGCATCAGTGCCACTGCCCGCGGCCGCCAGGCTGGCCAGGAACAGCCGCGCCAGGGCCGGCGTGTCCTTGTCCTCCGCATTCTGCTGGTGCGGCAGCAGGTGGTCCAGCACGAAGGCCAGGACACTGCAGTCCTGTGGGGACAAGAGGGACACAGGGGTCACAGGGAGACTGGGTGTGGGGGGACAGCACCCCCCACTGGGGGTGGGGAGGGGGAAATGGTGTCCCAACTGCAGCTGCAGTTGATGATGTCCATGTAGGGTGGCCCCACAGGTGACCCCCGACCCTTGGGGTGACTCCCCCAGCCCTGAGCCCCCTCACCTCCTTGATGAGCTCGGACTGCCCCACGCTGTAGCTGTAGTTGGCAATCAGGGCAGCGATGCCCACGTAGGACCTCACCAGCTCCGCCAGCAGCCGCAGGATGGTTGAGGTCGGCATGAGGGGCTTCGAGCCCCGCGCCCGCCCCCGCTCCTCGCGCTCCCCTTCCTTCTCCTTCCGGCCCTCCCGGCCCTCCTCGGGGCTGGACGCTGGGGGGGCAAGGGGGGCAGCGTTAGAGGGGTCAGGGGGGCACAGGGGAAAAAGGAGGCACTGTTGGGTGGGTGTAAGGGAGCATATGGGGCATAGTTGGGGGCATCATTGGGAGTGGGGAGGGCAGGAGGGGATGGTGAAAGTCTCAATATGGAGTAGATGTTAAGGGGCTCAGGGACGGGATACTGGGGGGCTCAGGGATGTGGAGGGGATGTCGGGGGGCTCAGGGACATGGAGCAGATGTTGGGGTCTCAGGGATGTTGGGGGTGACATTGGAGGGCTCAGGGATGGGATACTGGGGGTTCAGGGATGTGAAGGGGACATTGTGGGGGGGCTCAGGGATGTGGGGGGATCACCAGTACCTTCCCCCTGGGGGGTTCCTGATGGGGGGGTCTCTGCAGCAGCTCCGTCAGCACCGAACACCTGGGTCTGGAGTAAAATAGGGGGTCCTTAGAGCTTCTCCCAAGCCCTCAGACCCCCCCAAACTGCCACACATCCCAAATCCACTCCCAGCCCCCCTCAAATCGCTCCTCAGCCCCCCACCCTGATTTCCTCCCAGCCCCCTCAGCCCCCACAAACCAACCCTCAGATCTCCTCCCAGTCCCCCAAATCCCCCCCAGCACCCCCAAACCTCCCCCAGCCCCTCCTAATCCCCCTCAGCACCCCCAAACACCCACCCAGCCATCCAGATTCCCCCCCAGCACCCCCAAAGTGCCCGTCAAGCCCCCCAAGCCCCCCCATGCCCCGTACATTGATGTTGAAGCCGGCGGGAGGGTCGAAGTCGCCGGGGGGGCGGGTGAGGCTCCGGTACTGCTGGTACATGTCGTCCCCAATGTCCGACAGCAGCTGGCTCACCTCGCTGGGGGCTGCGTTCTTGGGGTCCCCCTTGTCACCTGGAGAGGTACAGGGTGCGTGTGAGAGGATCCCCCCACCCCAAAGGGCCTGGGGGGGGCACCTGAGGAGCCGTGTCCCAGTGGGGGACCCCCCGTTGTAGAGACTGTGGGGTGTCCACTGTCAAGGACACCCCAATTATCCTCTATGTGGGCCCCTGCTGTCAGGGACAGCCCCCAAACCTCCCTGGGGGTCCCTGTCTCCCCTCCTGGGGTGCCCCCAGCCCCCTGACCCCCATACCCTCGTCAGGGGCGTGGTAGGCTGCCAGGGCGTTGAGCATGTCATAGATGACGTCCCGGATGGGCTCCGGGATGGGGGGCAGGGCCGAGGCCTTGGCCGGCGTCGTCTTCACCAACTGCACCGCGTTGGGGCCTTTGATCCGCAGGTTCTCGAACTCGTCGTCAGAGGCTGCAAAACAGGGAAGGAGAAAGAGGGGTCAGGGGGCTGGGGGGGGCTCCCTGGGAACGGGGGGGACATGCAGGGGGTCAGGTTGTGCAGGGGTGGTGTGGGCTGGAGCTGCAGGGGCTTGGGGGACTCCTGTGTTGGGGGCAAGGATGGGAAGGGAACCTGTTCTGGGGGAAAAGGCACTCCTGAGACCCTGTTTTGAGGGTAAAGAGACCCCTGGGACCCTTGTTTTGGGGGTAAAGGGACCCCTGGGACCCTCATTTCTGACCCATAGACACTCCTGGAACCCCATTTTGCAGCCACAACCACACCCCCAGGAGCCCATTATGGGTACCAGGGACCTCCCAGAGACCCCCGAAGCCTCTCATTGGTTCCAGACTCCCATGGGGCCAGTAGGACAACAGGGATACAGCCCAACCCCAATCCCAGACCCCACCAAAGCCCCTCACCAGTTCTGGACCCCCATGGGGCCAGTACGGTGATGTGGATGCAGCCCCCCCAGTGTCCCAGTGACCCCCTCAAAGCCTCCCCAGCCCCTCACCAGTTCCAGACCCCCGTGGGGCCGGCAGGGCGATGCGGATGCAGCCCGTGGCCACCTCGGTGAAGACGTGGGGGCTGCGGCAGGCGGCCGGGCCCAGCACCCGCAGGATGTAATTCACCTCGCGGGACCCCAGGCTGCCCGAGACCACCCCCGACGTGGTGCTGCCCGCCCCGCTCGTGGCTGCTGAACGCACCACCTGGGGGAGAGAAGGGACATTGAAGGGGCACAGGGGACGTGCGGGGGGACACATGCTGCCTGTCCCACTTGTGGCTGTGGAACGGACCGCCTGGGGGCAGGGGACATGGTGGGGACAGGGGACATTGACTGAGAGGAGACAGGAGACATCAGAGAAGGGGACAGGGGACATTGGGGGAGGGCACAAGGGGTGGACAGGGAACATGGGGCAGGACACACACATGCTGCCAGCCCCACTCCCTCGCCCTCAGCCCCAGTTTCCTATTCCCCTCACCCCCTCCCCCCTCCCTGACCCTCCAACTCCCTCTCCCTCCTCCCCAGCCCCCAGCTTCCCTCTCCTTCCTCCCCAGTCCCCCAATTCCCTTCTCCTCCTCCCCAGCCCCCCAGCTTCCCTCTCCTTCCTCCCCTCCAACTCCCCCAACTCCCTCTCCTCCTCCCCAGTGCCAACTCCTCTCCTTCCTCCCCAGTGCCAACTCCCCTCTCCCTCCTCCCCAGCCCCCAACTCCCCTTCTCCCTCCTCCCCAGCCCCCCCAGCCCCCCACCTTCTCCATGGTGTGCCGCAGGGTGCAGGGGTCCTCGATGATGTGCCTGAAGAGCAGCGTGACGAGGGGGGTGAAGCCGGTGAAGCCGGAGCTCTGGGTGAGGGCGAGGATGGTGCGGGTGGAGCGCAGCTCGGCGAAGAGCAGGGCGTGCTTGTGCTGCCGCGTCAGCCGCAGGCACAGGCGCAGTGTGGCGTGCAGCGTGTCGGGGTCCACGGGCACCCCCAACATGCTCACACAGGCCCTGAGCACGGCGGGCACCGCCTCCTCCGCCAGCCCCCGCACGGGGGGCTCGGCCCCCAGCCCTGCATTGGGGTCCTCGGGGCATGGCGAGGGGGCGGCGGTGGGAGGGGGAGAGGGGCAGGAGGAGGAGGAGGAAGGGGGCTGTGGTGGAGGAGGTGGTGGAGGTGGTGGGGGGCGGTGGGGGCTCGTCGTCCGGCGGAGGGTCTGTGGCTGTGGGAACAGGGGGACATGTGGTCAGCACAATACACGGTGGGGTCTGATCCCCCACCCCAGGGTCTCTTGGACCCTTCTGAGTCCTCTCAGACACTTCCACGGTCTCTTAGAACCCACCATGACCTCTATACGACCCCCCCAAATGACCCCCCATGACCTTCCCCTCCTGACCCTCTCTGACTCCCACAGTAACCTTGCTGGCCCTCCCCACCATAATGTCTGACCCCCCTCCGCATGGCCCCCCATGACCTCTGGCAGCCCCCCAAATGGCTTCTCTGACCCCACTCTCAGGAACCCCCATAACTTCTTGTCCACCCTTTGTGACTTTTCTGACCACTCATGGCATCCATGCCCCCCCATGGCCCCTCAGACCCCCTCCCATGGTCCCTCTTTCACATCCCCATAACCTCTTGCCCACCCCCAGGGTCTCTCTGACCACCCCATGGCCTCTCAGATCCCCCCATAACCCCCCAATGCCATAACTCCCACAACCCTTCCACGTACCAGGGGTCTCGTCCTTGCCCCTCCCCTCGGGGTCCTCGCTCCCTCCCTCCCCGTCCCGGCCCTTCCCGGCGCGGGGGGGTCGGAGCAGCGTCAGCATCACCGGCCGCCGGTTCCCCGTCTCCTCGTTCACCTGGGGGGACACAGGGGGTCACACTGGGGGGTGACACATGGGGGGGGACAGCTGAGGGTGTCTCCTCTGCCATGGGGGGGATGACAGGGAGGGGGGGTGTCCCCTGCCGTGAGTGACAACTGGGGGTCTCCCCTGCCATGGGGGGACACACACATGCAATGCAGTGACAACCAGGACTGTCCCCCCACCATGATGTAAAAGCAGAGGGTGGGAGTGTGTCCCCCAAATGGGATGACACCAAGGGGACGTCCCTATGCCCTGGGGGTCTGTCCCCTGCTCAGTACCTGCACCACAGTGGTGAACTGGGTGGTACAGGGCTCTGTCCCTGTGTGTACCCTGCCCTGGGAATCTGTCCCTCTATGTCCCTGTGCCCTCACCTGCACCGTGGTGGTGAACTGGACGGTGCAGGGCTGTGTCCCTCTGTGTCCCCTGCCCTGGGGGTCTGTCCCTGTGCCCTCACCTGCACCGTGGTGGTGAACTGGGCGGTGCAGGGCTGTGTCCCTCTGTGTCCCCTGCCCTGGGGGTCTGTCCCTGTGTGTCCCCTGCCCTGGGGGTCTGTCCCTGTGCCCTCACCTGCACCATGGTGGTGAACTGGACGGTGTAGCGGCGCCGCCCGGCCGTGAACCTCACGCTGGGCTCGCCGGCCCTCCAGGCCGCGTCGATGGTGCTGTTGTTGCTGGCGCTGTAGCTGCACCAGCGCCCCGAGCGGTCGTCGAACCAGCGCCAGTTGTTCCCCGTCGCCTGCAGGTACTGGGGGAAGGAGGGGCACACACAGGGAGGGGGTTCAATGACCTGGACTCCCCTGGCGTCCCCCACAAACCCTCCTGGAGGGTCACTGGGGTGCTGTGTCAGGATGTGGTGGTGTGGGAGTAATCTGACTGTCACTGTGGGACCCTCCGTGTGTCACCTTGGGAGTTCCCTCAGGACCCCAAGTCCCCTCCCCTCAAGTCACACCAAGACCTGGTGTGACCACCCCCCCAGACCCCTCACATGTCACCCCAGACCCCATGTTTTTCACCAGAACCCCTTGTGTGTCCCCAAGACCTGGTGTCACCCCCATCCCAAGGACCTTTTGTGGGTCCTCACAACCCCCCATGCACCCCAGGACCCCATTTCCCCACCCCAGGACCCCATTTCCCCACCCCAGGGCCTCGTGTGTCCCCCCAGGACTCCACATCTCACCCTAAGACTTGCTGTGACCTCCTCCCACCCTAAGGATCCTGTGTCCCCCACAACACCCCATGCACCCTCAGGACCGCCCTATTCCATCCCAGGACCCCCTGTATCCCACCCAGGTTGCCCCATCCCCATCCCAGACCCCCCACCCATGCATCCCCCAAAGCCCTCCCACCTCCTCCCTCAGGAACACCCAATCCCACCCCAGCTCCTCTGATCTTCCTCCACCAATCCCTATCTTCCCAATCCCACCCCAGCCCCTCTGATCTTCCTCCACCAATCCCTATCTCCCCATTCCCATCCCAGACTCACTGTGTGCCGCCAGAAGCCCCCCAGGATCCCTCCCTGACCCCCAGACCCTCCCAGGAGCCCCCTCAGAACCCCCACCTTGTTCATCTGCGCCCGGCGCTTGGAGGACACAGCCGTTTTCTCGTAGAAGTCAATCAACAGCAGCACAGGGGTGATCCACCTTTTTTGGGGGGGAAAACAGTCACCAGAACATCCAGGGGGGCTTGGGAGGCACAGGGTGGGTGGGGGAAGGGACCTCCTTACTTGGGGGTCTGCACTTCCTTGTGCTCCTTGGCAGCCTGAAGGCAGGGCTGGACCACCTCAAGTAGCTTGATGAGCACGTCCAGGACACAGCTGGACTCCACCACCCGGGCACAGGGCAGCTTCAGCTCCTGTGGGCACCCCAAAAACCTTCAACACCCCAAAATACCCCCAAAGCCCCGAAAAAACTCCACCAACCCACCCCCCAAACCAGCACATGGTTGGACTTCACCACCCAGGCACAGGGCAGCTTCAGCTCCTGGGGGCACTCCAAAAACCTCTAACACGCCAAAAACCCCCCAAACACCTAAACATCTACAAAAAAACCCCCAAACATCCCCCAAACACTCCCCAAACCAGCACACAGCTGGACTCCACCACGCTAGCACAGGGAAGTTTCATCTCCTATGGAGGTCAGGGGCACCCCAAACCCCCCCCCCTAAACACCTCCTAAAAAAATTCAGACACCCACCAAAACCACCAAACACCTCCCAAAATACCCTCCAAACCAACGCACTTTGTTTCAAACAGCCAGATTTTTGGAAAACTAAGGGTGTTCTGACAACACTCCAAGTGTTTTATGACAGACATGGGGACCAACCACATCCGGGGTACCCCCCCTCGGTTTTGGGGACTCTCTTGGATTCTGGGGACTCCCCTGGGGTTTTGGGGTTCCCCCCTCACCTCGAAGAGCAGGGTGAGCAGCAGGATGCGCGTGGCCAGGTTGGAGGCCTGGGGTAACGTGGCCATTTGGCTGATCCACTCCGAGACCGTCTTGGTGTCGCTGGTGGTGAGTGGCACGGCCGCCTTGATGAGAACATCGGCTGCCTCCCACACCTGGGGGGGGCAGGGGGGTTAGGGGGGCTTCAGGGGGTCTAGGGGAGTTCCACACTTGCTGCACCACCTGCTTTAGCACTGAGACCCCTCTAGGCCAGACCACTGTGGTACACGGCCGTCGTGAGCAGGTCGGGGTGGGTCAGGGGATGTCAGGGGTTCTCAGGGGATGGCAGGGGGTTCAGGGGATGGCAGGGGGTCTCAGGGGATGTCAGGGGGTCTCAGGGGATGTCAGGGGTTCTCAGAAGGGTGCCATACCTGCTGCACCACTTGCTTGAGCACACTGTCCCTGTAGGCAGGCCCGTTCCTGCGCACAGCCGTCATGAGCAGGTCGCACACGCGGTACACGGTGTCGGGCAGCTCGTCCAGCAGGCGGGAGCAGCCCGGCAGCATCGAGTCGGTGAAGGCTCCGAGTTCCGCCGGCTCCAGCGGCTCGGCCCCCTCGAACTTCTCCAGGCACTTGGCCTCCTCCTCTTCCTGCCGCTCCCGCGCCCGCCGCTCCTCCTCCTCCTTGCGGCACGCGGCCTCCTGGGGAGGGACAGGGGTGAGAAATGGGGGTGAGGGGAGAGGGGGTCTGGGGGAGAAAAACGAGGGGTTTGGGGATGGAGGTTTGGGGGAAGAAATAGGACTTGGGGGAGAGAAATAGCCCCCCCATAGCCCCCCATCCCCACGCTCACCTCAGGGGACTCTGCCCGCTGGTCCATGGGGATGTCCTGGCCCAGGGACATGGCGATGGCCCTCATCATCTGATCCTCCTCGGACATGCTCAGGTCCTGGGGGGCACAGGGGGTGTGAGGGGCTGTGGGGGGGATCTCAGGGACCACCCCTGCCCCAATACTCACCCTTGCCGCGCCCCCCATGAGCGGGGGCGGGTGGGTGAGCAGGTACTCGGTGGCCTGTTCCATGGTGTTGGTGTTCAGCAGGGCCTCCATGGCGTGTTCCCGGGAGAAACCCATGTCCATCAGCTGGGGGGGCACATGGGGTGGGGTTAGAGAGGGCAGGGGGAACAGAGAAGGAACAGAGAAGGGATTTTAGGGATAAAAACTGGGTCTCAAGAATAAAAAAAGGCTGTCAGAGTATCAAATAGGGGAGTTGGGGGATAAAATTGAGGGGTTGGAGGTTAAAAAAAGAGGTATCGAGAACCCAAAGGAGGTTTGAGAGAACCAAAAATTAGTTTGGAAGGCAAAGAGGAAGATTGGGGGGGAACAAAATGAGGTTTGGAGATAGAAGGAAATGATTTGAGGTATTAAGAAAAGAGGTCTGGGAGAACCCAGAGCAAGTTTGAGGGAACCAGGAAAGGTCGAGGTTTGGCAAGTTTTGGGGTCACAAGACCGAGGTTTTGGGGGTGCCCAAGGTTGAGCGTGGGGAACACAAGACTGAGATTTTGAGGGACACAAGACCAAGGTTGGGGGTCACAAAGCTGAGGTCTGGGGGGTCACAATGCTGAGTTTTTTGGGGTGCCCAATGCTGAGCATGGGGGGTACAAGACTGACATTTTGGGGGACACAAAGCCAAGGTTTGGGGGGGTCACAAAGCCGGGTTTGGTGCCTCCCCACCCCACCTGTTGCAGCTGCTGCTGGTTGACGTGTGGCTCCCGGCGGGGCCCCCCCTCCTCGCCGCCCGGCTCGTCGCCTGCGGGTCCCTCGCGCTCGCGGCCCAGGCGCTCCCGCAGCAGCGGCTCCGCGCGCAGGATGTGGCACAGGATGGCCAGCATGGACTCGGCCATGCGCGCCCCGTACACCTTCAGCGGCCGCCGCTGCCACAGCTGCTTGATGCACGCAAAAGCCGCCTGAGGGGGAACACGAGAGGGGGACATAAATGTCAAAGGCAGGGGGGACATAAACATGACCCTATTTCCCCATTCTTTTGTTCTCTCTTTTCCTGCCCTTTTTCCATCCGGGTTGCCATCCATTTTTCTCTCCCTTTTGCTGCGTTTTTCTCCCCTCGCATTTCCCGATGTTTTTCTGCTCCTTTTTCTCACTGTCCTTCTCCTCACGTTTCCCGCCATTTTTCCCCTCACATTTCCCGCCATTTTTCCCCTCACATTTCCCGCCATTTTTCCCCTCGCATTTCCCGCCATTTTTCCCCTCATGTTACCCACGACTTTTTCCCCTCATGTTTTTCACCATTTTTCCCCCTCACGTTTCTCACCATTTTTTCCCCTCACGTTTCCTGTCATTTTTCCCTCATGTTTCCCATCCTTTTTCTCTTACATTCCCCACCCTTTTTGCTCTCATTTTTGCCTCATACTTCTTACCCATTTTCTCTTTTCCCATTCTTTTTTCCTCACATTTCTTGCCATATCCCTGCTTTCATGACCCTTCTTTGCTCCCTTTTCACACATTTTTCTCTCTCCATTTTCCCCGCTCTTTTCCCCTCACCTTTCCCACTCCTTTTTGTCTTCCAACCCTTTTCCTGCGCCCCCAAGTCTCCCCTCTGCCCCTCAAATCCCCCTTTCCCCCCCTTATTTCCCTCCCAGACCTTCTGAGTGACGACGAGGAAGCGCAGGGCGCTGAACGGGGGATGCCCGTGGGGAGGTCCCTTGGCGGGCAGCGCGTGGGGCGACTCCAGCACCGTGCTGGGGTTCACCATCTTCTCCACCAGCATCAGCCACGCATCCAGGAACTCGCCGGTGCCATCAGGCAGGTCAGGGTGCTCCAGGCCCTCGCCCACAGGCACCTTCCCCCCCATCGACAGCGCCCAGTTGAACGTCCTGGGGGGAAAACGGGGTGAGAGGGGGACCCCAAGATCATGGAACCCCCACAGGAGGGTTGGGGGACAGAGGGCTGGGGGTGGGAGTGCTTGGAGGGAAACGGAGGTATGAAATAGGGGTCAGGGGTTGGAAATGGGAGCAGAAAGGTACAAAATGGGGTCCAGGGGGGGCAAAAAATGGGGGTCGGGGAAAATAGGGTGAGAAATGCATGAAATGGGGATCAAGGAGAGAGGAAACGGGGTCAGGAAGGCACAAAATGGGAGTCAAGGGCAGGACACAGGGTCAGGAAAGCACAAAATTGAGTCCAAGGGATTAAAAAAAGAAACAGAGAAAATTAATGGGGTTAGAAAGGCATGGAATGGGGTTCAAGTGGAGGTAAATAGAGACTGTGAGGTGCAAATTAGGGGTTGGGGATGGGAAAAAGGGTTGGGGGAAATGAAATGGGGCGAGAAGAGCACAAAATGGGGTTCAAGGGGTGGGAAATGAGATCTGGGAGGCATAAAATGGGTTCAGGGGTAGGAGATGGGGACACAGGGTAAGAAGTGGGGCTGGGGGCACAAAAGGGGGTGAAGGGGCAACAAATGGGGTTGGGGTTCAGGGGTGGGGTTTGGGGTTGAGGGGGCAGGGGCCCAGGGCAGGGCCGGGGCTCACTCGAAGAGCGCGTTGTGGCCACCGGAGCAGAGGAACTTCTGGAGCATGAGGTGATAGGGGAACTTGCGCTCATCGAAGAGCATCGGGGACGTGAACCCCACCGAGCAGATGAAGAACGTCAGCCTGAGGGTTGGGGAGAAGGGAGGGAAGGAGGGTCAGGCTGTGCCCATGGCACCAACCACACCCACCCCAGACCCAAAACTCCACTCTCAGGAGGCCACAGGGAATACCAGCCCTGCCCAGGTAAGGTGGACACACCCTGTGTGACAACACACCCCTTTTCCTTGGCTCCATCCTCATCATCAGCTCCACCCCACCAAGACCTGCCTCTTCTCCCTAGCTCCACCCCAATTAAACCCCACCTTGTCATTTAACTCCACCTCAATTAAACCCCACCTTGTCATTAGACTTGGCCCCAATTAAACCCAATTAAACTCCACCCTTCCCACTGGCTCCACCCCAATTCAGCCCCACCCCTTCCCCTTGGCCCCACCCTCAAATCCCACCCCTTCTCAGCTCTGCCCCCTTCTTCAAGTCCCTTCCCCAAATGTACCCCCTCAATAGAGACCCCCGAAAACCCCTCCTGCTTCCCCCGATATCCCCCCAAAACCCTTCCTCACTTCCTAAAAGGCCCCCCATAACCCTTAATTTCCCTCCCCTCTGCTGTCCCCTGTCCCACCCTCTCCATGTGTCTCACCTGAAGCGGGGGGTGGGGGTGTAGGGGGGGGGCTGCCAGCTGAGCCCCTTGGTGAGCAGGCGGGTGAGGGCCGAGGCCGTGGCCCGGGCGGCCGCGGTGGGCGCGGGGGCGGCGGCGGCCGCGTGGTGACTGCGGCGCTGCCGCACCGGGGACCCCACGCACAGCTTCACCAGGAGCCCGAAGAGCTCGGCCAGAGCCCGGCCCAGCCGGGACGAGGCTGTGGGGAAACAGGGAAACAGTGAGAGACCCCCGGGATGGGCACGACAGGGACAAGGGACAGCCCAAAGAGCTTGGCCGGAGCCCGGCCCAGCCAGGACAAGGCTGTGGGGACTTGGGGGACACAGTGAGAGACCCCTGGGACGGGGGCAGACACCCCCAGGATGGGGACAGGGGCAGGGTGAGCCCCCCAGAATGGGGAGAGAGGACATTGAGACCCCCAGGATGGGGACAGGGGCAGGGTGAGCCCCCCCAGAATGGGGAGAGAGAACACTGTGAGACCCTCAGGATGGGGGAGACAGAACCCGGCCCAGGCAGGATGAGGCTGTAGGGAGGGGGGACACAGTGAGAGACCCCCAGGATGGGGTACAAGGTGAGAGACCCCTGGGATGAGAGGAAAAGGATGAGAGACATCTCCAGGGTGGGGTCTCCAGGATGGCCCTTCCAGGCCATTTTTGTCCCCCCCTCCCATTTTTGCCCCCCCCAGCCCATCCTTTCCCCCCCTCACCAGAGAGCAGGGGTTTGATCTGTTTGATGCGGGCAGCCATGGCCGGGGTGATCTTGGCCTTGGCTTTGGGGTCAGCGGTGCTCGGCTCGTCCGTCTCCATCGGGGCCAGGGCCTCCCCCTCCAGCCCCATCCCCTCCAGCAGCCCCTGGGCTGGGGGGGGGTCACTGCCCGCCCCCCCTGTGGGACTCGGACCTTCCGCTTCACCCTCTGGGGGTAAAAGATGAGGTGAGACCCCCAGAGACCCCCCAAGAACAACCTCCCCCACAAACACCCCCTTCCACTGGAGAGCCCCCCAAACCCTCCCATCCCCCAAATGTGCCCCCTCCCATAGAACCCCCTTCAAAACCCTCCTCCTTTCCAAAACCCCAAACCCTTCATTCCCCCAAAGACCCCTTCCTCCTAAAGGAACCCCTCAAAACCCTCCTCTCCCCAAAACAGACCCCCAATTCCCCCTTTCCCTTCTAAAGACCCCCTCCCCTAAACACCCCCAAAGTCTCTCCTACCCACAGTGACCCCAAAGACCCCTAACTCCCCCTTTACCCTAAAGGCCTCCCCTAACTCCCCATGAGACTCCCCAAAGACGCTTTTGTATCAAAAACGCCTTCCAAGCTCCCCTTCTCCTACTGACGCCCCCAATCCTCCCAGCCTCTTTCCACTGGAGCCCCTTCCCTCCACCAACAGCACCTCCTGCAGCCCCCCCAGAGCCCCCCGGTCCCCACCTGCCCTCCGGCCGCCCTGGGGGGGGCTGGGCGCCTTCTCCTCCTTGGGCACCAGTTTCTGCATGTCAGCCTGGCCGAACTCACACCCTGGGGAGGCTGGGGGCACACAGGGGAGGGTCACAGGGTGGGGGCTCCTTGGAACCCCTCAGAGCTCCTCAAATCCCCCCTGAGCCCCTCAGAGACCCCCCAGCCCCACAGAGTCCCCCTCAGCCCCCCTGACAGTGCAGGGGTGAGGGGACACCCCACCTCACAGTTACTGGGGTGTGGAGGCAGCACCTCAGTGCTGAGACCCCCAAGACCCCTCGAGTGCCCCCCAGGATCCCCCAAGCCTCCCATATCTGTTAGGGATGCAGCAGAGGGACAACAGGATGGTGCTCTCCCGTTCCTCCCAGCCCCCCTGGGTGCCCCCCAAGGCCCCCATACCTGTTAGGGGTGCAGAGGGACAGCAGCACGGTGCTCTCCCACACCAGGGAACAGTAGAGCTGGCTCAGCTTCCCCAGCACACTCAGCCCCAGCTGGGACCCCCACTGGTTCACAGAGATGGCCCTGATCTCGCTCTGGGGGGGGAACAAAGAGCCCCCAAAATCTCCCCTGAGAACCCAAAACTTGCTTTGGACGCACCAAATTCCTCCTTGCTTAACAAGGACGTGCCTCAGCCGTTCCAAAATCCTCTTTACTATGCCCAAAATTCTCCTCAGCCCCCACCATAATCCTCCTCACCTCCACTTAAGACACTCCTCAGCCACCCCAAAATCCTCCATGACTCCCCAAACCCTTCCCCAACCACCCCCAAATCCAGGTTTAAACCCCAAAATTACCTGCCCTGCCCTGCAGGTGTGCACAAATGTCATGATAAAGGTACAAAGCCCTCCCAAACCGAGGTCTAACCCCCCCAATTGGGGTTTAACCCCCCTCAAGTTACCTGCCCCGCCCTGCAGGTGTGCACAAACATCACGATGAAGCTACAAACCCCTCCCAAACTGAAGCGTAACACCCCAAATTAGGATTTAACCCCCCAAATCAGGCTTTAACCCCCCCCAAATCCAAGATTTAACCCCCCCCACAAGTTACCTGCCCCACCCTGCAGGTGTGCACGAACATCATGATGAAGGCGTGGGCAGCGGTCAGCGCGTGCAGCAGAGGGGTGGCCTGGGCTGACAGCGTCGCGTCCGGCACGGCCCCGGCGCCCGCCAGCTCCCGCAGCAGCACCGACCCCCCCGGAGCCTCGATGGGCCGGTGCAGCGGCTCCAGCGCCGACAGCACCGACTCCAGCTGCACCAGCCCCTCCTGCAGAACCTTGGGCTCGTGGGACAGCGTCTGGGGGGGGCAAAGAGGGGTCACAGAGGGATTTGCAGCCCTCCAGTGATGACTTGAAGTTCCCTCCTCACAGCAGGATGGATTTGCAGCCCCCCAGGGTAGGTTTGAAAGCGCCCCAGGATAGACTTGCAGCCCCCCGCCAGGAAGAGATTTAAGCCCCCCCAGCCCTCACCAGGATGGACTTGCAGATCCCAGGATGGATTCAAGCCACCCCCCTACCCCAGACCTCATCAAGATGGATTTAAGCCCCACAGGATGGATCTGCAGCCCCCCTGGATGGATTTAAAACCCCTCAACCCTCACCAGAATGTATTTGCAGATCCCAGGACAGATTTAAGCCCCCCCAGCCCTCAGCAGGATGGATTTGCAGCCCCCCTGGATGGATTTAAAAACCCCCAACCCTCACCAGGATGGACTTGCAGACCCCTGCCACGGCCTGGCAGGCGGCAGAGGTGGGGAAGTCGACGGGCAGGTTGGGCAGCCCCAGGATGGTGACGAGGGGCCGCAGCCCCCGCTGGGCCACGAACTCCTGGCAGTGATCATCTGTCGTGTTGTTGCTCAGGATCGACTCCACGAACTTCATCTGGGGGGTGGGAGATCAGGGGGGTCAGGGAGCCCTGAAACCCCCACCCTGGGGGGCTCAGAGGGGTGCCTGGGGGACAGGGCATCCCCAAATCCCCCTCAGGGAGCTCCAAAATTCCATCTCGGGGAGTTCAGGGGTGCTCAGGGGACAGGGTGGCCCCAATAACAGGAGGGTTCAGGGGAGACCCCAAAATCCCACCCTAGAGGGGGTTCAGTGAGGCAAGGCAGCCCCCAAATCCCCCCCCAGGGGGCTTCAGGGGGGCTCATGGCACAGGAGAGAACCAACTGTCCCCAGGGGGCTTGGGAGTGGGCAGGGGGAGCCTCAATTATCCCCTGGGGGGGGGTCAGGGGGCTCAGGGCATGAAAGGGACCCCAATTCTCTTCCAAGGGGGTTCAGGGGGGCTCAGGAAGCCCCAGTGCCCCCAGAAGGTTTGCTCAGGGTGGTCTGGGGGGCAGGGGGAGCCCCAATTTCCCCAAAGGAGAATTCAGGAGGGTTCAGAGAACAAAGGACACCCCGAAATCCACCCCCAGGGGGGCTCAGAGGAAAAGGGAGCCCCAATTCTCCATCCTGAGGGGGTTAAGGAGGGGGTTCAGAGAGCAGAGGGACCCCCAGTCCCACCCCTCCTAGGATGGTTGTGTCCCCCAGCCCCTCACCACGTTCAGGATGTAATCCATGAGGGGGATGGGGATCCGCTCCTCTGTGCCCACCACCCTGCAACGACATGGAAGTGGGAGTGAGACACCCCCCCAGTCACAAGACCCCAAGACCACCCCAAAAATCCCTCCCAGACCACCCTGCTCACATCTGTGTGAGCTCAGCCTCATCCCCACCCCAAACTCCCCGGGAGACCTCCGCTCACATCTCAGTGAGCTTGGCCAGCCCAGGACCCCCCACTCACGTCTGGGTGGGCTCGGCCTCGCTCTGCTGGGCGGCCCCGAAGCTCTGCATGGCCTGAACCTCCTCCTCCTCCTCATCCTCGCTCGAGGCCTCCTCGGCGGCGTGGGGGGAGCGCGGGGGGGGCGCAGCCCCCGCCCCCTCCCCCTTCTGCATCGACGGCTTCTGGCAGATGTACTTGGGGTCCCGGCCCAAGCTGCAGATCTCCTCCAGCAGCTGGGGAGGGGGGGTTCAGTGAGTGGGGGACCCTGGGGACATGCCCAGAGCCCCCACCGGTGTCCCCCTGGCGTCACCTTGATGATGGCGGTGGTGGCGTCGGTTTTGAGGGTGGGCTGGTGCCGCATCAGCTCGTCCACGGCGCTGCCCAGGTTGGAAGCCGTGTCACCTGGGGGGGGCAAAGGGAGGTTCGAGAGGAACCCCAAGAAATAGGGGGGACCCCAAAAAGAGGGGGTCCTCAAAAAAATTAAGAGATTCCCAAGAAATATGTGTGTTCCCAGATACAGGGATGTTTGCCCAAAGAAACTGCAGGTCATTAAAAATGGAGGGCATCTCCAAAAAATCACCCACCCCAACCTCCCAAATCCCCATTTGGGGTCTTACTAAGGAGTTTGGAGCTGTGACAGCCAGTGTGTGCATTCCCTCCCAAAGCCCACTGTTTGGGGTCTCCCAGCCTGATCTGGGGTCTCACCCAGTGGGTTGGAGCTGTGTCTGTGTATCCCCCTCCCCACTCCCCGCTTTGGGGTCTCACCCAGAGGGTCGGAGCTGTGTCTGTGTGTCTCCCTCCCCACTCCCCACTTTGGAGTCACCCAGGATATTGGAGCTGTGTCTGTGTCTCCCCCTCCCCACTCCCCCCTTTGGGGTCTCACCCAGAGGGTCGGAGCTGTGTCTGTGTCTCCCTCCCCAATGCCCCTGTGGGGTCTCACCCAGTAGGTCGGAGCTGTGTCTGTGTCCCCTCCCCAATCCCCCCTGGAGCCTCACCCAGGGGGTCGGAGCTGCGCCGTCTCCTCATGGCGGGCAGGTAGTCGGGCGACAGCAGCACCTTGAAGAGGCGCTCGAAGGGCTGGCACTGCACGAAGCTCTGCAGCCCCCGCGCGTTCAGGCACAGGGCGGAGAACACGTTGGGGAGGGACCCCAGGACCTCACGGGTGGCTGGGACCTGAGGGGACAGGGCAGAGGTGGCACAGGTAAAGCACAGGACAAGTCTAAGGGACAGACTCAGGGCAGAGAACACACTGAGGAAGGAGCCCCACACCTCACAGGTGACTGAGACCCGCGCAGGTGGGACACAGGTGATGGACAGCTTAGGGACAGGACAGGTGTGAGGCACAGGTGACAAACAGGTAAGGGACACGTGACAGAAGTGAGGGACAGGTGCGAGGTGCAGGGCACCGAACGTGTTGGGCAGCGAGCCCGGGATCTCCTGCTTTGCTGGAACCTGGGCAGGTGAAGGACAGGTGAGAGGCACACCTGGGGCAGGTGTAGGTGCAGGACAGATGGAGGGCAGCCCTGGGGACAGGTGAGGGGCAGACACAGAACAACCACAGGAGCAGGGCTGGGCACACACGGGGTAGGTGTGCCATGGGCAGGTACAGGACAGGTGAGGGTACAGGTGAGGGCACAAGGAAAGGTGCAGCTACAGGACAGGTGACAGAGATGCAATGGAACAAGTGAGTGCAAAGATGGGAGAACAACAGAGGAGACAAAAAAAACAGGTAGAAGAAGAGCTAAGCACGTCACGTCCCTGAGGCAAGAGATGAAAGAACAAGTGAGGGAATAGGTGAACTGGCAAGTGAGGAAACAGGTCATTCAAGAGCAGGGCATCCAGCAGGACATGGGTGAGGGGACAGGTGAGAGCACAGGTACAAGGACAGATAAGGTGACATGTGAAGGGACAGGTGTCACCCCCATCCTTGATGAACAGGGTGTGCAGCAGGATGTCAGTGAGAAAACAAATATAGGAACAGGTAAGAAGACAACTGAATGCACATATATAAGGACAGCTACAGGAACAAGTGAGGGACAGGTGTCACTCACGTCCTTGATGAGCAGGGCGTGCAGCATGACGTCGGTCAGGCCATTGTCCTGCAGCGACGAGAGCAGAGAGGGCTCCTGGAACACGAACACCGTCACCACCTCGGTCGCTGCGGCGGGAGGAGACACAGGGGGGCACTGAGGGGGTGGGAGGGCCTGGGGGGGCTGGGGGGAGCCCCCAACCCCTGCCCACCCCCCCTGGGGGCCCGGGGTGCCGCTCACCCAGCAGGAACAGCGAGGGGCCGTAGTACTCGGCGTTGCTGATGATGTGCTTGAGCGACGTGGGCAGTGACCCGTCCATCACTGAGGGGGGGACAGCCAGAACAGGGGGTCAGGGGGGCTGTGCCACCCTCCCCACTGCCCCCAAGGGTCTGAGAGGTCTCAGGGACCACCCACCGTGGCGGATGCCGTCAGAGAAGGCGGGATCCTGGATGGCTTTCTTGAGGAAGTTCAGCATGGATTTGAGCAGGGCGGCGCGCTGGGGGATGCACTGCACTCCTGGGGGGGCACAGGGTGGGGTGAGACCCCCATGGTGCCTCCACAGCCCCCACACCACATCCCCCAGCCCCCCGGGGGTCACCTACCGCCACGTGGGGAGGGGGTGGCACTGCCAGGGCCGGAGCTGGTGCTGGGCACGGCCGGGGGGGCCGAGGGGCTGCTCTCCATGGCCACGTCGGTCACTGCAGGGGCACAGGGACAATGGGGGGTCTGGGGGGACACTGGGGGGGTCCCAGGGGACACCGGGGGGGGGACAGACCCCCTGCTCACCCTCCATGTCCGTCTCCATGTCCTCGCCCTCAGGGGCCGCTGTGGCCGGGGGTCTCTGCACCTTGGGCTTGATGACAAAGGGACACTCCCGGCGGCACAGGTCGACCTCGTGCTGGGGGGGAGGGACAGTCAGGGCTCCAGAACACCCCCAAAAACACCTGAGGGGACCCCCAAAATAACCCCAGAGGGACACAGAACAACCCCAGGGGATCCCGACCCAAAACCACCTGGGGGGACCCCCAAAATAACCCCAAAGAGACGTAGAACAACCTAGGCAAGAAAGACCCTGGAGGGCACCCCAAACCACCCCCAGAGGAGCTCAGAAAGACCCAAGCAGGATCGCAGAACAACCATGGGAGGCCTAGAACACCTCGGAGAGACCCCCAAGCCACCCCCAGAGGACCCCAGGACAAATCCAGAAGACCCCAGAACAACCCTAGGGGACCCCACTACTACCTCAGGGGTCCCCAAAGCTGGGCCAGTGTGACTCCAATCCCCCCTGGGTGTCCACAAAGTCAGAGCAGGGTGACCTCAAGCCCTCCCCGAGGGACCCCAGAAGCCCCCTGGGGGTCCCCAGGCCCCACCTCGAGGCGGTAGATGAAGATGGAGAGGCCGCTGTGGGCCTGGAACGCCGCCATGTCCAGGTTGGTGATGAGATCCACCACCCTCACCGCCCGCGTCACAAACGTGATCTGGTCCTGCTCATCCCCCAGGAACTTGATCACCTTCGGGGTGGGGACAAAAACAGGCTCAGGAAGGTCCTTAAACGGGTTCAACCCGCCCCCCAAAAAGGAGGAGAGCCCACCTTGAGCAAGCGCCTCCATCATCCCACACGACACCAGCGCCTCCCCACCCGCGTCGTAACTGGCCAGGTGGTAGAGGAAGGAGAACAGGGCCGTGGCGAACTGGTGGGGGTAGGGCTCCATGGAGGGGTCTGGGGGGCACAGAGGGGTGTCAGGACGGGTCAGTCCCTCCCCCAGGACCCCCCAAAGCCCCCAGACCCACCGATCATGGCCTGGATGCAGTTGCGGACCAGCACGGGCAGGAAGCCGTGGTAGGAGGCGGTGCCGGTGCAGTCGATGATGCTGCTCAGCTTGGGGGTCCTCTCCAGGTGCACTATGGACGTGAGGGTCCGCAGGGACGCCGCCTTGATGTCCTGGGGGGGGACAGGAGGGTCAGGAGGGCTTGGGGCAGGTCTGGGGAGTCCCACAGGAGGTTTGGGAGGTCCTCTCCAAGTGAGCTATGGACGTGAAGGTACCCAGGGATGCCGCCTTGATGTCTCGGGAGGGGGTACAAAGGAGTCAGGGAGGTGTTTGGGGGCTCCCAGAGAGGCTTTGAGAAGTCCTAGGGATGTTTTGGGAGTGCCTCACCATGAGCTGCTTGTCAGGAATCTGCAGGGTGGTCCTGAGAATGTTTTGGGGAGTCTCAGGAGAAGTTTAGGGGGGTCTCATCGTGAACTGTCTGTCAAGGATCTGCAGGGTGGTCTGGGAGTGTTTTGGGGGGTGTTTTGGGGTCTCACCATGAGCTGTTTGTTGGGGATCTGCAGGGTGTTTTGGGAGGTGTTTGGGGGTCTCACCATGAGCTGTTTGTTGGGGATCTGCAGGGTGTTTTTGGGAGGTGTTTTGGGGTCTCAGGGGGTCTCACCATGAGCTGTTTATTGGGGATCTGCAGGGTGGTCTGGGGGGTGTTTTGGGAGGTGTTTGGGGGTCTCAGGGGGTCTCACCATGAGCTATTTGACAGGGATCTGCAGGGTGTTTTGGGAGGTGTTTGAAGGTCTCAGGGGGTCTCACCATGAGCTGTTTGTCGGGGATCTGCAGGGTGTTTTGGGAGGTGTTTGGGGGTCTCAGGGGGTCTCACCATGAGCTGTTTGTCGGGGATCTGCAGCACGTCCACCAGCTCCTCGATGAGCCCGTTGTACAGGATGCTGTTGGCTGATTCCTGCAGGGCGTTGGAATACACTGCAGGAGGAATCAGGGGGGGTCACAACCAGCCCCCTCGAACCCCTCCCCACGCCCAGAAGCCCCCCAAAGAAGCCCACCCAGGATGGAGATGGCGTGGAGCCGGGCCTGCACCGCCTGCAGCCGCTTCCTGTGCGTGGAGAAGCCGTGGGCCAGGCGGATGTGGGTGAACAGCAGCATCTGGGGGGGGGGAGGGTACAACGTCAGGGGGGGTCTGGGGGAGACCCCCCAGCCCTGGATGACCCCCAAGACCCCCCCAGTCCCCCTGGGTTCACACCTGTTTGTCCTTGGGGATGTTGTACATCTTGGTGAGCGACTCCATGATCTCCGAGGGGCTCTCGGAAATCTGAGAAGGGGGGAGAGAAAATTGGGGAGGGGGCGAAAATGGGGGTGAAAAGGGAAAAAATGAGGGTGGGAAAACAAAAAGTGGGGGTAAAGAGGAACAAAAATTGGGAGAAAAAGACAATAATGGTGAGAAGAACTAAAAAGGAAAAAAATATGGATAAAAAAGAAATATAAAGGTAAAAAAATATTAACAAAACAAAAACGCAATGAAAAGTAGAAAAGAAATAAAAACGAAAAAATAAAGATTAAAAAAATAAGAATGAAGATAGAAATATTAGAAACATAAAAAATTAGTAAGAAAAGAAAAAATGAGAAAGACAAAACCACAACAGTGAAAAACCAAAAACAACAAATAAAAACAAAAAATTAGAAAATTAAATGTGAGAGTGGCGAAAGAAATCATAATTAAACGGAAAAAAATGCCAACAAATAAAAAATAATGCACAGAAAAGAGCAGCAAAAAAGGAAAAAATAAAAGTGAAAAAAAAACAGACACAGAAAATGAAAAATGAGAATCAAAAACAGAAACAGAGTGGAAAAGAAACAATATACCAAAAAGTAGCAAAAACAGAATGAAAAATGAAATAATCAAGGAAACAAAAAGGGACTGCAGTGTTGGGGGGGCCCCAATCAAAGCAGAGCCCCCCTCCCCAAATCAAGGCCCCCCCAGACTCACCTTGTCCAGCTGCTCGATGTGGATGTAGTGCAGGGTGGTGCTGGTGGCCTAGGGGGGCAGACAGGGTAAGGGGGGGCTCCGGTGTTTTAGGGACCCCCCATTGCCCCCCAATGTCCCCCTCACTCACCCTCTTGTCCACCTTGACCTCGACCCCCGGCTCGGCGTAGAACTCGAAGTGCAGGGTGGTGGCACTGGGGGGGTATTTCTGGGGGGGGCACAGGAGGTCAGGGGGGGTCAGAGGGGTCCCCTCCCCTGAGGGGATGTGGAGAGGGGGTCACAGGGCCAGGTTGGGGACACTGGGACATGGGGGGTGTGGGACTGAGGGACCCCAGAGTGTGACAGGGGTGGCAAAGGGGGATTGGGGACCCTGGGGATGGGATTTAGAGGACCTGGGGTGTTGGGAACCTTTGCTGGGGGGACAAAGGGAACAAAGGGGGGGTTGGGGACCTTGGGGGGGGACAGAAGGAATAGAGGGATGTTGAGGACCTTGGCGAGGGACAAGAGGGTCGAGGAGAATTCTGGGGGTCCCCAGATGTCACAGGAGGGCCCAAGTGAGTTTTGGGGTCACTCACCATCATGTGCAGGTCCCGGCAGCACTCGGCCAAACCGAACCCGTTCTCCTTTCCACCCCAGCTCTGTGGGGAAATGACCCAGCTCAGCACCAGGGACCCCCCCGAGTCCTCCCACCTCAGCCAGGAGCTGCAGCCGGGTGACCAGGGACCCCCCAGGATCCCCCATCCCCTGAGGACCCCCCCAAAGCCCTCAGGGCCCCCTCCCACCTCAGCCAGGTGCTGCAGCCGGGCCAGCAGGGGCCCCCTGCGCTCGGAGCCCAGGCGGGTGATGTAGTTGGAGCGTTTGCTGAACACGTAGAGCAGGTTGAGCACGGCCAGCACCACGTGCATGTCCGAGGAGGCCAGCAGGGTGGTCAGGTGCTGGGGGGATACAGAAGAGGTCAGGGGGGGCTACAGAGACGCCCAGAACATGGTGGGACACAGACAGGGGTGTTACAAAGCTCCCAACCCCTCCCCAGGACCACACGAGTGTCTGAGCAGGCCAGCAGAGTGGTCAGGTGTTGGGGGGGTCAAGGAGGGTCAGGGATGGGGACAGAGGGGGTTACACAGACCCCCAGGACCCCCAGACTGTGGTCAGGTGCAGTGAGAATGTATTGGGACAGTGCCACTGCCTGGGACCCAGCATGCCAGGCCCAGAAGGGGGGGCATGGGAATGTCACACCCAAACCCTCATTTCAGGGATTTTGGGGTGCCCCCACCTCGATGGAGCTGTAGAGGTGCCTGGAGAAGCTGTACTCGATGAGCAGGGCGGTGAAGTTGAGCAGGGCCAGCAGCAGGGCCTTCAGGGGTTGCCGCTCGGGCCGGTCGCAGCTCAGCATCCAGCTCATGGTGTCCACCGGCCGCCCCGCCTCGGCCAGCAGCGCGTCGAACCGGTCCAGCAGGTCCACCCAGTGGTACAGCTCGCACTGGGGGGGCACAGACACACGTTGGGGGGGGTCACAACACGGACTGGGGGGTGACACAGCCCCCCAGGAACCCCCAGAGATAGGGGGGACACCCCAGTCTGGCCTTGGCCACAAGGGCACAGAACTGGCCCAGCAGGGACACCCACTGGGATGGGGAGTGTTGGGAGAGAGACAAATACAAATTGAGAGAGACATAGCCCCCCTGTGAACCCCCAAAGATGGGGGGGCACCCCAGCCCAGCCCCCAACCCAGCCCAGCCCCCCAGTGCCCACCCAAACCCCCCCAGCTCACACTTGGAGTGGGGGAAAATAACAACAGATGAGGGGGGCACAGCATGGTCCCCATGACCCCCCAGCCAGGGGACGGTCCCAGTCTGGCCCCCAGCCCCCCAAGAACCCCCCCATTCCAGGGACATCCAGCCCACCCCCCAGCCCAGGTCCCATCCCCAATTCTGGGGGCTGGGAACAACCTGGGATCCCTGCCCAGGTGTTTGGGGCACTGGGGGGTCCCCCCCCAACATCTCTGGAATCCCCCCCACCGCCAGGTCTGGGGGGCTGCAGGGATATTGGGGGTCCCTCTGGAGTTCTGGGGCTCCATGAGGGAAAAAGTTTGGAACCACAACAGCCCCAGCACAGGGGGACATTGGTGGTGGTAGGAATTCCCTTTTGGGGGGGGCTGGGGACCCATTGGGGGACCCCCTTGGTGCCTTGGGGGTCCTTTTAGGGTTTTAGAGCTCCACAAGCAAAGGAGTTCAGAACCCCCAAGGGGGAAAAAATAGGGGGGATCCTTTTGGGGAGTCTGGGGGGAAATTGGGGGATCCCCCTGCTTTAGGGATAGACAACAATCAGAGTACCTCTTTTTCATTTAAGGACAAAACTGCAAAAAATTCAGGGTAATTCCCCCTAATTTAGATCTCTAATAAAAATTCAGTTAAGTGTGAGCCACTCTGAAATCTCTGTGAAGTTTGGGGGGCTCAGCCAAGACCAAGCACACCCTTCATTGCAAAACCATTTTGGGGGCTCCCTCCCACTGTGGGGATGCCGTGAGGGAACTGGGGGGGCTCCCTCCAGCGACCCCTCCTGTCTGAGCAACAGTGGATAACCTCACACCAAACCTGACACCACCACAACACATCTGAGACAGTCCCTGGGAATTCTGGTTCCCACCCCAGACTTTTGAAGCCCTCCAGCTCTCTGAGCTCCCCCTCCATGATTCTGGGGCCCCCCCCCAGCCCACCTTGCCGATGTTCCATGTCTTGATCTGCTGCAGCTCCGTCACCAACTGCTCGTCCGTGCAGGCCTTGAGCTTCTCGATGAGGGCCCTGCAGTCGGCAGGCTGAGGGTGGGGGGGGCACGGTCAGCTGGGACCCCCACAATGAGGGGGCAGGGACCCCCGGCAAGGACCCCCCACACCAGGGAGGGTGCAGGGACCCCCAGCAGGGACCCCCCCCTCAACAGACACTGCTGTCACACAGAGACCCCCAACAGAGACCCCCACACCGGGGGGTCAGGGACCCCCCAAGAGGCACCCCAGCACTGCAGAGAACCCCCCAAAACATGGACCCCCCTCACCACAGGAACCCCCCTCAGCTCTCCCCAACCCTGGGTGTCCCCAGCTGTCCCTCAGTGTCCCTGATTCTCCTCCTGAGTGTCCCCAACCCCTCCTGACTGTGGAACCCCTGTAATCCCTGACCCCTCTCCCCATGATGTCCCCAACTCCCCCAGGGTGTCCCGGACTCCCCCTAAGTGTCCCCAATTCCCCTCCCCAGGAATCTCCATTCTCCCCCCACCCCCGTGTCCCCAACACCCCCCCGTCTCTAATTCTGCCCCTCCAAGGTTCCCAACTGCCCCAACTGTCCCCAACCCCTCCTCAGTGTCCCCAACACCCACCTGACTGTCACCAATTTACCCCCACCCCCAATGACTTGAACTCCCTCTAAACTATCTTTGAGCGCCTTCAGATATCCCCATCCCTCCCGGGTGTCCCAAACCCCCCAGGGTGTCCCCAAACGGTCCCCAAACCCCCAGGGTGTCCCCAACCCCCCAGGGTGTCCCCAAGCCCCCAGGGTGTCCCCTCCCTCACCGCCTCCGTCGGGGTTTTCTTCAGCTTCGTCCGATCCACTTTCATTTTGGGGGGGTTCCCGTTTCCTCTCGTTCCTCCTGCACCGCGGGGGGGGGAGGAGTCACACGCAGGGACCCCCGGACCGACCCCCTCAAATTCCTCCCCCGATCACCCCCGGCCCCCGCTCCGGTGACGTCGAACAATGAATGTGCAAAACCCCGCCGAGCCCGGGGAGCCCCGGGGGTCACGGGCCCCCGCCCCTAATTAACCCCCAACGGTCTGTAATTACCGCCGCTAATTAAGGGCTCCCCGCCCTCCCCTGCGGCCCGGCCGGTCCGGTCACGGTGACGCATCAAATTGGGGAGGGGGAATTCCGGGACCCCGGGGCGCTTTGGGTGCCCCCAAAAAAAAAAACCAGCCGGAGGATCCCAACCCCCTCACCCTCCCCAAAAAATCCCCGGAAGGGTCGTCCCCCCAAATTCGCTGGGACCCCCTCCCGGTTTTAGGGATCCCCCAGGTGGCTCCAACCCCAAAAATGGTTCCAAACCCCCTCCAAATTCTCCAAGACCCCCCAGGTGGTTCCAACTCCCCCTCCCGATTCTGGGGGGCCCTTACCGGGAATCACTCCCAGTCCATCCTCGGCCCGGTCGCTGCGGGGGAACCGGGAGCTGCTGGGGGAAATTGAGGGGTGGGGGTGAGTTTTGGGGTCTCCCGGGGAGGGGGATATGATGGGGGGGGGTCTAAGTCGGGGAAAAGGCCCCCAAAATCATTGGGAGTCCCTTAACGGGGGGGGGGAGAGGGGGCCTTAACAGGAGGAAACTGGAAAGGGGGACCCCGAAATTGGGGAGGGTCGGGGAATCACAAAGGGGACCCCAAAATTCCGAGAGTAAAGCGTGGAACTCGAACTTATGAAAGGAGAGATCTAAATCATAGGGTGGCTCTAAATCACGGCGAGAAGAGGGAAATTTGGTAGAGCTGGAGAATCCAAAGCCCCTCAAAAAAGGGGGTCTTAAATGACGGGAAGGTTTGGAGGAGATCCCCAATAAAGGGATCCCCGAAATGCCGGGAAACCCCTGAGGGGGGGCCCGGAATGATTGGAAAGGTTTGGGGGGGGTGGTGGGAAATACCGGTGGGAGCCCAAAATAAGGAGAGCGGGCCCCTTAAAAAACAGAGAACGAAACCCAAAACACAGGACGCGACACTAAAATAGCGCGAGGAACCCCCAAAATACAAGACAGCCCTAATATATAAGAAAGGCCCTAAAAGATGGGGGGGGCTCTAAAAGACATGAGAACCTAAAATCAGAGCTGACGAGAGAGCCCTAAACCCCCTGAACGGCGCTGGGGGGGTCCGGGCCCGGGGGGAGGCCGTGGGGAGGTCGCTGAGGGAGGGGAAGGAACCCCCAAAATCACGGAAAGGCCGCTGGAGGGGGGCGGGCCCCGCATGACGGAGCCGGGCGCTATCCCCGCGCCGCCCCCCGCGTCCAGCGGGCCCCGGGGCGGCCCCGGTACCTTTGTGGGGGTGGTGGTGGCGGTGAGGGGGGGTTACAGCGCGGGGGGTGAGGGGGGGGCTCGGTCAGAGCGGGGCCCGGGCCGGTCCCGCCGCCGCCGCCGCCATCTTACCCTGAGCCCCGGCCGCGGCCGCGATCCCGCGACAGCCGCCGCAAATCCCGCGAGAGCTCCGGGCGGCGGGGAGGGGGGAGAGAGGGAAGGCGGGGAAGGGAGAAATCTCGCGAGAGCGGTTGGGGTAGAGGGAGGGAAATACGGGAGATCTCGCGAGAGTTTGTGAGAGCACGGAGGGGGGCCTTGCGGGGAGGGGAAGCCCCGCCCCTCACGGAGAGGCCCAAACCTACCTTGATCCTAATGCCGGGCGCGGCCCCCCCCGGAACGTCGGCACTCACCGGGGCGCTGAAGGGCGGACCTGGCGGGTGGCGGCGGCGACACCGCGGGGCCGGTCCCGCTGAGGGAGGGGAAGGGAGGGAGGGGGGAGGGAGCGCGGCCTCAGCGGCGGGAACGGCGGCGGCGCGCAGGGGTCTCGCGAGAGCGCCGGGCGAAAGGAGGCAGCGAGATCTCGCGAGAGATCCGGGCAAGCCGGAGCACGAGATACCGCGAGAGCGCCTCTTGATGGGACGGCGAGATCTCGCGAGAACGCCGGCACTAAGGGCGGAGACCCCGAAATCTCGCGAGATTCTGTGGAACAATTACGTGACCCGGCGCCGGGCAATTCCCTCAATACTTCGGCTTTTTTTTGTTTCTCCTTTTTTTTTTCGTTTTTATTCTACAAATACAAAAAAGGGGCGGGGCCGCGGCCTCGGACACGCCTACAAAACCGGGGCAGCCAATGGGAAGCGGCCCCGCCCCCGTCAATCAACCTGAAGACACATGGGGGGGAGATCCCGGCAGGGACCAATCAGAGGAGGCCCCGCCCCTTCCGCGGCTCGGCCAATCACGGTGTCCGATGAGGGAGAAGGCCCCGCCTCTTCAGCCGCAGCCAATGGGAGGATGGGATCTGCTGTGGGCGGGGCCTGAATGAAGCTCCTCCCCGTTTGACCACGCCTATCATAGACCCAAATGTCCTCAATGGACATGGGCGTGGCCCGCGCGAACCGTTGTGGGCGTGGCCAGAGTTGCCCACGCCCCCCAATACGGGTGGTGGGAGGGACCACAACCACAGGGAGTGTGGCCTGGTTCAAACCACGCCCCTTTTTGTGTGGCGGGGGCGTGGTCCTGTTAAGGACACACCCACAATGGGTGGGTCTAGACAGACACACCCAATGAGGAAAGTGGGTGGGGCTACATTTGGAGGGGCGTGGCCACACCTGACCCCACCCCTTCAGGTGACCCATGGTGGGCGTGACCATGCAAGGGGGCGTGGGGTCTTGGCCACACCCGGGGGCGGGGCCAGGTGTGACCACACCCCCTCAGAGCAGCAGTTTCCCGTTCCGGTGGATCTTGAGGATCCGGCCCAGGCGCTGCTTGGCCGTGGCCAGACCCTTCCGGGGGCGTTTGCCTGGAAAGAGACCCAAAATCAGCCCAAATCCACCCAAAAATCACCTCAAATCACCCCAAACCCACTCAAAAATCACTTCCAATCACCCCAGACCCTTCTGGGGCGTTTGCCTGGAAAGGGACCCAAAATCAGCCCAAATCCACCCAAAAATCACCTCAAATCACCCCAAAACCTTTCGGGGGCCTTTGCCTGGAAAGGGACCAAAATCAGCCCAAATCCACCCAAAAATCACAGCAAATCACCTCAAACCCTTCCAGGGGCCTTTGCCTGGGAATGAACCCCCAAATCACCCCAAGTCACCCCAAAAATGACCTCAAATCACCCCAAACCCTTCTAGGATTGTCACCCCTCAGACTCCCCAAAATTCCCTTCTGGACTCCCCCAAAACCAGCCCAACCCTCCTTGAAATCCACCCCCAAAACCCCCCGTCCAGACCCCCCAAATCCCATCCAGACCCCCCAAACCCTTCCCTGAGCTCCTCCCAATCCTCCCCACTCACCGTGCTGGGGGGGGGCGGTGCCAGGGGGGCCCCTGCGCTGGCTCAGGAAGACCCCTGGGGCCATGGGGGTGGGGGCCCTGCCCGGCTGAGCCCCCCGGGTGGGAGGGCCCCCCTGGCCGGGCTGTGTACTCGTGGTCAGCCAGGCTGGGGGGGTATGGGGGGTCTGGGGGAGCTCCGGGGGCTCGGCCTCCCCCTCCCCCTCCGACCTCCACCTGCCCCTCCCCCTGCCTCAGGGTCCCCCTCCCCTGCCTCGGGCTCAGGGTCGGGCTCTTCATCCTCCTCCTCCTCCTCCTCCTCTTCCTCTTCCTCCTCCTCCTCCTCCTCAGGGGAGGGGGTGAGGGGACGGCGCTTAGTGGGGGCCCTTCCTGCGCTGCAGCTTCCGGTGCTCCTGGGGGGCACAGGGGGTCAGGGGTCCTGGGGGTCTCTGGGGTGTTTGAGGGGTCTATGGGGGCTCAGGAGGTGTTTTGGGGGGTCTGGTTTTGGCCCCCAATCTGCTGGGCCTGTTTGCCCCCAGTTTGGCCCTGTGCTCCCCTCACCAGTGCCCCCAGTGCCCCCAGTTTCCCTCACCTGCTGGGCCAGCTTGGCGGCCGCCGCGGCCAGCCCGGTCTCCACCGAGGCCACGCGGGTCCCCTCCCGCACCGGGCGGCTCTGCCGGGGCAGCGACGGCGTCACTCGGGCTGGGGGGGCAAAGGGGGACCCCAAAATTAGACACAGACATGGCAGAGAGGCTCCCCCCCTCAAATCCCACCCACACCCCCCCACCAGGGATCCCCTAAACCCCCGACAACACCCTAGAACCCTCAGGAACCCCAAATCCCACCCCCAGAGCCCCCTTGAATCTCCCCACATCACACAGGGACCCCCTTCAAACCCACCCCAAACCTCCCTAAAGCCCCCCAAAACCCCCAGGTACCCCCAACAACACCCAGCTCTCCCCACCTCCCCTACAGCCCTTAGAGACCCCCAAAAACCTCAAATCCCCCCACACCCCTGGGGATCCCCTCAAACCAAACCCCAAGCCTCTCCATCCACCCCCTCACTTCCCCTGCAGACCCGAAAACCCCCAAACCTCCCCTCAACTCCCCAACCCCATCCCAACCCCCCATCTTCTCCCCCACCCCATTTTTGGGGTGTCCCCCACCTTTGGGGCTCCAGGGAGCATCATCCGTCACCTTCTTCCTCTTGGGGAGGGACTTGAGGGCCGGGTCAGTCCTCATCCGACTCCAGGGAGGGGTAAACTGGGGAGGGGTGTCGGGGGTGTCAATGGGGGTCTGTCACACCCGGGGGCCCCCAGCGTCCCCCAAACTCACTGTACTCGGCGTCCTTGAAGCAGGCACCCAGACTGTCCTGCTCGTCCAGGCTGCCCTCGGCCTCGCTGTCCGTGCTCCGGGGGCTGGGGGCTCTCCTGCCCCCCGACCCCCAGCACCCCCTGTCGGGCCCCGAGCCCCCGACCACCAGCTGGGGGCCCAGGGGGTCCCGCGGGCAGGTTGGCCATGCACAGCATCCCCTGGATGGCCTCGCGTGTGCTGGGGACGCGGGGGCCTCGCTGGTGAGGGGGCAAAGGGGGTAAATCCACCTGGTGACCCCCAAAACTAAACCCAGCACCCCAAAAAACCCCCTAAAACTGCCTGGAGACCCCTCCCAACCAAACCCAGTACCCCCAATAACCACCTGGAGACCCCCAAAACCAAACCGAGCACCTCCAAACCCCCCCAAAACCACCTAGAGACCCCCCAAATCAATCCCAGCACCCCTAAAACCCTCCCAAAACCGCCTGGAGAACCCCAAAAATCAAACCCAGCACCCCCAAAACCAAACCCAGCACCCCTAAAAATCCCCTAAAACTGCCTGGAGAACCCCTAAACCAAATCCAGAACCCCCAAAATCAAACCCAGGACTCTCAAAACCCCCCCAAAGCCGCCTGGGGACCCCAAAATCAAACCCAGTACCCCTAAATTCCCCCCCCAAACCACCTGGAGAACCTCTAAACCAAACCGAGCACCTCCAAAATCCCCCCAAAACCGCCTAGAGACCCCCTCAAATCAATCCTAGTACCCCTAAAATCCCCCCAAAACTGCCTGGAGATCCCCAAAGTCAAACCCACCACCCCCAAAAACTCCCCAAAACTGCCTGGAGACCCCCAGGACCCTCAAAACCAAATCCAGCACCCCTAAACCCCCCCAAACCACCTGAAGAACCCCAAGACAAACCCAGAACCCTAAAAACTCCCCAAAACTGCCTGGAGACCCCCAAACCAAACCCTAAACCAAACCCAGGACCCCCAGAACCAAAGCCAGCACCTCCAACCCCCCCCACAAACCTCCTGGAGAGCCCCCCAAATCAAACCCAACACCCCTAAAAACCCCCCAAACTGCCTGGAAGCCCCCAAAACCAAATCCAGGACCCTCAAAACCAAACCCAGCACCCCCAAAACCACCTGGAGATCCCCAAAGTCTCAAACCCAGCACCCCCCAAACCAAACCCAGCACCCCCAAAACCCCCAGAACTGCCTGGAGACCCCAAAAGTCAAACCCAGCACCCCCAAACCCCCCCAAAACCACTCGCAGACCCCCAAAACCAAACCCAGGACCCTCAAAACCAAACCCAGGACCCTCAAAACCAAATCCAGTCCCCCCATAAGGTCCTCCACAGCCCTTAAAGACCCCCCAGAACCCCCTCAAATCCCCCACAGCCCCCAGGGGCCCCCAAAGCCCCCACCTGAGTTGGGGGTACTCGGAGCCCCCCACTTGCCGACTGGCCTTGAGCAGGTCGAGGATCCCGGCACTGCCCCCGGCAGCTCCTTCCTCATCCTCATCTGTGGTGTAATCCTCCTGTGTGGGGGGGGAATGAGTCCAAAACCCCCCAAAATAACCCCAAAATATCCCACTCATCCTCGTCTATGGTGTAATCCTCCTGTGGGGTGGGGGGAATGAGTCCAAAACCCCCCAAAACCCCCAAAATAACCCCAAAATATCCCCTTCATCCTCATCTATGGTGTAATCCTCCTGAGGGGAGGAAATGTGCCCCAAACCCCACAAAATAACCCCAAAATATCCCAAAATAACCCCCTCATTGTTGTCCGTGGTGTAATTCTCCTGAGGGAGGGAAATGAGCCCCAAACCACCCAAAATAACCCCAAAATATTCCAAAATAATCCCCTCACGCTTGTCCACAGTGTAATCCTCCTGAGGAAGGGGAAAATGAGTCCCAAACCACTCAAAATAACCCCAAAATATCCCAAAATACCCATCTCATCCTCATCATGGATACTAATTCTTCTGTTTAGGTGAGGAATCAGCCCCCCAAACCCCCCAAAATATCCCCAAATCTTCTCTGGGCCCCCCCTTCAACCGCCCCCCAGAACACCCTCTGGGACCCTTACCAAGCTCCCACAGTGGCCCCAAAGCCCTTTGGGACACCCCTGACACCCTCTAACAGCCCCCAGGCCCCCAGGACCCCCCAGGACCCCCCAGACCCACCTCGATGTCAAAATCCACCTCCCCGGCTCCCGCACCCGGTTGGGGTCCGAGCAGGGCTTGGCCCGGGGCAGCTTCCGGGGAGCCCTGGGGGGCAAAGGGGCGTCACGAGGGGCAGGGACTCCAGCACCCCCAGAGGGGATTTGGGGCTCTGGGGTAGTTAAGGAAATTTGGGGATGTTTTGGGGTGCTGAGGGGATTTGGGGGTCCTCAATTTTTGGGGTGTTGGAGGTTTTTGAAGGTACCCACAGGGCAGGGGGCGGGGGGCAGGGGATGGGGAGGGATTTTGGGGGAGCTTTGGGAGGGTTTGGAGGATTTTGGGGGTTACCCACAGGGCAGCTGTCAGAGGGGGTTTGGGGGTTGTTTGGGGGTTTGGGGCTTTCTGGGGGTTACCCTGAGGTAGCCAGCAGGGCATTTAAGTGGGATTTTGGGGGAGTTTTTGGGGAGTTTCTGGGGGTACCCACGAGGCAGCCGGCGGGGCCCCTCCGGGAGGGGTCTCATCAATCTGCAGCTCCTCCTCTGAGTCCAAGTCCAGGGGGAGCTGGGGGAGCAGGGGGGATGGGGGCACGGGACCCCAGAGCCCCCAGGTCGGCTCCGGCGGGTCCTGGAGGGTGGGAGGGGTCAGTGAGGACCCCTTGAGCCCCAAAACCCATCTCCCCAGTGCCCCCAAATCCCTCTGAGACACCCCCACCGCCCTAAATTCCCTCTTGGAATCAACCCCACTGCTCCCAAACCTCCCTGAGACCCCCTCCCAATGCCCCCAAATCCCCCTGGGAACCCTCTCAAACCCCAAACCCCTCCTGAGACCCCCTGGACCCCAAAAACCCACCTGGGACACCCCCCTGGCATCCAACCCCCTCAGAACCCAAAACCACCCCCAGCCCCCAGAATCCCCCAAGATTCCTTCCATACCCCCCAACCACCCCCCAGGCTCCTCCAGAGCCCCCCAATTCCTGCTGGGACCCCACAAGTCCCCCTTAGCACCCAAATCCAACCCCAGACCCCCAGTGCCCCCCTGCTCACCGAGCCCCCCGTTGTGCAGGGGGTCTGGGAGTCCCCTCGAGTCGGGGTCCGTCTCCTCCGGGCTGGAGCTGGGGGTCAGGCTGGGGGCCCCCTGAGAGTCAGGGGGTCCCCAACCCTGACCCTGCCCCCAAACACCCCCCCAGCCCCCTCCTCACCTCCTCATCCTCCTCAGGGGGGTCCGGGGGGTTGAGGCCCCCATCATCAGGGGGCGGGAGCTGGGAGGGGGCTTGCGGGGACCCCCCTTTTTGGGGGCCGGGACCCCCCAGGGGGGGCCAAAGGGGGTCCCCGACATCCCCGTGCTCTGCTGGAACAGCTCCTGGGGGGAGAGGAGGGGTCAGGAGGGGCTCCAAGTGCCCCCCCAGTGACTCCCAGTAACCCCCAGTAACTGCCCAAAGTTTCCAGAAACACCTCCAGTGACCCCCAGTAACCCCCCAAAAGGTTCTAGACACTCCACCCAGTAACTCCCAGTACGTCCCAGTAACCACCCAAAGCTCCCAGAGAACCCCCCCAGGAACTGCCAATGACTCCCAGCCCCTTCCCAGTCCCCTTCAGTCCCTTCCCAGCCCCTCCCCAGTGATGCCCAGTCCCCTCCCAGTCCCTCCCAGTGCTCCCAGTAACCTCAGCCAGCCGGATCTCCCTGCCCAGTTCCTTCACCAGCTGTCCCGGCCGGACGGTTTCGGGGATCTCGTGTTCGTGCTCCCCCAGCACCTGATTTGCGGGGGGGTTAGAGGGGCAAATGTGGGAGGACCCCCTCAAAACAAACCCCCTAAACATCCCCCCCACCAACAGGGACCCCAAAAACTGGGGGAATCCCCAAATAAAAGAGGGAAACCCCCAAACCTCCCCCTCAAATCCAGCTTCACCCACCCACCCCTGTAACCCCCAGAACCCCTAAAACCTCCCTGTAACCCCCAAACCCACCCTGTAACCCCTCCCAGGGCCACCCAAACCCCAGAGCCCCCCTCAAATCCTCTGTAAACCTCCCCAAATCCTCCTCTAACCCCTCAATATCCCCCATAAACCCTCCCCAGGACCCCCAGCCCCCAAACCCCCTGTAATCCCCCAAAATCCTCCCATAGACCCTTCCCCAGAACCCCAGCCCCCAAACCCCCTGTAAGCCCCCAAAATCCTCCCATAGACCCTCCCCAGAACCCCCAGCCCCCAACTCCCCCATAACCTCACAGATCCCCTGTAGCTCCCCTCCCAGGACCCCCAGCCCCCAAACCCCCTGCAGCACCCCCAAATCCCCCTGTAGCCCCCCAAAGGACTCCTCCAGGCCCCCAAAGCCCCCAGACCCACCTCCCTGCGGGTCCAGGCGCGGAAGGCCCCGCTCAGGGCCTTGGCCCCGTGCACCAGGTAGGCCGCGGGGTGTCGGCGGTTCTCCCGCAGCCCTGGGGAACCCCAAAACTCAGGGACCCCCCAGGAACCCCCGTAGCCTTAGGGGACCCACCAGCACTCAAGGACCCCCAGGACCCTCCAGACCCCCCCTCTCCTTCCAAAGCCCCAGGTGGGACCCCCAGGAATGCCCCAAAGGCACCTCCAGACAGGGCTGAGACCCCCCAAAATTGGGGATGAGATCCCCAAAGACCCCCCCAGAATCAGGGATGGGACCCCCAGAGGTGGTTAAGGCTTCTCCCCCAACCCCTCTCAAATGGGTTTAAACCCCCAGCCCCCCTGGATGGGGTTTAAAGCCCCTCAACTTCACCCCCGAATGGGTTTAAATTCCCCAGCCCCCAGTATGGGATTTAAAGCCCCCAACTCCTCCCAGCACAGGGTTTAAAGTCCCCCCACCCCCTCAAAGCCCCCCAGCCCCGAATTTGGGGCACCCACCTCGGAAGGTGTCCAGGAGGTGCCTCCCCACGTACCAACAAATGGTCTCGAAGTTGGGGAACTTCACCGGGTCGGAGCCGCTGAGGCGCCGCTCCAGCTCGTACGCCCTGGGGGGAGAAATGGGGGGGCTTGGGGGGCCAGGGAACCCCACAGGACCCCATGGAACCCCACAGGACCCCATGGAACCCCACAGGACCCCATGGAACCCCACAGAACTGGCCTGGTCTTGAGGGTCCCCAAAATCCCCCCCAAAGACTCAAAACCATCCCTCAAAAACCCCCTGAAGATGCCCCCAAAAACACTCTAAAGCCCAACCAAGGACCCCCAAAAACACTCTAAAGCCCATGAAGCACCCCCCAAAACAACCTAAAGCTCACCAAGGACCTCCAAAAACACCCTAAGCCCATCAAGGACCCCCAAAAACACTCTAAAACCCACGAAGCACCCCCAAAAACACCCTAAAGCCCAACCAAGGACCTCCAAAAACACCCTAAAGCCCAACCAAGGACCCCCAAAACCACCCTAAATCTCACCAAGGACCCCCCAAAACACTCTAAAACCCAACCAAGCACCCCCCAAAACACCCTAAAGCCCAACCAACGACCCCCAAAAACACCCTAAAGCTCACCAAGCACCCCCAAAAACACTAAACCCAACCAAGGACACCCAAAACACCTTAGAGAGCACAAAAAATGCATTAAAACCTCCCAAAGACACCCCCAAAACACTCGAAAGACCTCCCAAAACACCCCCCGAACACCCTAAAACCTCCCGAACCACCCTGAAGCCCCCCAAAAACACCCCCCAAAGCCCCCCCACCTGAGCTGCATCCCGATGTTGAGGCTGTGCAGGAAGTTGCCCCCGAAAGCCAAACAGTCCACGGGGGTCAGCGAGGCCTGGATCCACCCTGGGGGGCACGGGGGGGGTCAGAGGGTGCTGGGGGAAGGCTGAGGGTGTGTTGGGGGCTCTGACCCTGGCACAGGTGTGGCTGGGGGTCTGTAAGTGTTGGGGGGGGGGTCTGTAGGGTTTAGGGGTGTATTTCAGTGCCCCCTCTCACCTGTAGGGATGAACAAGGTCTGGCCCTGGTGCAGGTGGTTATGGGGGTGTGTTTAGGGGTCCCTACTGGGTTTGGGGGTCCCTGTCCCCCTCAGACTCACCCAGATCCACCGGGGCTGGGAGGTCAAGGTCTGGGCGCGCTGGGGTTGTTCGGGGTGTGCTAGGCCTGCTGGGGACAGGCTGAGGTGTGTCGAGGCTGACCCTGGCACGGTGTGGCTGAGGGTCTGTAGGTGTTGGGGGTCTGTCAGGGTTTAGGGTGTATTTTAGTGCCCCTCTCACTGTAGGGATGAACAAGGTCTGGCCCTGGTGCAGGTGGTTGTGGGGAGCGTTAGGGGTCCCTACTGGGTTTGGGGGTCCCTGTCCCCCTCAGACTCACCCATGGGGATGAAGAGGGTCTGCCCTTGGTGCAGGTAACATTTGGGTGCGTTTGGGGGTCCCTGCTGTGTTTGGGGGTCCCTGGACTCACTTACTGGGATGAAGAGGGTCTGCCTCTGGCACAGGTGAGGTGTGGGTGCGTTTAGGGGTCCCTGCTGTGTTTGGGGGGCCCCCCCAGACTCACCCATGGGGATGAAGAGGGTCTGCCCCTGGTGCAGGTGAGGTTTGGGTGTGTTTGGGGTTCCCTAATGGGTTTGGGGGTCCCTTCTGTGTTTGGGGGTCCCTGGACTCACTTACTGGGATGAAGAGGGTCTGCCTCTGGCACAGGTGAGGTGTGGGTGCGTTTAGGGGTCCCTGCTGTGTTTGGGGATCCCTGTCCCCCCCCAACTCATCCGTGGGGATGAAGAGGGTCTGCCTTGGTGCAGGTAACATTTGGGTGCGTTTAGGGGTCCCTGCTGTGTTTGGGGATCCCTGTCCCCCTCAGACTCACCCGTGGGGATGAAGAGGGTCTGCCCCTGGCACGGGTGAGGTGTGGGTGCGCTCGGGGGTCCCTGCTGTGTTTAGGGGGTTCCTGTTTCCCCCAGACTCACGGGGATGAAGAGGGTCTGCCCCTGGTGCAGGTGAGGTTTGGGTGTGTGGGGGGTTCCCTGCTGTGTTTGGGGATCCCTGCTGTGTTTGGGGGTCCCTGGCCCCCCCAGACTCACCCGTGGGGATGAAGAGGGTCTGCCCCTGGCGCAGGTGGCACCGGTAGCACCGATCCACCTGGTCCCCGAAGAAGAGCTCGGGGCGGTTGCGGGAGCTGCTCCAGGCCTCGAACAGGGACAGGTTGGCGGCCGAGGGACGCGCCAGGTAAAAGATCTTCTCACCCTGAGGGGGGGGCACAGGGGGGCACATCAGGGGCAGCCCCCCCCCAAATCTCCCTGTAGCCCTGCCCTGAACCCTCAAATCCCCCATAAAACCACCCTATACCCCCCTCCAGGCACCCCAAATGCCCCTTAAACCCCCTAAAACTCCTTAATAACCCCCTCAGCCCCCAAAACCCAACACAACCCATCACATCCCCTTCCAGACACCCCAAACACCTGTAACCCCCCTACACCCCCTGTAAAGCCCCCTAACTCCCTGCAACTCCCCCAAACACGCTGCAATCCCCCAAACCCCTTGTAATCCCCCTAACCCCTCTTAAACCCCCAAACCTTTTGTAACCCGCCCAAATCCCAACTCCCCCAAACCTACTAACCCCTGTAACTCCCCCAAACCTGCTGTAACCTCCCAAACCCCCTGCAACTTCCCCAAACCTGCCTAACTCCCAAGCCCCTGTACCCCCAACCCCATCCAAAGTGCCCCCTCAACCCCGATCATGTGGCACCAGGCCGAGGTGCCTCCACAGTCACTGCTGCTGCACCCACAGCCCCAATTCCCCTGTAGCCCCCTGTAACCTCACCCAAGCCCTCTGCAGCCCACCCCCACCCCTCCCAGAGCACCCCCGACCTTGAGCACGTGGCACCAGGCCGAGGTGCCCCCACAGGCGATGTGGAAGTCGCAGTAGCCGTCCTTGGCCCCCATCAGGCAGTACTTCTGCACGCTCGGCCGCTCCCGCGCCGACTCCCCCGGCCACAGGTTCTCCACCCACGAGAGCTTCCGCACGATCCGGGGGTCTGCACCAGGTTGGACAGCCTGGGGGCATGGGAGGGGCAGGGGGTTACATGGGAGCCAGGGGGCTGCACCAGGTTGGACAGCCTGGGGGGCACAGGAGGGGTCAGGGGGCACAGGGGGCTGCACCAGGTTGGACAGCCTGGGGGCACAGGAGGGGCAGGGGGGTACAGGGAGCTGCACCAGGTTGGACAGCCTGGGGGGGCACAGGGGGGGTCATCAGCACCCACCTGGTGTCAGAGAACTCGAGGCCGGTGACGTTCAGGACCCTCTCGCGCCGGGGACCCCCCAAATAGGCCACGAAGTCCCCGAGGCGCATGCGGAGCTCGGCCTGGCGGCCCACGTCCAGCACTGAGACCACCTTGTCTGCCCCTGGAGACCCCCAGGGGTGAGAGAGACCCCCTGACCCCCCCCAAACCCCCCCTGACCCACATCCAGCACTGAGACCACCTTGTCTGCCCCTGGAGACCCCCAGGGGTGAGAGAGACCCCCTGACCCCCAAGCCCCACAGACCCCCTGACCCACGTCCAGCACTGAGACCACCTTGTCTGCCCCTGGGACCCCAGGGGTGAGAGAGACCCCCTGACCCACCCTAAACCCCACTGACCCTCCTGCCCCACGTCCAAGCACTTGGGAGACCCCTGAGCGCCCCCAAACCCCCACTGAGCCCCCAAAGCCCCCCTGAACCCCCTCAAAGCCCCCCATGACCCCCCCAGGCTCACCCACGTAGTGCAGGACGTCACGGGGGGTGAAGGAGGGGGGGGGCAGGGTCATTCCCAGCCCCTCCTGCCGGGACACCAGGATGGGCACACTGAAGCTGTTCTCCTCCAGGTACTCCACCGTCAGCTGGGCCCCCCCCGGCCGCAGCAGCACCTCATCCGCACTGGGGGGGATGACACAGGACCCTTGAGACCCCCCCCGAACTGACCAAAACCCCCCAGGACCCCCCTGGGACCCTCCAACCCAGCACAGCCCCCAGCGAGGGACAAAGCCCCCACCTGGGGAAGGGGCTCAGCTGGGATGGGACCCTCCCCTGGGGGTGTCCCCCTCTTCTGGGGTTGTGTCCCCTGCCCTGGGGGTGTGTCCCCCTCTCCTGGGGGTGTCCCCCTCTCCTGGGGGTGTGTCCCCCTTGCCCTGGGGGTGTCCCCTCTCCTGGGGGTGTCCCTCACCTGGGGAAGGTTCGTCCCCGCAGCTCCCGGATGAACTGGGCGCTCCCGGTCCGGGCGGGGCGGCCCCCGGGGGGTTCCTGATCCGGAGCCTTCGGGGGGCCCCGGCGCCGCTTCACTGTGGGAACAGGGCACGGGTGAGGCCACGGGAAACGTGGGAATACAGGGATAATGGGGAGTACAAGGATCCACTGGGATGTGGGAATGGGGAGAAAGGAGAAGGACAGAAGGGAATGGTGATACAGGGGACACAGGGATATGGAGGGATACAGGAGGACACAAGGAATACAGGGATACAAGGATACAGAAGACACAAGAGATACAAGGGGTACAGGAGAACACGAGGACACAGGACCACACAAGGATACAGGAAAAAAGGAGGACACAAGGGGAGACAAGAATACAGGGAACACAGGGATACAAGGAGACACAGGGAGACACAGGAATACAGGAGGATACAGAGGACACGCAGGGACACAGGCACGGGTGTGTCCCTGGAAAACACTGAGGGATACAGAAGGAACACACGGATACAAAGCCAGGAATGTGGCTGGCACCAGGGACACATGGACACAGAGACAGCCAAGGATCCACAGGAACCCAGTGACCTCCCTGCAGAGCTGGGAACATGTGGATCCAGAGGGACCCCCCCAGGCATGGAGGGACACGGGATGATCCAGGAAGACATGGATCCACAGGGACCGGGGGGGATCCACAGGGACCGGGGGGGGATCCACAGGGACCGGGGGGGATCCACAGGGACTGGGAGGGATCCTGGGAGGATTTAGGTTTCCATGGATCCACAGGGACCCAGGTGGATTTAGGTTTCCATGGATCCACAGGAACCCAGGTGGATTTAGGTTTCCATGGATCCACAGGGACCCGGGAACATTCGGGCCCACAAGGACTTGTCTGGGCCGGAGTTTCCATGGGATCCACAGGGATCTGGTCACAGCCAGATCCACAGGGACCAAACAAGCTCAGGAACAGGCACATCCCTAGGTTTTTATGGATACATGTGGATCCAACAGCAGATGGATCCAGAGGGACCCCAGAACACAGGGATTCACGGAAACCCAGGAACAGAGGGATGTACAAGGACCTGCCTGCACCTGGGATTTTGTACATTGGGAAGCTCGTGAATCTGTGGAGACCCACGTGGACCTGGGCTTCCATGGGAACACATGGATCCAGGAACAGCTGGATCCACAGACATCCAGGGATTCACATGGATCCAGGAACAGCTGGATCCACAGACATCCAGGAATTCACATGGATCCAGGAACAGCTGGATCCAGACACCCAGGGATTCACATGGATCCAGGAACAGATGGATCCAGACATCCAGGGATTCACATGGATCGAGGAACAGCTGGATCCACAGACACCCAGGAATTCACATGGATCGAGGAACACATGGACCCACAGACCCAACCAGGAATTCATATGGACCCAGAAACAGATGGATCCACAGACACAAACAGAAACTCCCATGGATCCAGGAACAGATGGACCCACAGACACAACCAGAAACTCCCATGGATCCAGAAACAGATGGATCCACCGACACAACCAGGAATTCATATGGATCGAGGTGTTCCTGGAATTCACAATCAGGAATTCACGTGATCCAGGTGTTCCTGAATCCACAGACACCCAGGAATTCACATGGATCCAGAAACAGATGGATGCACAGACACAATCAGGAACCCACATGGATCCAGGAACACCTGGATCCACAGACACACCAGGAATTCCCACGGACCCAGGAACAGATGGATCCAGGAGGACTCATGCAAGCCTGGGTTCCTCTGGACCCACGTGACCCCAGGAACACGAGGATCCCCAGGGATCTGAATCCACAGGGATTGACACGGACCTGTCTGGACAGGGGTCACACAGACCCCCCGAACCCAGACACGGATGGGACACGCCATGGACACGTGTGGACCCCCAGGAGCCCCACAGGGTCCTGGCATGGATCCAGAGGGACCCAGGCCCCCATCCCAGTCCCTCCCAGTGCCCCCCAGTGCTCCCAGTTCACTCACTGACGGAGGGCCCCCTGAGCACGGCGCACTGGGGGCAGTGGTACAGGTCGATGTCGGCCGCCGCCTCCTCCTCCACCCCCACGCAGCTGTGGGGACACCCAGTCACTCCCAGTGCCTCCCAGTAACCCCCAGGTACATCCCCAGTGCCTCCCAGGAACCCCCAGGCACATCCCCAGTGCCCCCCAGTAACTCCCAGTCACCCTCAGTGCCTCCCAGTAACCCCCAGGCACCCACCCAGTAACACCCAGTGCCTCCCAGTAAGTCCCAGGCATGCCCCCAGTGCCTCCCAGTAACCCCCAGGCATCCACCCAGTAACCCTCAGTCGCCCCCAGGCATCCACCCAGTTCCCCCCAGACTTCTCCCAGTCCTTCCCAACCCTCTCCCAGTCCCTCCCAGTGCCCCCCAGTCCCTCCCAGTGCCCCCCAACCCCCTCCCAGTGCCCCCAATCCCTCCCAGTGCCCCAGTCACACCTGCCATGGAACCAGTCCTGGCAGCCATCGCACTCGATCATGAACCGGGTCACGTCGTAGGGGAGGCGGCACAGGCAGTAAACGGGCACCGAGGCCATGGCGGGACCCCGGGGACCCCTCAGGCCCCGGACCCCCTGAGCCCCTACGGACCCCCGGTCCCCCGGGCCGGGACATCGTGAGGACCCCGAAAACAGCCCCTGAAACCACCCCCAAAATCCACCCCACTAAATCAGCCCCCTAAAAACAGACCCCAAACTAATCCCCAAAAAAAACCGCCCCACAAAAACAGCTCCTAAAAACAACCCCCACAAGACGACCTCTCAAAAATATCCCCCTAAAACACCCCCTAAAAATAATCCCCCAAAACAGCTCCTGTAAGACAGACCCTAAAACAGCCCGTGAGAGACCCTAAAACAACCCCTAAAAGCACACCATTAAAAACACCCACCTAAAAAAAACCTCCCAAAACAGCCCCCCCCAAGAACCTCCCTTTAACAGCTCCCCTAAAACAGCTCCTCAAAAACAAACAGCCCCCCAAAAACAGCTCTCCTAAAACAGCCCCTCAGCTGGACCCCCTAAAGGGACCCCCTAACCCCCCCAGCGTGGCCCGTGAGGGCAGTTGGGGACCCTGGGGGGACTTGGAGGGCACAACAACCCCCCCAAAAAATATCTATGAGGAACCCCAAAAGGGTCAACGCAGATTTAGGATCCTCTTAAAGGGTTTATAGGGCCCAGAGCCCCCCCCAAAAGGGGTCAATGGGGGTTTGGGGGGGTCTCGGGACCCCCAAAAGCGCTGCAGGGCCCGGGGTCTCTCGCGGGGTCCGTGGGGCCCGAGCCGCCCCCTCCCCACGTGCCGCGGGGTCCCCGGGACCCCCGAAAAGCTTTTGCGACCCCTTGAAAGACCCGCGGGAGCCCAAAAAGCCCGCGGGACCCACTAAAGGCTTTGGAGATCCCCCAAAGGCCCGCGAAACCCCCCAAAATCCCACAGGACCACCTCAAGGCCCACAGGACCCCGCAAAGCCTTTCGGCCTCCTCCAAAGGCACACAAGACCCCGCAAACGCCTCCAGGAACCCCCAGACGCCTCACACACACGCCCCTAAAGCCTGTGGGATCCCTCAGAGGCCCGTAGGTGCCCCCGAATCCCGCTAGATCCCCCCGCGGCCTGCGGGGCTCCGCGAGGCCCGCGCCCCCCCCACCGCCAGCTCCCGCCTAGGCCTCAGCGCGGCGCGGCCCGAGCGCCTCCCGCGGCCACTCCTCCGGCTCCGCGCGGTGTCCGCCACCCCTGAGGGCCCGGGCCCGGCTCTGGCTCCGGCGCCGCGGCCTCTGCGCGCTTGGGGCGCCCGGGAAAAGTTTTATTCAAACGCGGAAACGGGGAGGGCGAGGGCGGGGCCCCGGCGCCATCTTGGGGAGGCCGCGCCGCCATCTTGAGGAGGGCGCGGCCGCCATTTTGGGAGTGGCGCCGCCGCCATCTTGAGTGTGGCGAGTGCAGCCGCCATCTTGGGTGTGGCGCGCGGGCTTTATTTCTCGATTTTCAAGAGGCTTTTTTCACGCTTTATAACAATTTATAACAACTTCCCCCTCCCCAGTCAAACGCCCTCCCCACTCCCTCGAAGCGGAACACCCGTCATTTCACTGGCCGCCGAAGGGGGAAGGGGGATGAGTGGAAAACACAAGAAATGACCCAAAATTGGGCTGTGGGGCGAGAGGGGGGTGGGGGAGGGGCGGTGGCACCAGTACGATCAGTGAGGGGGGGGATGGTCACCAGTAAAACCAGTAGGGCCAGTTCCCCTCTGCTGTGGCTGCATTAAGGGGGATTCTAGGCCTGGGATTGGGTTTGAGGTGAAAAATGGGAGTTTGGGGGCTCTGGGGGCAAACTGAGGGATTTGGGGACAAATGAGGGGATGAGGGAAGGGTTGGGGATTAACTTGGTGTTTTGGGGCAAAATTAGGCCGTTTGGGGGCTAAAAATTGGGGTCAACTCGTGGTGGGGACAAAGACAGGAACAGATCCAAAAAAGGGGTTTTGGGGTGAAACAAAGATTTTGGGACTAAAAAGTGGGGTCACATCATGGGGGAGGGAAGGGAAGGAAAGGGAACATTTAAGGTGAAATAATGTAATTTTGGAGGTAAAAAGGGGGATCATGTCATGGGGGGGGTGTAAAAAAAGGGAGATAGGCCCAAAAAAGGGGGTTTGGGGTGAAACGAGGAAATTTTGGGGGTGAAAAGTGGGGTCACATCAAGGGAGGGTGAAAAAGGCCACAAAAAAGGGAGTTTGGGGGTGAAATGAGGTGATTTGGGGGCTAAAAATTGGAGTCACCTCATGCAGAGTGGGGAAGGCCCCAAAAAAGGGAGTTTTGAGGTGAAATGAGGGGATTTTGGGCACCAGAAAGTAGGGTCACTTGGGGGAGAGGGTGAAAACGGAGAGTCACCTAAAAATAGCTTAAAATACGGTGATTTGGGGGCAAAAAAAGGGGATTCAACCTGGAAAGAGCAAAAAAGGTGGATTTTGGGGACAAAATAAGGCAATTTTGGGCCAAAAGCAGAGGTTGCATCATGGGAGGGAGTTGGGCCCCAAAAAAGGGGGAGTTTTGGGGTGCAATGAGGTGATTTGGGGGCTGGAAATTTGGGGTCACCCTCCGGGGGGGGTCAAACCAAGGGGCTTTGGGAGTGAAACAAAGTGATTTTGGGGCCAAATATTGGGGTGAGCCCATGGGGGGGGACATGACCCAAAATCAGGGGGGGTTGGGGTGGAAGGGGGAGATTCAATGGGGGGGGGCAGTGGTTTTTGGGGTCCCAGTGGTTTTTGGGGCCCCCCCTCACTCAGCCCCCGGAGGGAGGTTGGGTTTGGGGGGGGGCAGCTCCCCCCATTTTTGGGGGGTCCCGCGGGTGCCACGAAGGGTCGAGACCCACGACGAGGTTCCCTGGGTGGGGAAAGGGGGGGGTTCAGGTATTGGGAACCCCCAAAACAGGGGGGCACAAAACACCCCAGCCCCCTAAAAAGGTGATGCTTAGGTACTGGGGGCCACCCCAAAAAGGGGGTGTTTAGGTCCTGGGCCCCCCCCCAAGCCCCCCCACCTGTGCCCGGGCTGTGTCCTGCACCCACTCATCCACCAGCCTGTGCAGGTCGTCTGTGAAAAGCCCCTTTTGGGGGCTGGAGGGTTTTGGGGGCTGGGGGCTTGAGGGACCTGTGTGAGGAACCCAGAAATCCATGGGTTATGGGGGTGTCCCAGATCCCACCTGAACCCCCAAATTCCCTCCTCAGAGCCTCCCAAACCTCCCCAAAAGGGATGCAGAGCATCCTAAAGTCCCCCCTACACCCCAAAACCTCTCCCTGAGTCCCAACCCCCACACACACCCACCCCCAAAACCTCCCCTGCACCTCCAAAACCCACCCTGGCAAACACCCTTCCAGAACGTGAGGCAACCCCAACCCCCTTCCTGCCCCCCAAACCCCACCTTACAGCTCCAAACCACCCCCACTCGTGACCCCCTCCCTGCACCCCAAAATCCCTCCCTGCCCCCCAACCCCCCATACCCTTAAACTCTCCTTTATTCCCCAGATCCCTCCAAATCCCCCCACTCCCCAATCCCCCTTTGCACCCCCTCCCTCAACCCTCCCCCTTGTCCACGACCCCAACCCCCCTCGTGCCCTCCCCAAACCTGTCAGGGCCCCCCCGGCCCCGACCCCGGGCCCCCGGAGCCTCCTCGGGGACCCCCTGGGCCGTGCTGGGGGTGTGGGGGTCCTGGGGCCGTGCTGGGGTTGGGGGTCGGTTCCGGGGTCCCTGCGGAGCCTCCGCAGCAGCTCCCGCAGCTCCCGGTCCTGCCGCGCCCGCAGCTCCAGCACCTCCCGCGTGTGCCTGGGGGACACGGGGGGTCACGGGGGCTCAAGGGGTTCAGGGGTTGTTGGGGGTCTGGGGATCAGGGGAGTGGGGGTGTCAGGGTTTGAGGGGTCGGGGAGTCGGGGGTCCCCCAAAGCCCCCCCATACAAACACACTCTCCCCCCACACCCCAAAATCCCCCGTTTAAACCCTCCGTGTACCCCCCGGTGCCCCCCACACCCCTTCAGATGTGCCCCCATTTACAGCCCCCCATTGACCCACCCAGACCCCCAGAACCCCCCATTGACCCCTCTCCAGCCCCTCAATCCCCTGAGCCCCCCAGCCTCCCTCACTTGTCCCGGAGGCTCCGCAGCTGCTCCCGCAGGGCCCCGTCCTCGGGCTCCGAGTCCGCGTCGCTGCTCAGGGGGTCTGGGGGTCTCGGGGTCCTGGGGCGTGGGGGCCCCGGGGTGCAGAGGTCCCCCACCCCCGCTCTCACTGCCTGAGCTGGGGCCTCTCAGTCCCCTCCTCGGGGTCTGGGGCGGCTGGAGGAGGGGAGAGGGGTGAGAAGAGATGGGGGTGAGGAGGGGGCTTTGAGGGGGCTCTGGGGGTAATTTGGGGTCCCAGGGGAAATTTTAGGGTCCCAGGGGCAGATTTGGGGTACCTGGGGCAGTTGCAGGTCCCTTGGGAAAGTTTGGGGGTCCCTGGGGTGGTTCTGAGGTCCCTTGAGGGGGGTCTGTGGAGCAGTTTCAGGGTCCCAGGGGCAGCTTTGAGGGGCCTGTGGATTTTTGGGGGTCCCTGGGCAGTTTGGGGGGGTCTCTGGGGCAGTTCCAGGTCCCTTGGGACAGTCTGGGTGTCCCTGGGGCACTCTGGGAGGGTCTCTGGGGTAGTTCTGGGATCCCTTGGGTTAGTTTTGGGGGGGTTGTAGGGCAGTTTTAGGGTCCCGAGGCAGATTTGGGATCCCTGCGGGTTTTTGGGGCAGTCTGGGGGGGGGTTCCCAAACACCCACCTGGCAGTTTTCCCCCCAGGGGGGGTCCCCGAGTTCCTCCGGCTCCTCTGTGGGAGAGGGGAGGGTTAATGGGGGTTCAGGGGGGCCGTGAGGGGTCTCTGGGGTTCCACGGGCACACACACAGGGGGGTCCCAGGGGTGTGGGGTGCCCGTACCTGTCTTGGGGTCTCCCCCACCGGCCGGGGGGGGCCGCAGGCGCCGGGCCCAGCTCTTGAGGCGCCGCCCCCACCCCTTCCTGGAGGGGCTGCGCAGGCGGGGGCAGAGCCCCAGCGGGAACGAGGCCCCCCCGGGCGGGGGGCGGGCAGGGGGGCACTGGAGCACCTGTGGGGACAGGGACACTGGGAAATGTGGGGACACCTGTGGGAATGGGGACACTGGGGGATGTGGGGACACCTGTGGGAATGGGGACACAGAGGGGATGTGGGGACACCTGTGGGAATGGGGAGTTGGGGGATGTGGGGACACCTGTGGAAATGGGGAGCTGGGGGATGGAGGGACACTGGGGGGGCTTTGGGGACACCAGGAGTTGGAGTTTGGGGGTCAGGAAGGTCTTGGGGTTGAGCGTTTGGGGAACACCGAGGTCTTGGGGTTGGGGAACATTGGGGGTTTCAGGCTTTGGGGGACTTTGGGGTCTTGGGGGACACTCCAGGTCTTAGGGAAGGGGGGGAGTCACTCACCTCTGATTTCGGGGGTCCCTCCTGACCCCAAACGCTGGTAACAATTGTCCCCCGTCCTTGGGGGTCCCCTGGGCCTGGGGGTCCCGTAACAACTGTCCCCTGTCCTGGAGCGTCCCCTGGGGGTCCTGTGACGATGGTCCCCGGGGGTCCTGGGGGCACCTCTGGCTCCGGGGGTACCTCCTGTCCCCCAGGGCTGGTGACAACTGCCCCCTGTCCCTGGGGGTCACCCAGTGCCAGGTCCCCAGGGCTGGGGGTCTCTGCTTTGGGGACAGTCCCATCGGGGGGTCCAGGACCCTCCTGTTCTGGGGGGCTGGGGACCCCCAGCACTTGGGGCTCAGGAACCATCATCGTTGGCTCAGCCACCTCCTGGGGGACAGTGACAACTGTCCCCTGTCCCTGGGGGCCACCTGGGTCAGGGACACTTGTTCCCTGTCCCTGGGGCCCCCCCGGGTCACTGAGTTTGGGGACAGTTGCCCCCTGTCCCTGAGGCCCCCCAGGATCCGGGGCCGTGTCCGCAGGGCCCCCCTGGGCCATCCCCGCGTCTCTGCGGGCTGCGGGGGGTCCCCCGGGGCCTGTGGGGAGGGGACACCACGGTCAGGGGGGGTTGGGGACACCCCCCCAGTGCTGGGGGTCCATGTCCCCCCCCGTCATGACCCCCTGGACCCACCAGTGGCCTCCCGGTTCCGGATGGTTTGGTTGATGCAGAACCTCCAGCGCCCCACGGGGGACGATTGGGGGGGTCCTTCCCCTGGGGGAGGGGCAAGGGGAGGGGTCAGGGGGTGAGGGGTGATCCCAGCCCCCTCGCCCCTCCCCACTACTCACCACCCCTGCCGGCTCCGGGGTCCCACCTGAGGAGACACATTTGGGGGAGGGTCAGTGGGGAGGGGGCTGGAGGGGTCTGGGTGATCTTGGGGGTGAGGGGATCACCTGTGGGTCCGGGTGGGGTCCCGAGGAGCTCCCGGGCCTGGGCCACGATGGCCTTGAGCTCCTGCACGAACTTGTCCCGCTCCCCTCCAGCAGGAAATTGTCCTCGACCTGCGGGGGGACATGGGATTGGAGGGGGTTAAAGGGGGAAACAGGGATTGGGGAAGGGGACAGGGATTGTGAGGGACAGGGATTGGGGAAAGGTACAGGGATCAAAGGAGACACAAGGATTGGGGGGGTCACATTGGGGGGGACATTGACTGGAGGTCACATGGATGGGGGGGACACGGATTGGAGGACACAAGGATTGGGGGCTTGGGGGGCACATGGATGGGGGGGTCACAGATGGTCACGGATGGGGGTCACGGATGGGGGTCACAGATGGGTCACAGACTGAGGGTCACAGACGGGGGGTCATAGATGGGGGATCGCAGATGGGGTCACGGATGTGGGTCATGGATTGGGGTCACAGATGGGTCACGGATTGGGGGTCACAGATTGAGGGTCACGGATGGGTCACAGATGGGGGTCACAGATTAGGGGTCACAGATTGAGGGTCACAGATGGGGGTCATAGATGGAGGGTCACAGATGGGGGTCACGGATTGGGGGTCACGGATGGGGGGATCACAGATTAGGGGTCATGGATGGGGGTCATGGATGGGGGTCACAGACTGGGGTCACAGATTGAGGTCACGAATTGGGGGTCACAGATGGGGGTCACAGATGGGGGGATCACAGATGGGGGGTCATGGATGGGGGTCATGGATTGGGGGTCCCAGATTAGGGGTCACAGATGGGGGATCACAGATGGGGGGTCACAGATGGGGGGTCATGGATGGGGGTCACGGATTGGGGATCCCAGATTAGGGCTCACCATGTAGCAGGCGATGTCCTCGGGCGCGTCCCCGTCGGCGTCGAAGCGGAACGTCACCATCTTGCTGTCGTGGGTCTCCAGCTGACACTCCACCGTGTTGTCACCACGCGAGGACACCTGGGGGAGGGGACACTGTGAGGGGGGTCCCTGTGCCCCCCCCCGACCCCTCAAGACCCCCCAAACCCCCCTGACCTGCAGCACCGTGAGCTGGAAGCGGGGGCTGCGGGCGTAGGATGGGCGGCGCTGCCGGGGCCGCTCCGGTTTGGGGACATCGGGGACATCCAGGACATTGGGGACATCGGGGACACGGAGCAGTGTGGGAGCCTCGGGGGGGGCAGCTGCTGGCATGGGGGGCACCCCCAGGGCTGGTGACATCCCCACAGTTGGTGGCACCCCCGGGGCTGGTGGTGGCATCTCTGGGGTTGGTGACACCCCCACAGCTGGCGGTGGCATCTGTGGGACCGGTGGCATCACGGATAGAGGTGGCACCTCTGGAGCTGGTGGCACCCCCTGCACTGGTGGCATCACGGATGGAGGTGGCATCTCAGGAGCTGGTGGCATGCCCTGCACTGGTGGCATCAGGGCAGGTGGTGGCATCTCTGGAGCTGGTGGCATCACACACGAAGTGGCATCCCTTGGGTTGGTGGCACCCCCAGGGCTGGTGACATCCCCACGGCTGGTGGCATCACGGATGGAGGTGGCATCTCTGGAGCTGGTGGCATCCCAACAGTTGGTGGCATCCCTCGGGCTGGTGACATCCCCATGGCCGGTGGCATTGGGGACAATGGTGGCATCTCTGGAGCTGGTGGCATCATGGATGGAGGTGGCATTCCTTGGGCTGATGGCATCACAGATGGTGGTGGCATCTCTGGAGCTGGTGGCATCCCTGTGGCCATCGCTGGGGTTGGTGGCTCCTGGAGCTGGTGGCATCACGACATGGATCCCTGTGCCCAGTGGCACCCCGGGTGGGCACCCAGGGCTGGTGACATCCCCAGCGGTCTGGTGGCACCCCAGGCTGGTGGTACTCCTGGAGCTGGTGGCACCCCCAGGGCTGGTGGGCATCACGGATAGAGGTGGCACCTCTGGAGCTGGTGGCACCCCCTGCACTGGTGGCATCACGGATGGAGGTGGCATCTCAGGAGCTGGTGGCACCCCCTGCACTGGTGGCATCAGGGGAGGTGGTGGCATCTCTGGAGCTGGTGGCATCACACGCGGAAGTGGCATCCCTTGGGTTGGTGGCACCCCCAGGGCTGGTGACATCCCCACGGCTGGTGGCATCACGGATGGAGGTGGCATCTCTGGAGCTGGTGGCATCCCAACAGTTGGTGGCATCCCTCGGGCTGGTGACATCCCCATGGCCGGTGGCATTGGGGACAATGGTGGCATCTCTGGAGCTGGTGGCATCATGGATGGAGGTGGCATTCCTTGGGCTGATGGCATCACAGATGGTGGTGGCATCTCTGGAGCTGGTGGCATCCCTGTGGCCATTGCTGGGGTTGGTGGCACTCCTGGAGCTGGTGGCATCCCCACAACTGGTGGCATCCCTGTACCCAGTGGCACCCCCAGGGCTGGTGGCACCCCCAGGGCTGGTGACATCCCCAGGGCTGGTGGCACTCCTGGAGCTGGTGGCACCCCCAGGGCTGGTGGTACTCCTGGAGCTGGTGGCACCCCCAGGGCTGGTGGCATCCCCGGAGCCAGTGACATCCCTGGCACCAGCTGCGGCTGCACGGTGGGGATGGGCTGTGGTGGCACCCCTGGACATGGTGCCATCCCAGGGGCTGTTGGTGCCATCACTGGCACCGTTGGTGGCATCCCAGGGATCGGCTGCAGCTGCACGATGGGGACCAGCTGTGGTGGCATCACAGCTGGGGGTGGCACCCCTGGAGCTGGTGACACTCCCAGAGCCGGTGCCACCCCCAGAGCCGGTGGCATCCCCTGGGCTGGTGGCACTGCTGGACCTGGTGGCACCACCCCCAGAGCCGGTGGCATCCCCGTTGGAGGTGGCACTCCTGGAGCTGGTGGCATCACTGGGGCTGGTGGCACTCCTGGAGCCGGTGCCACCCCCAGAGCCGGTGCCATCGCTTGAGCTGGTGACACTTCCAGACCCAGTGACGCTCCTGGACCCGGTGGCATCCCTTGGGGTGGTGGCACCGCCAGGCTTGGTGGCACTTCCAGAGCTGGTGTCACCCCCAGAGCCACCCCCGGCCCCGGTGCCCCCGGTGCCACCTGCAGGGGGGTGACCCCAACGTCCCCCTCGGGGGGCTCTGCTGGGACCCCTCCAGCGCCGTCCCCCAACGTCCCCTCGGCCCCGGGGGGCACCTGTGGGACAGAGGGGCCAGTTTTGGGGGGGTCCCACACTCTGGACCCCCCTCCCCAGGGTGTGACAGGGACTTACCGGGGGGGGCCCATCCTGGGGGGGCCCTGCTGAGCCCTGGGGGTCCGGGGGGGCTCCGGTGACGTCCAGGGGGGTCCCGGTGACACCACGGGGGTCCGTAGGGGTCCCGGTGACTTCCGGGGGGGGTCCATTCTCGGGGAGCCCCTCGGCTGTGGGGAGCAATCTGGGGGGTCACTGGGTGGGAGGGGTTATTTGGGGGGTCTCACCTTTGGGGGGTCAGCTTTGGGGGTCTCACCGTTGGGAGGGGTCAGTTTTGGGGGTCTCACTTTGGGGGGCTCAGCTTTGGGGGTCTCACCATTGGGGGGGATCAGTTTTGGGGGTCTCACCATTGGGGAGGGGTCAGTTTTGGGGGTCTCACCGCTGTGGAGGGATCAGTTTTGGGGGTCTCACCATTGGGGAGGGGTCAGTTTTGGGGGGTCTCACCATTAGGGGGGGGCTGCTGCCCCAGCAGCTGCTGCCTGACGTGCTGATCCACCTCGGGGTCCTCGTTCTCGGGGCCCCCCCGGGGCCCCCCGGGCGCCGCTCCCGCGCCCTCCGCACCAGCACCAGCCGGTCCCGGATGGATTTGGCCACGGCCTTGGAGTCGCTCTCGTGGAAGAACCCGGATCTCACCTGGGGGGGGTGTTGGGGGCCAGATGAGGGGACCCCCAGAGCTGGTGGTGTTGGGCACCCATCCCAGGGGCCAACTGGGGGGTCCAGGGGGGAATTTGGGGGCTCCTTGGCTTCGGGAGGGGCTCAAGGTGGGAGGGATTGAGGGACCAACCATGGAGTTCGTGGGTGAATTTTGGGGTGGCTCTGCCTTTGGGGGGGCTCCAGCTGAGGGCTGAGTCACCAACCTTTGGCTTCAGGGCAATTTTGGAGGTTCGTTGACTTTGAGGACAGTTTTGAGGGGTCCCCAGAGGGGTTTTGGGTCACCCTCAAGGGTATTTGAGGGTCATTTTGGGTCCCCCCTCACCATCTCCTGGGCCACCTCGTCGGGGTCGTCGGCGTCCAGGTCGAAGCTGAACTCGATGGCCTCGTTGTCCTTGTGCTTCCCCTTGAGCTTCTTGGGGTCCTCGACGCGGAGCCGCAGGGCCAGGGCGGGGTCGGCACCCCCGGGGTCCTCGGCCAGCTCCACCCTCAGCCCCGTGTCCTCGGCGAAGAACGAGTGTGCCAAGAGATCCCGGATGGAGAGCCTGGGAATGGGGGGGGGGATCAGCCCCGGGGGGTCCCAGGGAGGAGGCTCAGCCTCGGGGGGGTCTCTTGGGGGGTCCTGGGGGGTCCCACCTCTCGTCCCGGTTCTGTCGGATGCAGCCCTCGATGAGCTCCTTCACCTCGGGGTCCCGCACCTTGTGCAGACTCGCCGGCTTGATGCCCTGGGGGTGGGGGGAAATGGGGAGGCTTGGGGGGTCAGGGAGGTTTGGGGGTCCCAGGGGGGCTCAGGGGCAGTTTGAGGGGCTCAGGCAGAGTTTGGGGGTCTCAGAGGGGGTTGGGGGTCTCACACTGGTGATTTTTCTGTAGATCTGGGTGGTGTTGTGGCACTCAGAGTAGGGGGACTTAGGTGGGTTAGGGTGGGTCTCAGGGAGGTTTGGGGGTCCCAGGGGGGCTCAGGGAGGTTTGGGGATGCCAGGGGGGACTCAGAGGTCTCACACTGGTGACTTTTCTGTAGATCTGGGCGGCGTTGTGGCACTCAGAGTAGGGGTACTCGGACGTGCCCATCTCCAACAGGCACATCCCGAAGGCGTAAACGTCCACGGACTCGTCGTAACGCTCCTCGTACATCTCGGGGGCCATGAACTCAGGGGTCCCTGCGGCAGCAGGAGGAGTGTCAGGAACCCTGGGGGGCATCCCAGGAGGTCCTGGGGGATCCCAGGCAGTCAGGACCCCTGAGGGTGGTCCTGGAGGATCCCAGGTGTGCATTATTGTCATCATCATGAGCATTGTCCTGGGGCTCCCCAGGAGGGTTTCAGGGTGGTCTTTGGTGGGTCCCAGGCACGTAGGACCCCGGGGGGGTGGGGCTGGGGTGTCCCACGGTGGTCCTGGGAGGTCTTGGATGTCCCTGGATGTCCCAAGGTATCCCAGGGTAGTCCCAGGATGTCCCCATGCTGGTCCCAGGACAGTCCCAGGTGTCCCCATGCTGGTCCCAGGACAGTCCCAGGATGTCCCCATGCTGGTCCCAGGATGTCCCCATGCTGGTCCCAGGACAGTCCCAGGTTGTCCCCATGCTGGGCCCCGGGGTCCCCGCGCTCACCGATGACGCTCTTGGCGAAGGAGGTCCTCATGAGCGTGGCCAGCCCCAGGTCCCCGATCTTGACGGAGCCGGTGGGGCCGGTGATGAAGATGTTGTCGCACTTGAGGTCGCGGTGGATGATGGGGGGGGTCCTGGTGTGCAGAAACTGCAGCCCCTTCAGGATCTGGCGGCACCAGCTCCGCAGCACCTTGGGCTTCATCACCTTGAACCTCTTCAGGTACCTGGGGGGGGGCGGGTGAGGCCCCTGTGACCCCCCAGACCCCTCTGTGACCCCCCCAGTCCCTCCCAGCCCCGCTCACGTCTTGAGGGTGCCCGAGGTCATGAGCTCGGTGACGAGGACGATGCATTTCTTGCCCTTCAGCGTCGACTCCCAGGAGTCGTAGAACCGGACGATGTTCGGGTGCTGGAGCCCCTTGAGCATCTCGGCCTCCTCCTTGAAGCGCTGCTGCTCCGCCTTCGTCAGCTTCCGGTCCTGGGGGGAAGGCTCTCAGCGTCATTTTCGTCATCATTGTCATCATCATCATCGTTGTCATCATCATCACGGTCACCATTGTCACCACTGTCGTTGTCATCATAATTGTCATCATTGTCATCATCATCATCATTGTCATCATCATCATGGTCACCATTGTCATTGTCATCATCGTCATCATCATGAGCATTGTCATTATCATCATTGTCACCGCCAGCGTTGCCATCATCAGTGTTGTCATCGTCAGCATTGTCATCGACAGCGTTGTCATTGTCATCATCATTGTCTTTGTCAGCATTATCACTGTCATCGTTGTTGTCATCGTTATCATTATTATTGTTACCACCATCATCGTCATCACTGTCATGGTCATTGTAATCATTGTCATCATCATTGCCATCATAATCGTCATCATCGTCCATCATCGTCATCCTCACCATTGTCACCATCATCATCGTCGTCATTGTCATCATTACCATCACCATCACCGTCAGTATCATCATCATCGTCAGCATTGTCACTATTGTCATCATTATAACCATTGTCATTATCATCATTATTGTTATCATGCTCATCATTGTCATCACCCTCATCATCACCATCTTCTTCGTCGTTGTCATCATCGTCATTGTCACCACCGTCATCATCACCGTTGTCATTGTCATCATCGTCATCGTCACCATTATCTATCATAACTGTCATTTTTATCATTGTCATTGTCACCATCATCTTCATTGTCATTGTCATCATCGTCATTGTTACCATCATTATCACCATCATTGTCATCAATGTTACCAATGTCATCATCATCATTGTCGTTATAATCATTATCATCACCACCATTGTCATCATCAGCATCATCATCATTACCACCATCACGATCATCATTCTCCAATTCCAGTATCAGCATCATCATCATCATCTCCAAACTTCAGGGTCGTCATCATCATCATCATCATCATCATCATCCCAATTTCGGGCCATTCTCACACCAATTCCCACTCCCACCCCCATCCCACGTGCCCCTTCCCGGGGCCCTCCCAGGGGTCTCACCTGGAGCTCACACCAGGCCCCCCCGTGTCCCCAAACCCAATTCCCCCCGTGGGTCTCACCTGGAGCTCACACCAGGCCACCTCCACCCAGGTGTCGGTGTCGAACCCTTTGAACACGGTTTTAAAGGCCCCCCGGCCGAGCTCGACGTCGAACTTGAGGAACCTCCCGCCCGGGGAGGTGGCCACGGCCTTCATCCCGGCCTCCTCCTCCTCGCCCCCCCGCGGCTCCCCCCTCTCCCGCTGCCCCCTCCTCCTCCAGCACCTCCACGCTGCGCCGGAAGAACCGTTTGGGGGGACTGGGAGGGATTTAGAGGGATTTGGGGTCCCCGGGTCGGCAGCCATGGCTGGGACCACCCTCCCACCCCTTAAATCAGGAAGGGGGCGTCCTCCCTCCCTCCGGAGCAGAGGGGCTCAGGAGATGGAGGGTCCAGAGGGGAGGATTTGGGGGTTTCAGGTGCCCAGGGGGTCCAGGTGCCCGCGGGGGCGGGATTTGGGGGTGTTCAGGTAACCGCGAGGGATCTCAGGTGTCGGGGGGGGGAGGGGTTCAAGTGTCCGAGGCAGGGGGAGTTCAGGTGTCCGAGGGATTTGGGGGTTCAGGTGCCGCGGGGATGGGGGTCCAGGTGAGGGATTTGGGGGTCTCAGGTGTCCGGGGTGGGGGGTGCTCAGGTGTCAGGGTGGGGGCGCTCAGGTGTCCGCGGTGGGGCTTGGGGGAGGTCCAGGTGTCCGGAGGAGGTTTTGGGGGATTCAGGTGCCGCGAGGGGCTGGGGGCCCAGATGAGGGGTCCGGGGAGTCACCTCGCTTTCGGGGTCTCACTCTCACCCCCGGTGTCACCGGCAGTGGCCACGTCACCCCCTTCCCCCCGCGGGGACCTGGAGGAGAGACAAAGAGAGTTCGGGTGGGGGGAAGCGGGTAATTCCGGGGGAGGGGCTGATTGATGAAGGCAGGGGCTTAGTTGGGGTGCCTGAGGTCTGGGGGTGAGAGCATCCCCGGCCCCCCGCACACACCGGCGGCGCTTCCTCTGGAGGAGGAACTTCCGGGGCAGCCCCCAACACTGTGGGTACCCACCTATGGATGCTGTAGGGTACCCCCAGCCCCCCTGTGGATTTATGGGTGCCCCCCGCACCTTCCCATGGGTGATATCAGGGCCCCCGGATGATATAGGTACCCCTCTGCCCCCGTATGTGTTGCGTTACAGGTACCCCCTATGGATGCTGTAGGTGCCCCAGACCCACCCTGTACGCCCCCACCCAGCCCCTATGGATCCCATAGGCACGAGCTGTGCCCCCAAGAGCCCCCGGCAACCCCTACTGTGAGCCCCCTCTGCCACCTCCCTAGAGCCTCCTATAGCCTCCAATGAACTTCCGTGTGAGCCTCCCATAGCCCTATCCCCTATAGCCCCTGCACCCTTCTATAGCCCCCTATAGCCCCCTCGTGCTTTCGTAGAGTCCCTGCACCCTCCTATAGCCCCCGTGTCTTCCTATAGCCCCTGAACCCCCTATAACCCCCGTATAGCCCCCTATAGCCTCGCCCCCTGTGCCTTCCTGTAGCCCCTGCATGCCCCTAAAGCCTCTCTATAGCCCCCTGTGCCTTCCTATCGCCCACAGCAACCCCCACAGCCCCTATAGCCCCGTGCCTTCCTATCGCCCCTGCAACCCCCAAAACCCCCAATAGCCCCCCTGCCTTCCTAGAGCCCCTGAACCCCCTAAAGCCTCTCTAGAGCCCCCTGTCTCTTCCTATAGCCTCTGTGTCATCTATAGCCCCCTGACCCCTCTGTGCCCCCTGCCCCTAGCCCTTATAGACCACCAGGGTCCCTACACCCCCTACAGCTCACACAGCCCCTGTGCCCACCCCGTGCCCCCATCTCACTCCTGTGTCCCCCTACAGCCCCTCCACCTCCCCCAGCCCCTGTGCCCCCCCAAGGCCGCCGTGCACCCCACACCCGTTGCCCCCCCATAGCCCCCAACCTTCTATATCCTCCTGTGGCCCCTCTGTGCCCCCCAGCCCCCTGTGCCCCCTCCGCACCTGCTGCAGCCCCTCCGATCCCCCGACCCCCTTTCCCCCACCACCCCCTGGGCCCCTAAATGCCCCCCACCCCGCCCCCTCACTGCGTCACGTGACCGCGCTCACGTGGGGGCTGCCGGGAGTTGTAGTCCCGAGCGGACACCGACGATGACCACGCCCCCTCGTGTGGCCACGCCCGCTCCTCAATCGGCGGCTCGGGCATCTCCCGGTGGCCCCGCTCCCATCGGTGACTCGGCGCTCGGCTTCGCGCCCTGCGTAGTGCCGTCATGGCGGCCCCCACGGCGGAGGCCCGGGCGCTGTTCGCGGAGGGTGGGCGCCGTGCTGGGGGTGGCGGCGCTGCAGGTGAGGGAGCACTGGGGGCACTGGGGCCGTGCTGGGGGTGGGCGCTGCAGGTGAGGGGAACACTGGGGGCACTGGGGGCACTGGGGGCCGTGCTGGGGGGTGGGCGGCGCTGCAGGTGAGGGGAACACTGGGGGCACTGGGGCCGTGCTGGGGGTGGGCGGCGCTGCAGGTGATGGGGGTTTTGGGAACACGGGAGTCACCTGGGGACGGGAGGGGGGTAGGGGGACACACTGGAAGTGACACGAGCGGGACACGAGTTGCACTAGGAGGGACACTGGGGGACCCCAGGGTGATGCTGGGGGTGTTACGGGCTGAGAGGGTGAGACGTGGAGGGGGTCCTATTTGGGGGGATCTGGGTGGGAGGGGCAGCGCTGGGGGACCCCCGGGGCCAGTCTGGGGGGTCCCTGTGTCACTGCTGGGGTGTTCCCATGAGTGTCCCCCCTGTCCCCCCCCAGCTGGCCGTGGCCCAGGGCTTTGGGGGGCCGCAGGGCCCCGAAAAGGCCGCCTGGCTCCGCTCGGCCCTGCTTGATTTCTTCACCCAGAATGGTGAGTGCCGACCCTCCCCCACCCCGGGAGGGGGGTCAGGGATAGGGGGAAGGGGTCGGGGGCGGGGCATGGACAGGGGCGACCCCCCCCATCTGTGTCCCTCCCAGCTGACCTGGAGCAGGAGGAGGTGGAGGATTTCCTGGCCGAGGTGATGGACAACGAGTTCGACACCGTGGTGGAGGACGGCAGCCTGGAGCAGGTGGGACCAGTATGGACCAATGTGGGCCAGTATGGCCCAGCAGCCGCCCAGCACCCTCCCAGGTGCTCCCAGTACAGCCCAGTTCATCCCCAGGCTCCTGCCACCATCCTTTCCAGTCCCTTCCCAGTATAAACCAGTACTGTCACAGTGCTTTTTTTCTCCCTCCTGGTGCCCCCTGGTCCTCTCCACAGTGTCCCCAGTAACTCTGCCAGTGGGTCCCAGTCCATCCCAGTGGGTCCCAGTCCATCCCAGTGTCCCCATTGCAGGTGAGCCGGGAGCTGCTGACGTTGTTCTCCCGGGCACAGGGGGGGGACACGGTGGGGGTGGGGGCAGCCCTGGGGGCTCTGGCCCAAAGGGGCCCCGCCCTGGCCACCGTCCTGGCCACGGCCCGGCCCGGGGACCCCAGAGCCCCCGGGACCCCGAGCTCCCCAGGACCTCCCACAGCCCCCCCGGGACACCCCCCGGCCACGAGGAGGAGGAGGAAGAGGTGAGGGGGGGTGATGTCAGGGGGTGATGATGTCATTGATGGGGACCCTGATGATGTCATGGGGGGGGACACCCAAGATTGGGGGAAGGGGGCTGGGACCCCCTGGTTTGGGGGGGTAGTGGGCAGTGGTGACATCATTGGGTTGGGGAGGCATTACTGATGATGTCATCAAAGTGGGCAGTGGTGACATCATCAGGTTGGGGAGGCATTACTGATGATGTCATCAAGGTGGGCAGGGACTGTGATGGACTGGGATATATTGGGAGGGGGCTGGAGGGGAGGTAGGGAATTGGGAGGGCACTGGGATATACTGGGAGGGGCTGGTTAAAGCAGGGGACTGGTTTAACCCCGGGGGAGCAGTGATGACGTCACTGGTTACATCATCGGGGTCCCCCTGATGACATCATTGCCCTGCAGGCGATGGAGTGCGGGACCCCCCCGCCTGCCCCTGACGGCTGGACCCTCGTGCAGCGGCGGCGGCGGCGATGAGGGGGGGGAGGGGTGTCGTGTGTGTAACCCCCCCCCAAATTGGGGGACACCCCTCCCCCACCCTGCTCCCCAAACTGGGGGGGAAATAAAGGCCCCTCCCCCCACAAGGGGGCGTGGGAAGAGGAGTGGTGTGGTTATTGGGGGGAAGGACCTCATAGAGACCCCCTGGGACCCAAAAAACGCCGTTGGAGCGCACAGAGCCCCTCCCAGTATAACCCAGTATAGCCCAGTGCTCCCAGACCCGCACGGCCACCACTGTCTCGTCTCCCCGGCAACGAGGGGGCGGGGCTTCCTCCCCGCGGGCGGCGATTGGCTGACACTTTGTGGGGCGGGGCCGCGGCGCGACTTGCTCGCATGGTCATTGGTTGGCGAGGGAGGCGGTGGACCCTCATTGGTCGGGTGGGGCGGTGCGCGGGCTCTGATTGGCCGCTTTTGCCCGGGTGGGCGGGGCGAGGCGGGAGCGCGGGAAGGCGCGGCGGCGATGGCGGCGCGGCTGGAGCGCGCGGGGGGGTGAGCGCGAGACCCCCCCCCACCCCCAATGGCGGGAACCCCTGAGGGGACCCCGCCGCCATCTTGGAGCGGGGAGCAACTGGGGGGTCACCGGGGCCTCACGGCGGTCCCTGAGGCGTCAGCGGGGACCATTGGGGTCCCTGGGGGGTCCCCCCCCGTCCCCACGAGGGTCCCTGAAGGGTCACTAGATCCTCACGGGGGTCCCTGAGCGGGTCCCTGGGATGTCCCCCTCGATCCTTATTGGGGTTCCTGAGGAGTCACCAGGTTCCATTGGGGTCCCTGGGATGCCCCCCCGATCTTCACGGGGGTCTTTGAAGGGTTCCTGGGTATGTCCCCCCATGCCCACGGGTGTCCCTCCGCGATGTCCTTGGGGATCCCTGGATGTGTCCCCTCCATGCCCACGGCTGTCCCGTCCCCCCCGCGGTGTCCCCAGGGTGCTGACGGCCCTCGAGGCTGCCCTGGCCTTGGAGGAGGAGGATGGGGATGTCCCGGCCCCGGTCCTGGTGGAGCATCAAATGGTGAGACCCCCGGCCCCTCCATACCCCCACCCAGCACACACATTCCCCTCTCAGCACCCACTTCCCCCCCCAGCTGTTCTTGGCTTCCCTGTTTACCCCCCCCAACCTCCCCTTGATGCCTCCCCAAAATTCTCACAGCTTCCCCACGTAGTCCCAAATCTCCCTGTGACCCCTAAATTTATCCCTCCCTGGCTCCCTCCACATTTATCCCCCAAACCTTCCCTGACCTCCCCCATTTTCTGACCCTCTCTTTAACACCCTTATTTTCCTCAAATACTCCCAGTTATCCCCCCACATCTCTCTTTTTCTTCGTTTTTACCCTCATTCCCCACCCCTGGCCCCCAAACCTGCCCCCTGTAACCCCTGAACCCCCACACCTCCCCAGGACACCCGTCGGAAGCAGAAGCTGCTCCTGTCCCAGCTCCGGGTGCTGCGGCTGCTCCTGGGGGTCATCGAGAACCCGGGGCTGCCCCCGGCCCCCGCCGGCCTCCGTGAGCCCCCCAAAACCCCTGACCCCCAAACCGAACCCAGGGCCTGCGTGAGCCCCCAAAACCCTGACCCCCAAACCGCACCCAGGGCCTGCATGAGCCCCCCAAAACCCCTGACCCCCAAACCGAACCCAGGGCCTCCGTGAGCCCCCAAAACCCTGACCCCCAAACCAAACCCAGGGCCTGCGTGAGCCCCCAAAACCCCTGACCCCCAAGCCGAACCCAGGGCCTGCGTGAGCCCCCCCAAAACCCCTGACCCTCCCAAACTGAACCCAGGACCTGCATGAGCCCCCAAAACCCCTGACCCCCAAACCGAACCCAGGGCCTACATGAGCCTCCCTGACCCCCCCTAAACTGAACCCCTGGAGTGTGTGAGCCCCCCTAAACCCCCCTGACCCCATAAAACTGGGGTTCCCCTGACCCCCCAAATCACCCGACCCTTCCCAAAACTCTGGGTCCCCCCTGAGCCCCAAAAACCCCTGGGGTCTCCCCTGAGTCCCCCCAGTCTTTCCTGGGAGGGCTGAGAGAGCTAAAATGGGGGGGGTCTGGGATGGGGTTTGGGGTTTCCTGGACACTCAGGTCCCATCTGGGGGTTCCCAGGTCCCATTTGGGGGTTCCCAGGTCCCATTTGGGGGTTCCCAGGTTCCCTTTGGGGGTGTTTGGGGTCCCCATTTCGGGGGTCTGACAGGTGCCCCCCCCAGGTGAGGCTGCAGCCCAGGCCCGGGGCCGTTGGCAGGAGCTGAAGTCGGGGTACGGGGGGGCCCTGGGAGCCCTGGGGGGGGCCGTGCCCCCCACCCTGGCCCAGCTGGGGAAGGGGCAGCAGCTGCTGCAGCGACTCAAGGGGGTCCTGGGGGCCCGGACCCAGCAGGTATGGGGGTTCTGGGGGGATCTCAGGGGTGTGGGGGGTCCTGGGGTCCAGGCCAAGAAGGTACAGGGAGGGCTTGGGGGTGGGTCCTATGGGTGGGGGGTGCTGGGAATGGGAATATGGGGGTGATGGGGAGGCTAAAGTGGGGCTGGGGGCCCAATGTGGGTCTTGGGGGACTCCCTTGGGTTGGGGGGTGGGTTAGAGGGGGTTGATGGGGTCCCATGGGTGTGAGGGGGCCCCATGGGTGCTGTGAGGATCCCATGGGTGCTGGGAGGGTCCCATGGGTGCTCTGGGGGCTCCCATGGGTGTGTTAACCCCCCAGCAAGAGGAGCTGCAGGTGAAGGTTCGCGAGGCCACCGAGAGGCGGGATGAGGTGAGATGGGGGGTCACTCTCCTTGGGGTCCCTCTTCCCTGGGGGGTTCCCCCTACCCACCTTGGGGTGACCCTGCCCTGGGGGGATTCCTATTTGGGTTCCCCTCGCATTTCATTTCTCAGTTTTACCCTCATTTTGGGGTCTTGGAATCCTCCCATTTCAGGTCTTGTTCCCTACCTATTTCAGAGTCCGCTCCTAATTTTGTGTTTCTGTCCCCCAAAACTTTGGAGTCTCTGTCTTGACCCTGTTTTTGTGGTTTCGGTGTTTCCCCCTCACAGTTTGGGATCCCTCCATTCTGGGGTCTCATTCCCCTATTTTATGGCTCTCCCTCTCCAAGTCTTGGGTCTCAATCCTCCTCAATAAGGGCTCCCTCCCCGGGGTTAGGGGGAAATCTCAAATTCCCCCCCCCATTTTGGGGTCTCCCCCCTCCCAATTTGGGGTTTCCCTCCCCAATTTTGGGGTCTCCCCCCAATTTGGGGTCTCCCCCCCGCAGCTGCTCCGGCGGGTTCAGGAGCGGCGGCGGGAGCGGCTCGGCCGGCAGGGGGCGCTGAGGAGCCACAGGGGGGCGGCCACCAGGTGAGGGGGCGGGGCCAGTGAGAGGTGGGCAGGGCCAGTGAGAGGTGGGCGGGGCTTGACGGAGGGCGGGGCTTGGGGTTGTTGGGGAGGGTCGGGGGGGCCGGGATTTTGGGGGTATCTGGGGGGTCCTGAGAGAGAGACCAGCAGGGGTGGGGGCAGGTCCTCGGGTTGGGAGGGGTCCTGGATGAGCCCCAGGATGTTTGGGGATGTCTAGAGGGGTTCAGTGCGGACTCAGATGTGTGTGTGGGGTTCTGGGAATTGGGGGAGACCCAGGAATTTGGGGGGGTGGGACACCCTAACAAAGGTGCCCCCACATCGGGGGGTCCTGTGCCCCCCCACTGACCGGTGGCCACAGGGCAGAGGCCTCGTGTCGCCTGTACCAGGCCCTGTCGGGGGTCCGGGTGCTGCTCCCCCCGCCAGGGACCCCCAAACTGGAGCTGGAACTGGAACTGGGACCCCCTCCGGGACCTTCCCTCGAGTCGCTGCCCCCCCTGCGCCTGAGCCACAGCCCCCAGGGGGGGGTCCAAGTGCTGGTGAGGGGCTGGGGGGGCCACAGAGGGGGCTGGGGGGATTTGGGGGTGGTTGGGGCTGAGGGGGCACTTGGGGGTAGGGGGGCCTGAGCAGCCATGGGGGGATGTTTGGGGAGCACCTGGACAGCTGGAGGGGGAGGGGAGGAATTTGGGGTCTGGAGGTGGGAAGGGTTCCTGGGGGCACTTTTGGGGGTAAAGGGGTTGGGGGGGCACTTGAGGGTCAGGGGCTGGGTTGGGGGTCTGGGGGGCAGGCAGGGGGCACTGTGGGGGCTCGGTGGGGCAGTTTTGGGTTCTCACTCCCCTCCTTTTTCCTCTCAGGGTCCCCCTGCCGCTGCCACCCCCTCTGGGCCCGGGGCTGCTGGAGCTGCAGCGGCGCTGCTGGGACGGGTGGGGGCTGTGGGAGGAGGTGACACAGCTGAGGGACAGGTGAGGGGACACCGGGGGAGGGGGAGGGGGACACAGCTGAGGGACAGGGAGGGGACACCGGGGGAGGAGGAGGGGGACACACCTGAGGGACAGGGGAGGGGACACGAGGGGGAGGGGGGGGACACTTAAAGAACAGGTGAGGGGGTTCTCAGGGGTGCTCTGGATTCTGGGCAGCCCCAGAGTTTGAGGGGGATCCCTGGTGTCCAGGGGGTGTCCCCTGGATCCTGGGGGGATCCCTGCTGTTCCAGGGGAAAGATCCAGGGTTTGGGGAGGGGTCCTTGGTGTTCTGGGCATGGGGGGATATCTCTGCTGTTCTGATGGTGATCCCTGGTGTTCTGAGAGGGGTCTCTGGTCTTTGGGGGGGTCCTGGTGTTCTGGGGGGTCCCCCCCAATCTCTGTTTGCCCCCACCCCAGGTTTGCCCTGGACTGGCAGCCGGAGTTGGGGCTGCTGCAGGTCCTGGGCGGTCCCCGGGGGGCCGAGACCCTCTGGACGCTGGAGCTGGACCCGGGGTACCCCCAGAGTGGGGGGGTGAGGCTGCTGCCCCCCCCCGAGGGGGCCCCCCCCATCCCCGTGAGTCTTCTGGGGGGGTCCGGGGGATCTGGGGGTCCCTGGGTGCGGTTTGGGGGGGTCTGTGGGGCAGGTTGTGGGGTTGGGGGGCAATTTGAGGTCTGGGAGGGAATCTGAGGTCCTTTACAGGCAGTTGGGGAGATGGGGGTGGTCCCAGGGATGCTGGGGGGTCCCAGGGTTGGATTTAGGGGTTTTGGGGGGACTCTTGGGGTGATTCTCAGGGGCACATGGGGGGTCCTGGGGTCTGAACGCCCCCTCTGACCCCC